AGCTATATATGCATTTGCATGCATCACACCAGAAATCTCATGCATCTCCAAGTAGCTTAGTACTAGTAATCTTCATTAAAGATTCATTAATAAAGTTCTCTTTTATTGAATAGTTCATCTTGAGGCCATTCAACATGTATGATAACAGAAATAAGTACCTTCCACCGAGATTGACGCCAAAGAAGCAAGCGATTGCTTGACCTCCTTTAATCTCGCCACGATGAACTAGTATAGAACCGTACCAAAAGGCCAATGCCCACGTTGAGTATGTAACCAAGTAGATGACTCCAATTCCTGCACCCTTGGCGAACCCAACCTTGGCTCCTATGGGAATTGACCTTGACAGCAATTCAGCATATCTCGCAGCCAAATTATCTTCCGCAACGAACGAAAACACCGTTCTAATGGAGCTGATAGCTTGCTCAGCAACGCTGCCAGCTGTTCGGTAAGAAACCTTCATTGTATCAAGAAGAAAAGGACCAAAAAGGAGTTAGAAAACCTCCCATGTTGAGATCCTTCATTCTCAAGCGTATTTAGTACCTCATTACCTCTTCCTTTGAAGCTAGACCGACATAAACAGCCTTGTAAGCAATGCCGCAGAACATCGTCAAAGGGGTGACAGCAAATACTACTAGAGATACTTTCCATGATTGTAAGAACCCAACCGTGTATCCACAGATGAAAGCGAAAATATGATGAACAAAGTGTGCCATCTGTAAGTTACAGAAAAAAGAATGAGATGTCTATGAAAAAGAAATAGATGCAATGCTTGGCTGGTTCTGATAACATGGGACAAGGACGACAAAAGAGTGAGAAATTGAGAGCGATAGCATAAAGAGGGCACCTTTTCGCCCATTACTTCTTGAATTTGCGCAACATCACTTGAGATTCCATGCATGATATCACCAGTGCTAACTTGTGTGTCGAAAAAGCCTATGTCCTGTCGGAGAACTGCTCTCAGGTAATTAGTTCTTATCCTTTGAGCTGCTCTATCGCCTACCAATCTCCAACATGTTATTTCTGCAAAAATTTTGCCACACTCTTCGTTTTACCAATGCCAACGGATGAATAATTGCAAATTTGGAGAAAAAGAGAATTGAAGCGATTAAATTCTTTCCAAAGCAAAATAGAAGACAACATTTAGGCAGCACACGAACCAGATGCCACTTAGCTAGAGGAGAGAAGGTCCTAATATTAACATTATGACGCCAAAAAATTACAGAAAATGCATTTATATAGATTTTTTTCTTACCCATGTAAGCTCCGACCACCACTACCGCTGCCAGTCCAGTCATAAACAGACATACCTGAAACGAAAATCAACACCAGAAATTTGAACATATTTATTGAACATGTAGCAATGATCCGTACAAAGAATGCAAATTCTAACGCACACAATGTATGATAGGATCTTTAATTGACGGTCAACTACAAGATATCACTTTACTGCAGGTGAAGATTATATTGAAATCATAGACAATTTATTGCGCTTCATCGCTAACTACAAGAGATGGAAAGTCATATGGTCAGGTCACCCACATGGCTGGACATTCATGTTAAGTTGAAGGAAAGGGGGTGGCAAGATTTGTAATACCTTGTCTACATCCTTCATCATCTGGTGTTTGTCAGTTTTTGATTCTAGAGCAATCTTGTTCACAAATTTTCCGAAAAGATAAGAATACCAAGGAAGTGAACCCCCATTAATCAGAGCTCCCAAGCACCCCAAGATCACAAGAACAAAATCCCACTTTGTTGAGTACTTGAACAAGCCGAATAGCCCAATCGGCTTCACTGGCTCTTCTTCATCCTCTTCTTCCTCATCGAACTCCTTCTCATCGGGAGATAATATTTTGATGTCATTGTATCTATTTCCATGACCGTGACTTTGGATTCCCGAATCCCATTCGTCATGACCATGCCGATCACGACCAGGATCGGTGCCTTCTTCCTTGTGCCTTGAATGTCCATGTCCGCCACGGTCATGTCCGCCATGTGATGTGCCGTGACCATAATCATGTCCACTGTTATGATGATGACGATGACCACGACTGTCATAACCAGCGTCATCGTTGTAATCAGTATTCACATGACGATGATATTTATGAGGACTTAAAGAGCTCACTTTCCTCTCAAAATCATCGTCTTTGTTGTAGCCAATAAGTTTGAGTTCATCCTTATGACCAAAACGGCCATCGTTACTTCCTTCCTTAATCACTTCCAAGGTTGAATGACCCTTCTTTGTCTTAGTATTCTCACCAGCAGCATAACTCCTTCCAAAGAACGCACTCTCATTAGTATCTCTGTCCACAAAGCTTTGCAGCTCAAGCCTCCCACCAGCAACAGAACCGTACACCGAATACTCATAGTAAGGATTCGTGAAGCTCCGAAACCTGCCACTCGTGCGAGAGAGGTAGTACTCATTCGCCGTCCGCCGAACAACTCTGCTCTGGGACGGCGTGGTGGGAGCAGTCCAGGGGCTTAGGGCCACACCAAGATTCTGGCCATCACGCCACCCTGTGGGCTCAAACTGCCACGATAGCTCGCCCTGCCATGACTTGTCATCGTCTGCCCCGAACGGCGTGGCTGGTGAAGGGTGGGGGAACCGCCTTGGGGTGTGGCTACGTGACGTCTGGTGCGAGCTGAGAGGCGTGAAGGAACGGGATGCATGGCGTGACGTGGCTCGAGTGGCATGGTGTTGGCGGCGAGAGTTGGTGGCTGAGGAGAAGGAGGAGTAGTCGAAGTCGAAGGATGAGTCAGCCATTGTTGGGGGAGGAGGAGGGAGAGGTTGAGCATGGAAAGATCGGTGCTACTGAGAGGAAGAAAGAGAAGTATGTGAATGTGATGAAGAGGAGGAGGAAAACAACGCATGGAAGGATTAGAAAGAAAGGGTTCAAACCTTGTTAGGAGCAACATCCGAGGAGGTATTTGCCTAGGAGTCAACTGAGACTATGCTTGCTCCGCCTATATTTTAATATTTGTGTTTTGTTTCTTCATGATTCTTGTTGATGCTTGTCTCTTTCTTTTGTCGACGTAGACAATACTCACAGCAAATTTTCTTTTCTAGGATGACAGACAGATCATGTTACGATGTTGCCCATGCTTAAGTTTGCCAACCAAATGAATTCATGTTAATATAGAATTAAACGTCACTCTATTCATTCAATAGTCGTATGATTGATCTATTTCCAAAATGAGTTTATCAGTACTAATTCGATGACAACCCAGCAATTTGCTCATATCAGATTGATTAGTTTTTCTCCATGTTTCACATGATAGATTGTATGGACGTTGGATTGGAATATGAAGTTACTGTAAAAATTGTTTGTTGTCGAGTAATTTCCACAGAGCACGAAGAAACCGTCCGTTGTGTTTGGAGAATTAACTTAATTCATGATGTTCCACGCTATGTTTCCGTTTTTTTTATTCCTCTCTAAACCCACGGTTGATCATTTGGATGAAGCAGCATCTTTTGAATGCTTATCCAATTGCAAAGCTTCTTTGCACTAAACGATGGACTACAACAACAATATATCACGAAGAGAGTTGAATATGCGCATCTGTAACAAGAAATGCAGAAGACTCTGAAGCCGGCAGCTGAATTCGCGCGGAATAACTGCGGCTACAGATTGACTGTTTCTGCATAATTATTTAACTGGTGAGAGTGACAGACAGGTACTAAATGCATTGGTGCTTATGCTTTTTGTCCTTCCTTTCGTAGTGCATGATGACCCTTTTGTGGGTGTTCTCTTGCGAAACACAGGATCGAAGGAAATACAAGATTCTAAAGCCAAGTGTAAACTCCAAACAGGGAGTTCTGTCTTAGCCAAGGTCAGGGCTCTTTTTTGGGATATTCTTAGGCTAAAGCAAAATGGGCCTCTCCATTTGTCAGCAGAGAGATCATTCATATCTACTCCACATTTTTTTTCGTGAATTCTGGCAGCTATCTAATAAGAACTTTGACTGGTAAGACGTGGCTATGGAAGTTGGAGCATTTTAGTTTATGCAATCCCTTCTCTGTCAATCAATCAGTGAAGGGTCATGACACGCATCAAAGTTCAACTAAAAGACAGGGATATGAGTAACTTCGGAATGGTGAAAAAGTATGCCAATGGTTGATTGGTTTTTAGTGGGAAAAGGGCGAAGGTAACGTCTTAGATACAACATTGCCGTCTTAAGTCGAAAGGGAAAAATTCACAATCAAATTGTTCAGTTACATATTGTTTCAATGGACATGAATCATTCTGTATCTTGGTTTCATAACTCTAGTTTGGCCGTTTAAGCACATACACACAAGTTTACGATCTCACGAAGCTAAATGATTTGACGGTCTAATTTGGTACAATTTAGTTGGAGTCATTCAAAGCAAGTTACTTGGTTTGGTCTGATCTTCCCTATAAGAAAATTACAAAAAAAAAATGACTGAGTTCGATCATGATCGTAGCTAAATGAAGTTGAAAGGTGCTTCTGCATGTCAGTGTTGCTTTTTTGCTCTTTGCACCCACCAAGCTCTATGCATGAAATTCCCTTCATCTCTTATGTTCATCCTCAGAAACTAGTCATATATTTTCGCAGTTACATTCGAGTGTATTCTAGCTTTCGCGCGTATATAAATGCATGGACACAGGACCAAGGCTGCATTTATCTGATAAAATTAGTTGGATGCTCTGAGTGACAATTACAATCCATGAAAATCAGTTGAAAACTTCTCTTGCACAATTTTACTTCTGGAACTTCCTTTCGTTTGTGCTAAGTAACAGATACTTCACATATTCACCTGTGCAGTCTTTTTCCGGATTGGATTCAATAGAACCTGTGTTTTACCGATGCTTGTGAAACAAAATGCACGATACAGCCAGACTGGGTTCAAGTACTGCTTTTTGAAGACCTGGGATAATTTTCGACAGAGAATACAACATTAGATACGTTAACTCCAGAATCCAGTTCCTGGGCCACTTGTGAGTCTCATCAATGGCAGTGGAAAGAAAGTTGAGGAAAAGATATGCAAAAAATATGGCACTTGCTTGCACGTAATCACATCATCATCTTCACTTGCCAAACTATCACTCTCAATAACAGAACAGTACCATATTCTGATATGAAATAAATGCGGCCTATACAATACCAAAATCAGATTTGGTGTTGTGCCTGTGAACTTCAACACAACATACAGCATATTCAACTTGGCTCCGCAGTATAACTGATTTGGTGTATACAAGCACTGTGGTAAATAGTGGATCTCATGCAAATCTTAAAGCATGCCTAGCTAAACGTCTGCATCTGGCAAGCATTCCTCCTTTACACTGAACCACTGAAAAGGGAAAGATCAGAATACTCTCACTAGGAGTTGAGTGACTCAGTGGTAAACCTTCAAGTCTCTTCCCTTGCTCCGGAAAGACGAAAGTGAGAAAAACGATCGTGGTGCTGTAAAATTTCAACTGGCATGTAAGTAAGTTACTCAGAAATATTGTTACACAAGCACCAGGTGAGCTGAGGAGGGCCGTAAAGATACTAAAACCACCCCTGATGCAGACCCTATCTAAAGCTTTGAAGCACATCAGAATGCTGGACAACTAGAAACATCAATAGTGAGCTATTACCTTTGAGAGAGCTTCCTGACAGTGATTGTTGATCATCTCTCAGCTTAAATTTTTCTGGTGGGGCTGGGATAGACCTATTTAGGGCTTGAACTGCAAGATAAGAAGACCAGATTTCATCATCAAGTCAAGAATCATGCTTTAGTTCTAATCTGTAGGTAGCATTAAACGATCACTAGGGCCGGTGTCCAGCAAAAGAAAGAAAAGTGATTTTTTACAGATGATTATGGGAGAACATAAAGCATAGACAAAATTAGTTTGTGGTGGACTTCAATGGAAAAACTAACTATGATCAAGTTTCTTGGTGCTTATGAGTCTGGCTGAAGGCAAAAAGGGTTATTTATGGGAGTATGCTTAACACGTTATTTTCAGTTCCAATAGGAGCCCATGCAGACTTACTTGTAATGCACGAACATAACCCTGATATAAAAAACAGAAAGTTGAATATGATACATAAACGATGAGACGGAACAAAATGCATCTTATTTTCAGGGCTTGATTTTCGAAATTTCAGTAGCTGCATCATAAGCGACACCCAGAAAGAGAGAGATATCCACATTAGGAATTGCTAATGAATTATGCTAATCTTAACTAGCAAAGACTCATCCTGACATCATCATTAAAAGGTTAGTGTCGCACAGACAGACAACATATTTAACAACCAAAATCAGACACCATGGTTGCTCAACAGGAAAACTGACCTTGTTCCTGGAACAAATCACTTGCAGTAAAGCTACCACTGCAAGAATGATCCTGCAAAAAACCTGTAACAGGCTGCCTCAAGTGTTCGAGTGATCTCTTGGGAGGAGGACGACACCCGCCTTCAATAGCGTTATCTCCATCCGATGTCAATGCAGATACCCTATTGACTGAACTCTCTGTCACCTGACTTCTTCCAAACTTAAGCAACCAAAAACCTTTCTTCGCATCCTTGGAAGATTCATTCTGGGAAGAATCACCGGCGATATTGGGTTTCTGAGCATTCCCCCACTTCTTTCTTGTTCGAACAAGACCGGTCTCCGCATGGACCATCGGCTCGCTCCAGGATATGGAGCTTCCAACTGAGGAATCAACAGAAGCATCAATTTCTGATAAGTCGTGTTGGTAATACCTTGGCAGCATCGAAACAGACATGAGATCAGAATAATGAGATCCAATTGAGTCAGCATTGGGAGATCCAGAATTTCCATCATCTAAGGTGGCATGATATCTAACTTCTCCACTTTTGATCTCTTCATCATTTTCAGTCTTTTTAGCCATGTCAGCAGCCTCAAAGGCTAAAGCGCCAAAATCATCATTGTATTTCAAATTATCGCTGTTACTAGGGAAGGCCTCCGAATCGGCACTTTTGACAAGTTCCTCATTTAGGCCAGGACGAACCCATTCTTCATCGAATCTCACCGACTCCAGGATAGCTCCATTGGAGTTCCAAGCAGACAAATTCTTGGACTCTGACGGACTGGAAGAGCTTTTCCTCGTCGCCTGAGAATCCCGTGTCGTCTTTTCCTTTGCACAATATACTTTTGTCTCTTCTCCCGTGCTTTTGCTTCTGGGGAAGCTCCTGTCTTGGGAGCGGGGCGCTGTTCGACCGAGTCCTGGAGCAGGATTTTTGTTCTCTTTCTTTGTATTAGAGAAATTGGGAATAACAGGAAGTGACCGCACAAGAGAGCCTTCGGATTGCGGCCTTCGCCTTCCAGAAATGGAGTTGGAGGGTTTTAAGGAAGGCCGAGGGACAGGCACTGTGGTCGTCTGAGGTTTCGAGGAAGACTGATCTTGAATAGGTGAAAAATGCTTCTTGGTTGCAGAGCTCCTGGAAGAACCAACTCCAGGAGATGCATCGCTCTGTCCGTCTGGATAAATCTCTGCTTCGCCACAGAATAATGCTCTCGTATGCTGTGACAAGGAAAACTTTATAATAGTTAGTCCAAGTAACAACCCGGAAGCCTAATTTAGGTCCAGTTTCGACTTTCAAAAACATGACACGGAAGAGCATATCATTAGATAGTCATGTATTGAATGGAACATAAAACAATACCTCGTCCATCCTGGTGCTCGACTGAATATTGAATGATCGCAGCTTCTCAATACGCGACCGTGCGCCAGAATTTAAATCCGGTCCTTCCACTGACCCAGAAAGTTTGGCTTTCAACTCTGAAATATTCATTTCAAGGTCGGCCTGCATGTCCTTTAACTTAGCCACCTTCAGTGCCCTTTTGTATCCCCCTTCTTGTCTCAGTTTCGCGTCCCGTCTCTGCATGTACTCGTCATAGAATTTCCCCCTCAGATTAACCGATATATCTTTCCTATTAGTATCGGCATAGCCCTCCTGATCACCTACCGTCTTCACAGATGGAGAGGTGCCAAACTTTGTCTGGCCACTCGAACTCCTTATCGACTCGGTCATGATTTGCTTCTCGTGAACTCGAGGAGGAATCGCTTGGCTATTGAAATCTGTACTCCTCCATCTGGAACTGAACTGATCGTCGGACATCCGAAGCTTCTGCTCGGCGAAAAGCCTCTCGAGCTCATCGGCTTTGGTTCTGAGCTCCTCGATGAATTCCTGATTCCCCCTGGAGTGCCGTGTCGACCTCAGAACCGGAATCTCCGGAACCTGTCCATCCGGAAACACCGCACTGCTGTTACCAGAAGATAAACCCGTCTCACCGGCCCTAGCATACGACCCCGTGATCTTCTGAGAGCCGCGGGGAACTGGTGCTTGGAACTTCATGACTCACCTGACGAAAGAGCGCAACATTTCAGAGAAGCATACGTCCAATTCGCATCGAACATCTGCTTCTCCATAACGCCGTCCATCTTCCGAAACTAGTTCAATTTCTGGAGGTCAGTTCGGTCAACACACGGAGCCTCCGCACCAGCTGAGTCGTTGGTGACTCGGTCAGGCAGGTAGGCTCTTTCATATTCCCTCCCCCTCGCCTTCTCTCACGTTTTGCATTGTCTTGGCAATTTTGGATGGCTGTGTGTGACAGTGAAGTGAGGAGAGGCTGGTGGTGGCGAGGGGGACTTGGGTGCGCGACACGTGGGCGCTCGTGATTGGCCACGAGTGGGGGAGGGGGGGGTTTTGGCCGGTCAAACGTCGAGTTCAAAGGAGATGGGCGGGCCCACTCGGCTCTTCCTTCTACTTCCATTGGTGGCGTGGTGGCAAATCGTCAGCAGACAATGTCAAACTCAGGTGACTAGGAGAGAGAGAGATTAATTTGTTGACACGTGGCCAGTCTCCTTTTAGGAGGGTGAATTCCCTAAAAAACCCCTTAATTTTAGGTCAAGTCCGAAATTTACCCCGAACTTTTTTTTGTCTACGAAAAAAGACCCCAAACTTGAGGTACTATCCCAAATCTGCCCTGAATTTTGTTTTGTGTAAAAAAATCAACAAATTTCAATTTATTTTCAAAAATATACCCCCGTAATCCAGTCTCAACTTGACGTGACACTTCTATGTCGATAACAAATCCACATCAGCAAAGTAATAAGGCGATAGGTACAGACAGACGTCACCTTTCCACTTTGATAACAAATTCAACCCAATAAAATTATTTTGAAATTCTCCAAAATAAAACCGTTATATGATATAAAAGTTAGGGACGATAACAAATCCACTCCAAAAAAAAAAATTAATCTGTAAAAAACCCTAATTTTTAGGTTCAGTCCAAATTTGCTCCGAACTTTTCTTTGTCTAAAAGAAAGCCCCATTACTTTATTAGTGTGGATTTATTATCGATGTGGAAGTGCCACGTCAAGTTGGAACTGGATCACGGGGGTATATTTTTTAAAATAAATTGAATTTCGGTGATTTTTTTTACACAAAAAAAAAAAAATTGGGGCAGATTTGAGACTGGACTTAAAGTTTAAGGTTTTTTTTTTAGACAAAAAAAAGTTTGGAACAAATTTGAAACTTAACCTAAAGTTTAGATTTTTTTAGGGAATTAAGCCAATTTTAGGAATGCGTGGGGCGGGGCTAACTGCGGATAAAGGAAACGGGAGGATGCGCAAAACGACAGGAGCACACGACACTTTGGCAAATACGAGATTACTATTTTTCCTTAACGGATCTGGGGAATACAGAGAGAGAGAATACTGAGAACTAATGATGGGGGGCGACAAGTACGAGAAGTGGAACTCGGGATCTCGAAAGCGGTCAATTAACTGCTATACCTGCCATAAGGTGTCATCACGAGTTCATCATAAATTCATAATCATGAGCCATGACATGACAATGTACCTCCCGGCGACCCCTCAATCTTTTTCCTTAAATTTTTTCCATTTCGAGACTATGAAATGATAGCTTTTTTCCTTCCTCCTCCTGTGGGATTAGAATATGGAATTTAACTGGATGGACCTTGCTTTTGCATTGATGCTTTTATCTAATGCCATGCTCTTCCGATCCTCTTTAAGTCTGCCGTCCACACCGCCGTCGAACAACAACGGTCTCTCTAGACATGCATCGGGACACTCTTGATGTGTGTTTTCGAGGCGGTGGGTGAAGGTTAAGATCCGAGAAAACTCGAAATTCGTATTGGGTTTTTCTATGTGAATGCAACAAAACGGAGGAAAGAGCGATATCGTTTTTTTTCAGCATAGCTTTAGACAAACAAAAGTAGAATGAATATACGCGCGTTAGAGAGTCGACCCCAAAAAGGATCGATCGGAAATCGAGAGCAGCTACGCCCTATTATTGTGTTCTTGGACGTCTGAGGTTAAGTCGAAAACTCGAAATAACGGGGGAAGCGTATTGTTCTTTTAGAAGTGCACACAAACAAAAGTAGCCGAGCATCGAGAACGCCCTGTAATTTGTCTCGAACTCCTGATCGGATCAATTGCGCTTTGAGTCCCGGGTTCAGGAGGGTATCGGCCGATCGGATCAGCCTGGGTTGTCCGGTTCCTAAAAGTGTGAATCTAAAAGTGGAACTGAATCAAACCAGACCGAACTAACTATATATACTTTGTTTTCTTTTTTTATTTCTTCAAAAAATTAGTAAAATGTTAATTTTACCTTAAGTGAAGTACGTTTTTTGTTCGTCTTTTCAATTTGAGGATCATTACTGATGTTTGATCATTCATGGTTGCAAAATAATCATTATCTCTTGATGATTTGTGGGTTTAGTTTATTATTTTCGATCTGCAATTTATAAATCTGCTTTTTGATTTTTTTTTTTTACCGTAAAAAATATATGAGCACATAGTTAGAGTCATTTTACTCATAACTTTTTTCTAAAAAAAGTAGTGGGAAACATGAAAAGATAACATCAAGTAGTGGGAAAAAAAAGTGACCGGTTCCCAGTTATAGGACCAATTGGGAACCGATCACCCCTAGCTGAGCTGAATATCAATTATAACAAGCTCGAGTTAACCAAGATGGATGAGTGAATAATTAAATTGAAAGAAGACCCAGTTGCCTCCTCAAAATTTGAACTTGCCGCGACGACCATGTGGCTAGTTTGGAAAGCTCGAAATCACCTCATCATTCGCAAGCAAATCCCGAACCCGAACCTCCTTGTCAAGATAGCCAAAGCATTGTACGAAAATGCAGCGAAATGGATCAATAAGGATAAAAGAACAGTAGCGAAAAGAGAAAGCGTACTTCGCAAGTGAAAGCCTCCTCATCTGGGGACCCTGAAAGTTAACATCAAAGGCTTGTTCGTAGCTAATTCGTCGGTGGGAGTTGTAGCGTGTGCCTGTCACGACTTCGGTGGACGGATTTATGAGATTTGGTGGGACCGCCGCCAACTATTTTAAAAGCTTAAACTGTTAGATAAATGCGTGGTTTAATATTTATTTATTCTAATACTCTCCCTCATGCTTAGTTTGGTCTTTTTGACTAGTACTAAGCATGGTTATATTTAATTGAGGAGGCAAATGCGGCCTGGAAAGATTTGAACTAAGGACCTCCAGCTTTGATACCATATAAGATTTTTTTGGATCACTGCCAACTATTCTAAAAGCTTAAACTACTAGATGAAGGCGTGGTTTAATATTTAATTATTCTAATAGGATTAGCAAAACGGTGATAGCGAATTCGGTTGGGCAGGTGGAAGCTATGGCATTAGTTGAAGCCCCAATTTTTCTCTCTCCCTATTCGGACCTTCTGCTGTGTGTGGAGTCAAATTGTGCAAAAGTAATTCCGAGTGCAGATCAACCGGGTTAGGAAGCGAGAGCACTTATCACCCGAGCCCAGGAGTTAACACTGGCTCGGGAGCTAACACTTTGCTTTGCGGGCCTTACCTAGGCCCATTGCAACAGGGAAACAAACAAAGTCGCTAATTGGGTTGCTAAGGCCCATCGCAACGGAAGGCTTGTCTAGTAATTGGGTCTTGTAACCCCTCCCCCCAAGCTCTTTTCGATTTAATTTGCTCTGAAGCTCTAGACTTGTATTCACTAAACTCTTCTATCCGTCCCAAAAAAAATAAAAAAAAGGATGGATTGAACTTTTATAATCCCTAAAAGGTCAATCGAATCTTTAGATTCATGCATGCAATTCATGATTAGTCCCATAGCAATTGCCCAATTCCAACACGGACCAAAATGTGACATGTGACACAGAAAGTAACAGAGGAGTGATCACCCATTCCCTGTCAAATTTATTCCCCAATTAGATTCTCCTCAGCAAGAAAATTATAAAATTATCTAGAATTTCCCAATTCTTTTTTATTTTATTTTTCTATTGTTTTGGGGGGGTTAGAATCCCAATTCACTCGTAAAAGCCAAAAATTGGCACATACCCAGAAATTTGGACAGTTCTAATTCGAGAGGATTTTGCCATTATGCCTTGGATTATCATATTTGACAAAAGCCCAATTCAAGATACAGACTAACATTAACACCCCCAGGAACACAACCTCGACTTTCAGCCTTCTTCTTCACCACATGAATCAGAGATTTCCTAGAAAACTCTACATAAATTTCTACGCTTGCGGTCGCAAAATCTAGTTACTGTCGTCGCTGTTGTTGTTGTTGTTCTTGTTCTTGTTCTTGTTCCTATGCTGGTGGTTCGCACCGCTCCCTCCACCGCTGCCGCTGCCGCCGCCGCCTCCTCCTCCTCCTCTGCCGCCGCCGCCGCCGACCCCGGCCTTCTTGCCAGGACGGTGTTTAATTTGGGAGATCTCCATCTGGGTGTTCATGAAGAACTGCATCCTCTGCAGCTCCAGCTCCTTGGCGAACGTCATCCTCTCCTTCTCCATCTCCACCACCTGCTGCAGCTTGGCGCTCTCCGTCTGCTCGTACACCTCCCCGAAGTTCGCGATCGCGTGGGTCAGGTCGTCGATCGAGCTCCCCAACCCGTTCCCCTTCTGCTTCGGCGGCCCCGCCGCCGTCTTGTTCAGGTTCACCTCTCTCCCGGGCTTCGTCCTCTTAGGGCGGCGAATCTCCGGCGGCAGGCTGTCGGTGGAGGAGCCGTCGTGGTCGGACTCCGACTCCGACTCCGCCTTCCTACGCTTCCGGATCTGCATCTTCTGGCCGCCCCGCGGTTGCTGCCCTTGCTTGTGCTGTTGCTGCGTTTGCGACGATCGATGGTCCTTGTGTTGACCGCCGACCAACGACCTGATTCCGACGGGGATACCTACCGGGACATCTTTCTGCGTCCGCACGGGGCTCGGGGTCGCCGCGGCGGCCGCCGGGGAGGTGTACTTCGCGGACGGTCCGATCAGCTGTTCCAATTTGTCGAAGAACCTCCACTTGGTCGGGCCTCCGCCGGCGGCGATCTTGGCCTTCTCGAGCTTGTACTTCTTCTTCACCGTGTCGATCCTGTTCTTGCACTGGATGTCGCTCTTCGGCGGCTTCGCGTAGTCGTCTCTGCTGCTCACCGCGTCGGCGACTTCCTTCCAGTGCTTCTGCTTCAGATTCCCCCTGCTCAGCTCCAGGTACCGCTCTCCCCAGGCGTCGATCAGCACCGCCGTCGCGCCCTCGCTCCAGCAGTCCTCGCGCCCTCCCCCTCCTCCCCCGCCGCCGCCGCCTCCTCCTCCGCCGCCGTAGCCGGCCCTCGGGTGCTGGATCGGGAGGGCCAGGGCGAGGCTGTTGTGCGGGGGCGGCTGCTGCGGCTGCGGCTGCGCCGGAGATGTCGCCGCGTCGGCGCTGGAGGAGGCGGGGGGGACCGTCACCGTTATGCGGCCGTTGGCGGCGCGGCGCGGCGACGGCGACGGCGACGGCGACGCGCTGGGGGGGCCGGGGGTCGGCGGCGAGCGGATCTCGTCGTCGTCTTCCATGGGGGAGGAGGGGAGGCCCGGGCTACCGTGCGCCGGTGGGGGTGTGCGCAGGTTAAGCGCGGAGCGACCAATAAGAAAGATCAGCGAAACTCGCGAGCGAGAGAGAGAGAGAGAGAGAGAGAAACAGAGAGGGAGGGGGGGCGCGTTCGTGTGTGGGGGGTTTTTCTGATCGCAATTAACGGTTGACGGAGGGAGGGAGGGAGGGGGGGAGCGTTCGGCTGACGGCGACGGTAAAGCGGGACGGAGCGGGGCGGAGAACACGTGGCGGAGAGACAGAGGAGATGGCCCTGAGGTGGCTAGATCCGATTGGGTGGCGCCGCGGGTGGGGTTCTTCTCGGCGTGCTCGCCGGCTATTTGGTGAAGGTAGGTGGAGCTTTTCAGGGGGAGTTTTGGGTGTGCACTCGTTGGTTGGGTCGACGACGGGGGAAAACAAAAACCAGCGGCCTTTTTTTCGTTTTTTTTCTTGGCTACCGAATATTGAAACGGGAAGGTAAAAAAAAAACAAAAAAAAAAAAACAAATGAGAACTGATCGTGCCAAAAACCCTTTTCGGATATTTATACACCGCCGCGACGAGGGGGAAACTCTTGCCCGAACCGGAATCAATTGACCAAGTGAAATCACAGCCGTCGATTGCTCTCACCTGAAATTCCATGGTTCCAGATTTAGGCAAGAAAATCCGGACACTCCTTTTTATACGTGGCAAGTTGGTAAATTTGTAGTGGGCTGCACCTTGATAAATTCGGCTGGAAATTGATGACCCCGCGACGAGGGGAAATTCTTGCCTGAATCGAAATCAATTGACGAGTGAAATCACAACCGTCGATAGTTTTCACTTGAAATCCCGTGGATCCAGATTTAGGCAAGAAAATCCCGACGCTCTTTTTTATACATGGTAAGTTGGTAAATTTGCAATGGGCTGCACCTTGACAAATTCAGCTTAAAATTGATGACTGTCGCAACGAGGGGAAATTGTCACCTGAAACGGAATCAATTAATCAAGTGAAATCACAACCGTCGATGGTTTGGATATCGATTTAGGCAAGAAATTCCCGTTGCTCTTTTTTTATACACGGCAAGTTGGTAAATTTGCAATGGGCTGCACCTTGACAAATTCAGCTGGAAACTGATGACTGTCGCGACGAGGGGAATTCTTATATGAATCAAAATCAAATGACCGAGTGAAATCACAACCGTTAATGGTTTTCATGTGAAATCCCATGGATCCCGATTTAGGCAATAAAAACCCGACACCCTTCTTCATACACGGCAAGTTGGCAAATTTTTTGTGGGTTGCACCTTGACAAATTCGGCTAGAAATTGATGACTGTCGCGACAAGGGGGAATTCTTATCTAAATCGGAATCAATTGATAAGCGAAATCACAACCATCGATGGTTTTCACATGAAATCCCACGAATCCCAATTTATGCAAGAAATTCCCGATGCTATTTTTCATATACGGCAAGTTGGTAAATTTGCGATGGGTTGCACCTCGACAAATTTGACTTAAAATTGATGACTATCGCAACAAGGGGAAATTCTTACCTGAAATGGAATCAATTGACCATGTAAAATTACAGCCGTCGATGGTTTTCATGTGAAATCTCATGGATCCCAATTTAGGCAAGAAATTCCCGACGCTTCTCTTCATACACGGTAAGTTGGTAAATTCGCCATTGGCTACACCTCGACAAATTCGGCTCGAAATTGATGACTACCGTGACGAGGGAGAATTCTTATTTGAATCAGAATCAATTGATCGAGTGAAATCACAGCCATTGATGGTTTTCACATGAAATCCCATGGATCCCGATTTAGGCAAGAAATTCCAGACGCTCCTCTTCATACACGGCAAGTTGGTAAATTCGCGATGGGCTACACCTCAACAAATTCGGCTTGAAATTTATGACTACCGCAACGAGGGAGAATTCTTATTTGAATCGGAATCAATTGATCGAGTGAAATCACAGTTGTTGATGGTTTTCATGTGAAATCCCATGGATCCCGATTTAGGCAAGAAATTCCCGACGCTCCTCTTCATACACGGTAAGTTGGTAAATTCGCGATGGGCCACACCTCGACAAATTCGGCTCGAAAATGATGACTACCGTGACGAGGGAGAATTCTTATTTGAATCGGAATCAATTGATCGAGTGAAATCACAGCTATCGATGGTTTTCACATGAAATCCCATGAATCCCAATTTAGGCAAGAAATTCCCGATGCTCTTTTTTATACACGGCAAGTTGGTAAATTTGTGATGGGCTGCACCTTGACAAATTCGGCTTAAAATTGATGACTATCGCAACAAGGGGAAATTCTTACCTGAAACGGAATCAATTGACCATGTAAAATTACAGTCGTCGATGGTTTTCACGTGAAATCCTATGGATCCTAATTTAGGCAAGAAATTCCCGACGCTCTTCTTAAGTTGGTAAATTTGCGATGGACTGCACCACGACAAATTTGGCTAGAAATTAATGAATGCAGTGACGAGGGAGAATTCTTATTTGAATCGAGATCAATTGATCGAGCACAGCCGTTGATGGTTTTCATGTGAAATCACATGGATCCCGATTTAGGCAAGAAATTCTCGATGCTCCTCTTCATACATAGCAAGTTGGTAAATTTGCGATGGACTGCACGACGACAAATTCGGCTGAAAATTGATGACTACCGCGACAAGGGGAAATTCTTACCTGAACCGGAATCGATCGATCGAGTGAAATCACAATCGTCAACAATTTTCACGTGAAATCCCATGGATCCTGATTTAGGCAAGAAATTCCCGACGCTCTTCTTCATACACAGCAAGTTAGTAAATTTGCAATGGACTGCACCACAACAAATTCGGCTGAAAATCAATGACTGCCGCTATGAGGGGAAATTCTTATCGGGACCGGAATCAATTGATCCATTGAAATCACAGCCGTTGACAATTTTCACGTGAAATCCCGTGGATCCCGATTTAGGCGAGAAATTCCGGATGCTCTTTCTCATACATGACAAGTCGGTAAATTTGCGATGGGCATTCGACTTAAAATTGATGACTCTACCAAATATTTACGATAAATTGTTATTGATGATAGTTGCATATTTCGACTAATTTATACTTTAACTTGAATTGGTAACTTGCATATCATGATACATGTTGGCAAATCAGAATATTGCAGCTCCTAGCCTCCAATATTAAGGGTGGCCATAAGAAACTAAAAATCATAAGCTGAGTTGAACCAAACCGAACCGAACCATATCGATATGTTCAGTTATGGTTTCGATTTTTTTTTTTAGTTTATTGGTTTGGTTTTGGTTTATAAATTCGGAAACCGATAAAATCGAACCAGACTGATAAATGTTATAAAAAAAATATTATCTTTTTGACAAATAAAATTTGTAGTTTAGCTTAATCAAATAAGTTTTTCCTATCTAAGATTGCTCTACACTCTTATATGAAAGATTTCTACTTCTCAAGTTGCCCATTATTGATTGATTTTAATTTCAAATAATATGTTTGAAAAAACTTTTTAAGGAAAATGATACAAATAGTTCATAAACTTTGGCCAAATGTGCCATGTCATCTTTGAACTTTTAATTCGTTGAATGTGATTTTCAAACTATTCCTAAATGTTCCATTTAGTCCTTCAACTTTTCAAAAAAAAAAAAAGTCAAAAGTTACTATAATTACATTAATGCCTAAGTTTTAAAATATCTTTTCATTTCAACCCATTTCCTAAATCAACAAAAAAAAATAAGGCTATCTTTTTATTTTTTTTTAACCTTTTATATCTTTATAAATATTATCATAGTTTCATTTAAGTATATTTTATCTTATAATCTCTATAGTGTAAAAGTAGAATCTCATTTAAGATTGTATCAAGTTAATATCACTGCTATTTCAATTTCCTAATTTATAGATTTAACTAAATTAATTTAATTAAGAAAACACAAAAACTTGAAAATTTTAGCTATTTAAAAAATTAGGAACAAGATTTAGATACATATAAGTATGATAAGTCTATATATGAATTGATATCGTCATTAGATATTATTTCAAAAACACTTATTTTTAAAATAAAAGGAATATGAATAAATGTAACTTTAAATGAGGTTATATTTTAAATATCATAAAAATCATAAGATAAAATATGTTTAAATGGAACTATAGTAATACTTATAAAGATCAAAAAGGTAAAAAGGTAATAAAATGATATAATTCTTTTGTAGTTTTATGAAATGGATTAAAATAAAAATATATCCTTAAAATTTGGATAATGGTGTAATTATGAAGACTTGTTAATGGTACCGAGTGATTGATTTTAATTTGTTATAGAAAATGAGGGATTAGATTGAACAAATTAAAAGTTTATGGACTAAATTAAACATCTAGGAATAGTTCAAGAACCACATTAAATAAATTAAAAATCCATTGATGACATTACCCATTAGGCCAAAGTTTATGGAGTATTTCTGTCATTTTCCCAACTGTTTATGACTTTTTGTATTTTTCCGTTGATTTAAATTATATCATTGAAGGATTCAATAGTTTGATATGATTAACCGTGATTCTATTCTTTCTTTTTTAAATAAGTGTGTAGAATTAGGTGCTTTTTTAATTCTTCATTTCCACGTTGAAATTAGATAGTCTATATATGCATTGAATTCCTTACTTGTAAATCGACTTTATTGTAACGTTTAAAACCGAACCAAACCGATAACGAGCCTTGGTTATTGATTTGGTTGAATAGTAATTTTATTGGTTTGCAATGAGATTTTCGCAAACTGATAGGTTCAATTTGGGTTGGAAAGTACCTCCAACCTGAACCAAATCAAACCACGAACACACATATCCAATACGATACTCATAACTTTCAACGGGCATCGTTGCAATTCATACTTAGGATTAACTGGGCGTTGATAGGTTCAAATGCTTATTGGTAACTTATAAGGACATGATGGAGTAACCACCAACCAGTAACAGTATATTAGTTACTTGATATTACCAATACACTGCACAAATTACTATCATGTATTAGATTATACCAATCAAGAAGTCCATGATAAATGGCTAGTTTGCCTTGTTTTATCATGTGAGGAGGGAGAGAGAGAAAAATCAAACAAATTAGTCCTACACGACTAGAATTATTTCAATCCCACAACCATTAGATTACCAGATAAACGTTTTGCCTCCATCTCACCATTTAACCTCGCATTTCAGTGGCAGAAAGCTTCAAGAGACCGAGCTGCTGAATGGCCATTTTCTGCATCGTCTAGGCTCTGTGCCTATGGTGAATATATTACACACCAAAAACATGCTGTCCTGTATAACCCCTGTAATAAAGGGGCCCAGCCCAAAGCCCATTAATTTTGTCTTAAAGCGCCTTCATTCACAGGCTCCTAAACAGACATCAGGGAAATTTACTTAGTTGAAAAGTGCATCGACCCTTTCAAGGTTCTGCATCATGCATCCAGTCTTGAGCATAGCTCACGTAAAAGCCATTGGTTACATGACAAATGGACGTAAAGGTACTTTTATCTGAGCGTTCACTTGCTACGCAATAACCACTGATGTGGACAAGGCTAAGAGGAGAAAGCATTTAGCCATTGTACAAAGATGATGCGAGTTTCATGTCACTGGATAGCATGCCTAGACCTGAATTCTACTTACCTTCGAGATCTACGTCGTTTGATGGGCAGCTTCCAGCATCGGCATTCCAACAGGCAACTTTATATGCTTCTCCTCTCCATCCGTCTCACTAAATGTGACAGAACTACTGCGAATAAACAAACGAAATAGCCACTTTTCCACAGCAGTACATCCATATTAAGCTGAACAGAATGAATTAACCTCTCGCCCACCGGCAGGCTTCTCCGTTTGACCTTTTATGGTCAGGTTGATATGATTGGACATCAGATTTCACAAAGGTTATTTAAGAAACTAACAGTCGTTCTTAAACAAAAAATCATAAAAGACTCGCATCAGAAAACGATAACAGCGAAACCTACGTCTCTTTTCCTTCCTCAAGTGTACCGCTGGCAGCTGCTGTAAAAAGTTCGAGATGCTTCTAAGACGAGTCAGTAAAGCAAAAAGACTAGAAGCTCAGTTAAACAAAGTGAAAAAAGCTTCCATTTCCTTTTCAGTCTGGAGAAGGGAAACTATATTGCACCAGCAAAAATTCTCAAGCATCAAAGTTTGTCATCTGGCACTGGCAACACCATCCTTATGTGAATACAAACGTAAAAGAGAATTGTTCACTTGAAGGAGGCTTGAAAATACGAAAATGTATCCTGGTTTCCTACAGGATTCGATCTATCCTAACCGAAACAACTTAATCTGATCTATGCAAGCTTCAGCCTCCTCTGTCCTTCCGAACATGCAAGTCACGCAATTCACTAAGTGAAAAAGTGAGACGCTAAGCATATACTCTTTTTCACAGGGCAGAAAACCCAAGCAGTGCTCACCTGCAAGATCTTAAGATAGAGAATCTCTGCACCAAGGATTTTACAGACAGTTCACTGCCTCAGTCACAAGAGAGACAATGACCGCCCTGAGGTTTTCTACATCGAACTTCAGTTCACCAACATTGACTCGCCCGTAGTTCTGACGAATCATAAACCAGCGCAGCTTCTCATATTTAATGTTCTTTTTTCTAAGAATATCACCAATAAAATTCGGATCAGAGTACGAAAATGAAAAATTGTACAGGCGAGTTACTCAAAGATGCATCTTCAGTTTCTTATAATTTGAATACAAAGATGAAAAACATCAGAAGCCACTGGTTAGGCATGATTCATTTTTCCTTGGGGGAAAAGGGTTACGTAAAGCAAGACTGATCAGGGATGGCAGATACTGACAACATAGATGTTCCATTATTGGTGCGATTTCATTGGATCTGCCAAAGTTTCATCAGGAAAGAGATAATTTGTGAATACAATATTCATTCAGGTCCTTAGTTTATATATATGCAAGACAAACTTAGCAAGAATTGATTTCGAAATACCCACTTAAAGCATTTTTTCTCTCTCAAGTGCTTTTTAGTGGTTCGAGACCTTTTAGAACATTTCTATGGTTAGAAATTCACGTAGGTTGTGATTTTGTTTCTTAGGATGAACAATACTTAATAGATATTCGTATATGGCACTCGAAATGAGTACAACATGAGAAAAATCGTTGCATGCAGCGGTTATTTTAGTCATGCATTTATCATTTCATCAATTCCATCCTATTCTTTTCTAATTTAAGTGTATGCTTATGTGCAGTTTCAGCCACAACCAACGGGAAAATGATGCCAGCTCTTCAAGACTTAGAAATTATTCACAAGCTGTAACAGTTTGGCAAGTTGTGTTGGAACTTAATGCGCACAAAGGACACAACGCATGGTACCAACCGCCCAATGCCATTGAAAAACAATCAAAAAGCCTGCGTAAAATCATCGTAAACATCGCAACCCCAATTTGAGCCATTTTGGAGAGACCCAAGAACAACATTATATATTGCGTTGTAGCCTAATTGAAAGCTCTACATCTGCTTTATTGAAGGTTTTGTGTGAATTTAATCATTAGCTTATCTTCCACTCTTAGCCGAGTATCCATGGCCGCCACGTTTCTCTCGGCTTCTCCGTCTTCTGTGGCCACCTTTTGCTGCGCTCCCAAGGCCATAAGCAACTCTCACCAACTCGGCAGCCTCTCGGCCATTGTGCGTGCCAATCCTGTTTCGTGTATTTTAGTCTTAATTCATGCCTAATGGTTCTTGTTAGAAAAACAATGTGATAGTACAGATATGTGGGAGGATTAGTGAATTAAAGTATCATGCCTTTGTATTGAGTGTATTATCATAGACAAAGAGGCAACAATGCTGACAACAACGAGTACCGAGGACCGGTTCATCGTACAAATGAACGTGTTTATGATCTTATTTGCAGGGTGGCGGACTAAGACTCATGCCAAAGATCCGAATCACTGAGGCAGCAAGAAGAGTATTGCCAGTTGCACCAGGTTACTCCAAGACCACAATCACATGCTCTGTTGTAAGATTATCCCTCCCCGCTACTGTTTTTCTCGATCTCTGCAGTCTAGTCATTGAAACAAAACCAGAATCTGGACTTTATCCTGGATACGGGTTTCGGTAATCAATGGTTTGATGATCCAACATTCCGTGCAGGCCCAGCCAGAGACTCTTAAAACTGTCCAGAGCGTCATCTCGAAGCAGCTCTCGGTCGATGAAAGCACTGTGGCTCCTGAGACCAAGTTTGTAGATTTGGGAGCTGATTCTCTTGACACTGTATCTTCCAGCTTCCCCAGTTCACGAAGCGACTGTTTCCTTCCTAAATGTGGCTATTGGGTTGGTTCTTGATTATCATATTACTTTTTTCACAGGTTGAAATCATGATGGCATTGGAAGAGAAGTTTGGAGTGTCAATCGGCGAAGGAGGAGCTGAGAACATCGCAACCGTTCAGGATGCTGCCGATCTGATTGAGAAGATGAAGGCAGCCTCAGCATAAGCCAAAGTTGACTCCGCTGGTACCCAACATTAGCTAGCCAGCCATGAAGAGCCTGCTCAAGATCAGGAGGAAGAATTTTTTTGCCACATTTTCAGAAGTTTCCAATTTCGATGTCCTTACTATAATCTGAATTCTGCCTGAGTTTTGTGTCATTGCTAGACCACTGAAGACACGGTCGTTGAATTCATCCTTTTCCGTATTGGTACTCAGTCGAATAATGAAGACGATTACTTCGAGACAGTGTACCATTTGTTTGGGATTTCTTAGGAGGATATCACGAGGCTTTTAAAACAAGAACCTGAAACAGAATAAACCTTTCGAACAGTAACCATAGGCAAACAGTAGGATATAAAACCCGAAATAAAAACTTAAGACGGATTTCCTTAATGCCATTAAAGGGCCATTCGGAGTTGAAGAATTTACAGAACCAGAAAAACAAACAGAAGTCTTCAAAAAGGGACAGCCCTATTGACAGGAGATCCAGAGGCGAAAAGGGCGAAGCTAAAAGAAAAGGAAAAAACCAAAAAAGCGGCCATCTAAGAAACGTTGACAAGGATCGGGTTGCTTCAGAGATTAAATACTCTCTGTCTGACTCTCAGCTCATTTCATTCTATGTTCCGGCATTGACAAACATCTTCTAGTAGATAGATGTCTATGCGGCGTTCTTGAATGAAGATCAGCCCTTCCTTCCATCCATCAACGATCCAAAGCGCTGATCAAGATCCTGAAACAGATTAGAGATCATAGATCAGCACAACTACATGGGAGAGAGGCAAAGACTTCAGTGAAATAAGCCGTACGGGAAATCCTGAAAAGAAACGAGTCTGTGTTGATAGAAAACCTTTAGAGTAGTGATTAGTAGATACGCTAACCTAGAAAAATCAGAAAGTACTCACATCCCAAAATCATGAACGCCTAAACATATTTGAATTACTCTGATGGACAAAACTTAAACTAGAAATCATTGAAGATAGGCCTGTCCCGTCTCTAAATGGTGAATTGGGGATCAGATCGATTCATGCTACAATCGCCCGGGCATATTCTTGATAAATTCGTGCAAAACTCACTATTCCTACACTGCAGGAACACGAATGTTCAATATGCAGGTCATTAACACTAGACGGGCACTTACCAATCGAAAACCGTAGGACTTCTAGGCTCTGCCTTTTGTAACGCTTGGGAGGATTTTCTCCTCGTGAACTTCTTGAAATCCCCCTGCTGCGTACCGGCTGGCATTTAAAACCAGAAAAACACAGCATCAGTCACAAAATTCAGGGGTTTCGCTACAGCAAGATAGTGGCAAACAAAACACCCCCGTTTCATCCATCGGCGAGCAGAACAGATCCGCATCGCCATGCACTAGGCGAGGCTCCTAATACAGCATACACCTTGATCATTAGCTAGTAGAAAATGGGTGGGAAAAATGAATCCACTTTGGCTCTTAAAGTGCCTGAAGACAAATGTATGAGCAAGTCCCACCTTGTAAACTCACTATGTTTCATGTGTTACTACGTTGTAAGTACAACAAAGCCTTCACTTTGGATGATTTCTGAAGCCATAAACACTAGACAGAGCTCCCAAATTGAAGACTAACAATCCTAGGGGGTCAAGTTTTCTTGATCATGGGACATCTAGACACACAAGCACAGAGCAAACCTTGAAATGAAAGAACCCATCATTCCAACCATTTCATTTTCAGACAAGATCTCCAAGCAAAACATCGGAAACGCTGTTTTTCTTCCACTAGTCTAGTGTGAATTAACTGAGAAGAAGAATCAAATCGCGTTACATTCTCAAGAAAGCTCGAGCTTTCAAGCAATTGAAAAGGTGGAAAAAAATATATAGAAACAAAAAATGCGTCCTTTCTTTCAGCATTCCTTCGCCCTCTCCTTCATGCGACACGGACCTTGCGAAAAGCTACGAAGCGAAAACGGAAAAAAAAAGAAAAAAAAGTCAACGGAACATACGTGACGGTGGGGGCGTTCCCGGGTCACTGCTGCCGCACCGGGCGGGAGGCTCCGGGACCGAATCCGGGCAGACCGCCCCGCCACCCGGGCTCCCGGTCCTGACGATGGTGACTCTCCGGCTGACGAGGCCGGCGCCCCGGGGGACCGCGGCCGATCGCGGCGGCGCGGCGGCCGCGGAGAAGCGGAGCTTGCCGAGGCCGGAATCGGGCGGGGGGCCGCCGGCGAACGCGTCGTCCCACAGCATGTGAAGCAGACCCATCTCGCTCACTGGCTCGCTCGCTACTTCTTCCGTGCGGACGGACTGTTACGGCGTAACGGGAGGCGAAGGAGCCCAGCGGAGAGAGAAAGAAGTACAACTATATAGGAGGGAGAGAGAGAGAGAGAGAGAGAGAGAGAGTGGAGGGGGTTTGTTGAACGGTCGCTGGCGAGTTGACGGTGGCTCGGCTAAATCACGACGGTCCATGGATGGCATGGCGTGGCGGCAAACTGCTGCAACGGCGAAGCCGAGCACGCGGCTCGCGGTGAGCCGGAGCCGGAAGCCCGGGAGACCCCACGAAAAAAAGGAAGAAAAAGAGGGAATGCGAAGTGGGACCCAGCTATGTACCTTAGTACACGTCACCGGATAAGAATGGGTCGTGTCCCCCCCTCCCCTCCTCACGCCATGTTACTTTACCGACCAAAACTCTCGCTCGGCCCCCACGTCTCCAGGTCACGTGACAGCGATCGGTTCCTTTCTCCCACAACCAACGGTGAATTTTCAAACTCCATTGGTATATATATATATATATCTATTTCGACCAACAACATCACAAAAAGAGAGAGAAGGAAAAAAACTGAATCGATACGTGGCGCTGCGTGGCAGATTGTGAATGGACCCGATCGTATTAAGAAGGGAAAATAACCCAAATAATCTCCGGACTTTATTCCAACGTGCAGTGTGGACCCTTGAACTTTTAATCTGTTCAGTATCGTCCCTGAGCTTTTAATGCATATTCAATTTAGTCATTGAATCATATGAAAATATTTGATGCAGTCCTAATTCGGGGGCTACATTGTACATGTCTTAAAAGTTCATGGATCACATTACACATTGAGCTAAAATTCAAGGACTGCATTGGACAAATTAGAAGTTCATGGACTGTTTGGGTCATTATCCGTATTAAGAAATCATTACGTAAGTATAACACATGCGTCTAATCGTATCTCGATTGAAAGCCATGTATGTTGATCCCAAGTGAGCTCCCTAAGATCCGTATCCATTTCACTGTCTTTACTTTCGCCGAAGTGGGTTCTCGTGCACGTCGGTCAAATTCAACATTCTCGTGCACGTCGGTCGAATTCAACACCCGATGTTTTGATAAGGGTTCGGTTTTACAGTCGGGACGAAAAGCTGCAGAGTTATAATGAAATTTTTTTTCATGAGATGATATTTGGATTTTATACGGCTCTACTTAAATTAAAGCGAAAGCTAATGTCAGTTTTCCCCATTTTCCCCGAACTTTTGCGCAGTGTGAAATGTGGTCCATGGACTTTTAACTTGTTCAGTGTGGTCTCTAGACTTTTGGTACATGTTCATCTTAATCCCCGAACTATATAAAATATTCAATGTTGTCCTTCCATTAATTCAAGTTCAAGAGCAACATCAAATATTTTCACGTGGTTTAGGGACTAAGTTAAACATGTACCAAAAGTCTAGAAATCACATCGAACAAATTAAAAGTTCATGGACCACATTACACCACGCACCGACAAAAAAGAAAGGGATTATATTAGACAAATTAAAAGTTCATGAACCACGTTACGTATTGAGCCAAAATTCTAATATTATTCGTGTCATTTTCCCTTCCCCATCTTCTCATACTCCATATAAACAAAGAGGGTGTCGTTTTCATAATGATGCAAATCGACAAATATTTTAAGAGCTTTCTAAATTTGAGATCAACGCAAATTTGTTGCGTCGATGAATTATGAAACTACATAAGTTGGTGTGTCACCACCTCAGTTTTGACTTCGTATAAAATTTGAGCTTTCCAACATACTACACGCTATCCGACCAAAAAAAAAAAAACATACTACACGCTATATTCGCACATCACGCCTATCGAATTCAAATGCTCGTAAAAAAATACTAAATATTTGCGATATTTTTCCTCTTTTTTTCTAGGTATTTATTTTATTAATTAAAAAATTACCAATATGATATCTTGCGAAACCGTTACTCATTGAAAGAACTTGTAATTTTATTTACATTCGATCTTTGTGACGGATATTACAGAGTGTCCGTGGTAGCCCGGTTAACAGCATTCTCCTTAAACTACTCGTTGGCATGGATCGATGGTTTCTTGCAAGAGAGAAATGCTATACTCAAATCTCACGAGCACGCGTGACAAAAATTTAGAGATTTTTATGAAAATGTTTAAAATAATATATTTATATTAGTACTTCGCGTGAGCCAAATTACTGGGGTTTTGACTTCCATAAATACTACTCGAACTATTTATTTTATTTTATTTTATCAGCACTCAGACTACTTCTTAGGGACTAGAAGGAGGGCGATCTCCCGCGTGCTCGGAATTTACAATCAACTCACTAAATTTTGATTTCAATCTGCGAATAATGAAACATTCTTTCACCTCGAAAAGTTTTGCCAAATTTCCGGCGAAGTACCAACATGAAGACCACGTGGATCTAGCACGGCATCCAATCGACCCTGCCGCCTGAGTTTAGCGACTGCACATGAAGTCTCCTCTTTTTTGACACGCCGGTGAGTGTCCGGCACCAATCGACAATCAGCCGATCTGCACCAACAGTAACGACAATTTAGAATGGTTAGGTAAAATTGCACGATGTACGTATGTATGTACGTACGTACGTACATCAAATTGTATGGACCTATAAGATTGTCGCTACAACATATGCTAATTCTGATTCTCTGTGTTTTGCATATAATTCGCCCCTAATTGGGCTCCCTATTTCGCAAAGGCCCTCCGCTCCTTGGGCCAATCGGAACACTGAAATTGGCCCAGAAAACCATGGGCCGTTGACCTGCCGAATTCACCTAAATATTCCCAAGCTTTGAACAACCCCTTATAGATTGATAAAAAGAATGGTCAAATTGCGATATGCACAGGGGAAATTCTTACCGCAAACGGGGCATTTGTTTCACTGAAAATTTCATGATAAAAGAAAATATTTCTCATGACAATTATTTTCAATGAAAATAGTTAGTTTTCATTTGTTTGATGATTTTAGGGAAAGTAATTTCTTTCTTGCTACAAGGGAAAGCGGTTTCCCCCGATCTATTCAGTGGACCGATTAGTTTTTCATCAGTCAGATACTGGAAAGTAGGAAAATAATTTATCAATAATACTTTTCCTGTAAATAAACGGACTGTAAGTGATGCACAATTCTAAAGTGCACGACGGTGAGCAAGATGATAATATGAACCGAGACAACTTTTAGTTTTTTTTTTTTTTATCAGAAGAACCATATTCATACAATTCTCACGACTTAGCTTGCGAGTACAACGGCAAAGCATTGACACAAAGTAGACTCCAAAGATCGGGAGGGGGGTAGAGTTTCCAATTCTGTGGCAGAACATTTTTTCTTTGAGCCTTCGCTATCCAGTCTATCACTTTGTTGGACTCTCTATTACAAAAGGCCAACTTAATATCAGTAAAATTTTCCAACAGATCTTTGGCTTTCAAGATAAGCACATGTATATCCCACTTGAAATAATCTTCACATGTGACAGCTTTAACCAAGTCTAAATTATCCGACTCTAGTAGAAGGCAATCCTTTGCCCATTCAGAGAAGAAGACTAGCGTTTCTAGAAGAGCACTGACCTCGGCTCGAGCTGCAGAGTCGGCTCGAGCTGTTTTTGCAAAACCATCTACCATTCTTCCATAGCTATCTCACATCACAGCAGCTACTATCCCCGACGTTGAACCTTCAATAAAGGAAGCATCAATATTGATGTTTAGGACTCCCTGTTGCGGATTTCGCCAAATTTGAGGTAAGTGTTGGCCTTCAACAGCTTTTCCTTTTCCTAAATTGCTTCCTCGTGCTTCATTTTGCTTCAACTGAGCTGAATTCACCAGCTGATTTGGGTTTGGTTTCAGTCTTCGGAATATGAAATTGTTCCTTGATTTCCAAATAAGCCAAAGGACAGTCGCAAGTAGCTCAAAAGGTATAGTTGTGACGCTAAAATTCCAGAGCCATTCTTCAATTCTTGGGAGACCTTGATTGGGAAACTTGATTTGCAGTGAAGGATTGGACCAGACTTGTTTCGTCCATGGACAGAGGAGAAAAAGATGCTCAATAGTTTCGGGATGTTGGTGACATAGCTCACACATCGGTTCTGGTACAATACTTCTTCTGAATAGATTTACCTTTGTTGGTAATGCATTTTGACATATCGCCCATAGGAAAAATATGATCTTCGGTTCTGTGTTTGCCTTCCAAATTTTTGTCCGCAATGCTTCGGGGGTTTGAAATGAAGAAGAAGCCTAATTTGGGTTTGGTTTCAATGCAAGGTCTCTATTTCTATTATAGCCACTCTTGACTGTATAGGATCCTGATTTGGTATTTAACCAAACCAGTTTGTCTTCAGTGTCATGTGACCTCAGTGGGATTGCAAGAATTTCATCGATAATCTGTTCATCAAAAAGCTGCTGTAGCATCGATTCATTCCACTTCGACTCCTCCTACAAAATTAACTCAGCTACGCTCTTAGGCTCCTCACGATTAGGTGGACCCCCAATAACTCCCCTATGAAGCCATTTGTCTTCTCTAATGTTAATCTGTTTCCCATTGCCCACAGACCACATAATGGAAGGATGGATAGAGGCTCTCCCCATCAGAACACTAAGCCACCCCCATGATGGACGAGTCCCTTTCCCCGCATGCCAGAAATCACAATTAGGGAAAAACAACCCTTTCAATACTTGAGTCCATAATGAGGAAGGGTTTTGGGTAATTCGCCATGCTTGTTTTCCCAACATAGCCCCATTAAAAGCCATTAGACCCCTGAATCCAAGTCCTCCATTATCCTTTCTTCGTTTCAGAACATCCCATTTCCTCCAATGTAGTCCAGCTTGTGTTTCACCATTTTTCCACCAAAAAGACGCAGTTTTCTTTTCAATTTAGTTGGTTAGTCATAAATTGATTCATCGTCACTCCACCCAGCTACCATTTTGGATCATGGGCCAATCACCTCCGTTTGATTTCTCTCCGAATGATGTTTCCGAATAAAAGTAAAATTATTGTGAGGATGCACACATGAATTGCATTAGAAAAATCCCATATCAAAAAATTGGTGTAGTGTGGTTCGATGCGGTGTGGTTAATATATCATAATTGATTCATAACTCATTAATTTAAGATTTTGAATGAAGCCGAGTCTAACTAAATATGTTGACGTGCTTGGACTTAAACTTCCCTCTTAGTGATTCTCCCGAGTGAAGATATCGAGTTTCTACTGGAACTTTATATAATGGTATGAGAGCTAATAGTTTATTGATGTTCAGTGAATATCTCAAAAAAAATGAATTTCATAACCAGCGCAGTCCCGATTGCAGCCTTCATGGTTTAATATGACAAAAGAGACTAAGGACAAAGGTAGGCGTTAGAAACTCAGATTGAGATATCTTGTTAGAGGGATAGTTGAGCTGAATTAAAAATGAGCAGACCTAACATTGAACTCACACGTGAGGGATAGTTAATATATCTTAATTAGTTCATAACTCATTGGTTTAAGTTTTTTAAATGAAGTTGAGTCAAATGGATATATTGAAGGACTCGGACATGAACTCTCCTTTGGCGATCTCCTCAGATAAACATGAAAGTATCGAGTTTCTGCTATAAATGCTCAACAATTACAATGTCGTTCTATGTGCAACACTTGGATCATCACGTGAAATGTCTATTCAACAGGTGCAAACTCGCGCGAGAGAACTACATGAATCCAACCGATATTTACCATATTCACAATAACCTTAACATAGGAAAGATGTCCTCGATCTAAACTCGAAATTCCACGTCGTATTCATATTCATTAACCAAATAATCGCTTTCAACACAGTCACAATCTCCATTTAGCCATGAGGCATGCAGAATTCTTGGTAAAGGGATTGGGAGGTGAGGCCGAAGAGTATTAGATCTCGGGTTCGATTCTTACGAACACCGCACATGTATGTACACAAAAGAGATGAGTGAGATAAAAAAAAAAAACTGTTTAGAGGGAGAGAAAAAAATGGGTTTTTCCTGGTAAAAAAGTTGCGGCACAATACAGAAAAATCAGAAAACGATCTTTATTCTTTCTGTTTTTATGCATCACAAGACATCATGATTTCCACCCACGTTTTAACCAAATCCCAATGCATTTCCTGGACATATTTTTGTATCAACTTGCAGCAAATGCATTATACTCGTGAGACTTTTATAATATGATCAAATCTTAATGTAGAATCTTTTATTTTTCTGCTTTGATTGGTGGATTTCTTTTTTAGATATTTCTGAAGAATAAAGCAGTCTAGATAACACAAGGAATATGAGGTTTCAATCAATTCATAGGGTCTTAACAGATCCTTCACCATTGCGAACCCCAATTAGATTCAGGCATGATTCACTTTTTCGTTACTGAGAGGACCCAAGTACTCTCTTTCGGATCCAAGGAAAGTGGGCTTTCCTTTTTAACACGGTCTCATGTTATTTTGTCAACAACTTGTTTCAATATTTTCCTCATGGCATAGTTTTGCTGCTGTTGAAGCAAATTGAGGTCGTTTGCCAGTGTTTGAGACCTAGTCAAAGATTGCCACTTTTGGCTGGCTAAAAAACCATATTCTATGCACTCCATTTTCAAATGTGTTTAATCAAATAGAAATTGACCCTTCCATCATGGGATACTATATATTTCTCGATTTCGACCCCATTCCTGTCGGACACGGGAGCTTTAATTGATCTCTCCGGAATTAAAAATTATAAGACGGTTTGCCCAAGAAGGATCATCATCAACACCTTGAAGAATTGTTTTTCCTCCTTTTGAGCACCCGACCGATCTTTCCTTGCGAGTGCAAACTGCCCAATCTCGCACTTACTAAATAGTTACTAAAGAACTTATATGTCTGTGCTTCCTCTAGGGAAAGCCCTAGAAAATGTTCGAGTGTGACAATTCGAACTCAGGTCTCGAACGAAGAATGCATGCCTAGAGTTGAAATTGTCCGCCGCATCATTCGAATTCACAATGATTAGACAAAAGTCGGTGCAAGTTGTGCATCTTCCACAATGAGCTCAAGTTGGCCCAAAATTGATGGTCCGATGAGGCCATGGATTGAAAGTGAAATGCCAGGGACCTACCTACTTCAATTTTCATAGCAACTTGCATGGGGAGCTATGGGACTATGGGACTTGTGTGCATATCCTCCTTTAAACTAGAAAGAGATGAATTAAATAACTTTTAAAATCAAGTGGGGTCTTCACGAGCACCTCGAAAGTCAAGCCAAAAAGCTTAAGAATTGAACTTTTTTTCGAGTCGAGCTCGAGGACCCACTTCGAGTCTCGAAAGGCTCGTTCTATTAAATTAAGTCTAACCCAATCAGTGACGGTAAAGTATGACAAAAGGAGACTGCTTTAATACTCCACACATGTCTTTTGACATCATAAAATATCCGTGTAATATGAGTCCACTGCATTTGTTTCTCGAAATATAAATTATTTAAAAAATATTTTCTGAATATGATCGCTTGTAAAAATATATCGATGAAAAATATTTTCATCGTTCACAAAAATATTTAAATATAAATAATAACGAAAATATTTTTATTGACTAATTATTTTAATCAATACATACAATTTTTTTTAAAAAAATATTTTTTCAAACAAAACAAATGAAAAATTAATCATTTTCCTTTTTTTTTGGCTAAAAATGCTGGCAAGCATTATTGATATTTTTCTTTCCTTCTTTCTAAGTGCTTTTTGGGTCATCTCAGACCTTACAATTGATCTTTATCTCCAGATTATCTTGAAACTTTTTACATATAATACAAAGAATTACCACGTTACTAACATAGTCTAGGCTCTGCTCTTCTATCTTTAGATCCCATGTTTCACTCGGATATTACCATAAATCAGGTTGTGAAATAAAGTACTCAAGGTGATGCAACTTCAGGTGAGAAGCCAGATCTTCCAGGAAATGGAACTTCTCAGTAGCGTGAGTGCTACTAAGCCAATAAACATTGATTAGGAGAACAGCCACCATCACAAGATTACAAAGCACGTCGTGACTAACGCGATTCTAAAGAAATTCCTTCGTCTCGACGCAAATCTCAAATGGATCATACACAATCTAATGCAATCCTAAAGACATTCCTTCGTCTCAACGCAGACCTAAAATGGATCACGCACAAAAACACTCTTTCCACTCCCACCATGGATCGAAATTCCACTCGCAGTTGCCTGTAAGCTCTGAACTTCATGTTCGACGTGCTAAAAGCTGGCCTTGAATTTCTGGACAGAGATTATTGGCAACGGCGAATTGGCGCTTACTGTCATTCAGCAGAGACAGCGTAAAAGTCGTGCAACGAGACGTCGCCAGACGAGATCTTCCTTTTCCTGCCCTGCCTCCGCCTACTGCCGCTGGTTGCTACGGCGATTCTTCCTGCGACCCCCTTTCCTATCCTGATTTCTTCCTCCTGCTCCATCTGTCTTCATTGCACACAAGTGATTTCATCAGCCTAAGAAAGAGCCGCATCGGTTTTCACTAGCTCGAGGTACATTCACCCCAACATAATTTTAAGTGATCATAGCATATGTGGATGAAGAGATTAATAACCTCATGCTAACATTGACGCGAACATTAACAGACACCGTACTGATCATCTACAGTCATTTCGCGCTTGCAAATGAAAAAGAGAAAGCAGAGAGAATCATCAAGACACTACAGATTACTGAGTACGAGGACTTACTCTCTTCTTGCAATGACATATGATGAATCTAACCTTCATTTTGTCCCTCAAGCGTAACCGTAATCCTAAACGCATACCTCCGCGATGCATTTCAAGAGAAAGCAATGAAACAAAACATCAGCGAAACAGCCGCATTAGGCATATGGGCCATCTTGTCTAGTGACATTAGCTAAACTCTCTCGAAAGATGACACTAATCAATACGCTAGTAAAAACCAAGTTGATTGGCACTCCAAGGCAATCCAATCGTGCTCAAGCAGCTTACTTTAAGATTTGCACAGCGAAGGCCGGCACACGCATGCGAGCGAGAGAACTTACCCCAAAACAAAAACTCTGGAAGTGGGCATCGAAGCCAGACGAGCCCTCCGCCTTGACTCTACTGATGTCCGGGGCAACCCGCTTATTACTTGAGCCGGAGCTCGCTCGGTAAGAGAAGTACGAAGACGAGGACGAAGTCGAACACGCGTTAGGGGTCAGAGTGTGGGAGTCGGAAGCGAACGCCTCGATGTCGGCCTGAAACATTTCATTGAACAGGTCGTGAAGTTCCTCCAATGTCTCCTCCCCATTTTCCTGCACGCATTCATATCGCTCAAACCAGACTCGTGTAACTAAGCACATCGCTCGACCAATTCAAAATTCAAAGAGAACATACACCGGACTGGGTTTGGCTCATCATAACGGCCATCTCGCTCAAGAACTCGCCCATCCCCTGCCACGAGGCCATTCAAAATGCACTCCATTAATCACAATGCAAGTTTTTCGGAGCTCTTACTCTGCCGATGTGAAAGATTCAACCCACAGTACATTACCAAATTCTCAGAAGGAACACCCTCCTTCGGTGCGCATATAAACTCCCCAAACAAACATTACGTGGCCCACCACAACCACATATTGCGAATAAGTCAAACGAGGGGGGGGACTAAGGTGTGAGAGGAGGAGAACCAGTCAAGCTCGTGATGATAAGACGTGAAGGTGCCGGAGAAGAGAAAGAATAGGCCGCCGCGGGGCAGAGAAGTGGGGGCTGCTTACGAGGTCATCGCCGTCGTCGTCGTCGTTGTAGACTCCTACGTCGTACAAGAACCTCTTGTCCGCGTCAGATAACACTGTTCCAACAAATATCCAGAACAGAAAGAAAAAGCTCCTCATTTCCTCGATCCCCAGTTCTTATTGCAAAGTGCGAAAAGCGTAAGAGATCATATAGATGGACAGTTGAAAAAACAGGATTATCTACCCGAATAGGCTTGCTGAATAGCCTGGAATTTCTTCTTGGACTCTTCCACGGTCTTGGAGCTTCCCGAAGCTGAACATCGATCTGGGTGCCACCTCTAATTCCAACCCAAGATGAAAAATTATAAGCTTGTTTAGTTTTGGCCAAATCTTTTGTTCATTTTCGAAGTTCCAAATCAAATTCACCCAAAAAGTTTCTCCTTTTATTCAAGTATACATCAGACAACAATTCACTTCAGAACAATAATTCAACTGGGAAAATGGTTGGAGGGATGTTTCTGTTTTGCCAAATCACCATACTTGGCTTCTTCACTGGGATGGGAATACGATGAAGAATGATTTTGAGTATTCCAGGATCTTGTTTCTTGCATCTTAAGTTATCATTAGAAGAGCCCATTTAGTTCGAAAGCAGAAAAGCATGAAAAGATGGTTGGAATTCTAACCAGAGCGAGTTTCTTATACGCGTCCCTCAGCTCTGAAGCCGTGCATTCCTTGTTCAACCCCAGAACCGCGTACAAATCCTTCGCCTTCTTCTTCTTCTCTTCTCTTCCACTCGCCATTGATTCTCTTCACTTCAATCTACGCCTTCGCTTCTTCCTCTCTTTGATCCAAACCCAAGAAAATTCAACAAAAAAAATCCGTCCTTTCCGAATCCACCAAGGCCCCAATGACAAAAGCTCGCAATTGCTATGTCGACGAATTTAACTCCGAACCCATGTTCGTATGACGAAAATGGGTGACCGAGTTCGAAGGCAAAACGACGAAACAATCCCGCACGGAACCTCTAGGCTCTAGCATTGTCTCCTGGAGGTAAAGAGGAGGTGAAAGCGAGGATGTCCCAGAATAAAATTTGGCTGAAAAGAAGAAGGGGCTGATGATGATGATGATTACGATGATGATCAGCCTCTGATGAAGGATGAGGGGTCTAAGAAGGCTCTAGAGACGGGGCCATTTATATAAGTTACAGTTTGGTGCGAAACGGAGTCAAAAGGGGCCGTGTCAATGTTGTACTGCCTTGTTCTTCTGGCCAAGTTGCTGGTTCTCGTTATATTATAACAAGTTGGTGAACGCGTGTGGTGAGATCAGGGTTGTTTTTTTGTGGGCGGCTTTCCAAGATGGAGGGCTGAGATTGGATGTGGAGGCAGATATTTTTCCATCATCGGCGTCATCATCATCATCGGAAGATGATGTCTCTCCACTCCAGAAGGTTCTGTCTGTCAAAAAACGATTGACGGCAACAGAAGCAGCAGTGGCGAAGGCCGGTCCCCACCCAGGAGCAGCCATGGCCTTTTTCGTTCATGGGAGGGACAAAAGGTTGCTGCTTGGCCCGCGGTAGGAAAAGAGAATCCCCCACTTTTTTGGGAAGATTTTTCAGCACTGCCACTCCCTGTTCTTCGTTTCTAGCAATGGCCACCGGGCCATGTCGACCCGGACATGGCACGACTCGACCCCTCCGGGCAAGGGGCGGTGCCGGGGCAATGCCCCGGCATTGGCCCGTTCGAAGAATGATAAGATTGACCAAACCTTGGACACATTGATGAAGTCCACGAGTTTTCTGGATCATTTGAAAAGTTAGGATATCTTGAGATTTGGCCTGGATTACTACTGACGCATACGTAGACGACATATTTTCTTAAAAAGCACTTGCTTTTCTTTGGCTAACTTTGTCATTGCCAAAAATTCGTGTTTGCTAAATTGTAATGCCTGGAAAAATGGCATTAACTTCTAGAATTATGTAAAGAATGTTTACACCTAACTCAAATGTCACAAATTCAAGATGCAGAGAGATTTATTCCTTATATTTGATAAGTGGCTTCACAAATCACATCCCTCATTGGCCCAATCTTTTCAATAATGCCCTTTTGGGATATTTTAATATAAGACGATGAACACAAATTTGTGGTCAATTGATTAATATTAATTTCGTTGTCTCTGGCCACGCTGCTGCTTGCTTCTTGTGCAGCTGCAGACCACCATGGAATGTCTTTTGGACCCGACATTGTAAAGTATACGCCATGGGAGATTGATGAAGATTTAGCTGAAATATTTTAATTTTAGTGACCACAAAATGATGACTCGGAATTGATTATTTTATTCCTAAAGCTCAATGATGATGACGGGCAAGACTGTTTGGTTTTCAAAGGTCTAACACGAGACCAATACACCCGTTTTATATTTATCTCGAATTAATTTTCGCGTCACAGAAATTTTTAAAGTGTTAAATTGGCGCAACATTTATCCCATGCTAATTTTCGTGTCACAAAATATCCCAAATTAGTAAACTCGTGATAAATTTACCATCCGTTAACTTTCGTCCAATATCCCTTTTAAATTGCTTGCGCGAAAACACACATGGAAACACAATTCGGATGGTCAGCCTATAATGTGGATTAAACGTTGAAATTTAACATAAAAATGGGTTTTCTAAATAATATCATATTAGGGAGGCCAGGTATGAAGAAAATGAATTGAGATTAGGAATTCTGCTAAAATATCTAATTATGTCATAAGAGTTATCTTACTCTTCAAAAGTCTATTAAAATCCCTAGTTTCACCGTAAAATTTTGGTAAATTTATCATAAGTATACCAATTTAGGATCTGTTTATGACACAATAATTAGTTTGGAGTAAGAGTGTCACAGATATACTCATTTACGATTTTTTTTCTGATACAAAAATTAATTTGAGTTAAATACGATATAAATATATCAGTTTGATATTTTTTGTTGTATTAATTAATTTTTTTTTGTTTGGCGTCTATTAGTCTGGTCCAGCCTCAGTCTTTACATCAATTTGATTGGCCCTATCACACCAATCATTCTTCATTTTGCTTTCTCTCTTTTAGGTGCCCCATCTTTTTACTTTTTATGGAACTAGCAACATTAATTTATATTTTATCTTTCCGCCCCACTTAATTATGTCCTCGGTTTCTTCTCATCATTTCATTATCAACCCTGAATTTGATTGGGAGATTCCATTGGATAGCAAGATACGATTTCTATTCCGATCATGTGCCTCGTTCGCATGTCAATGCATTTTTGTTCTCCATCCCACGTTTATACCCGCATTTATCGAGTGATATCCTGAGGTCCATTTTCTAGTCGCCGACCTTCGTTATTAAAATGATAAAAAAAATTAAATTATTTAGAAAAAAAAAATCAACGGACTAGTTTATCTCATTGGACGTCCTAAAACTTATCAAGAAAATAAAATTGAGTACTAAAATTTTCAAAAAAGTGCAATTAAATTCTAAAACTTGTCACGAAAGTATAATCGAATCCTAAAACTTTCAAAAAGTGCAATCAAATCCAAAAACTTGTATGAGATTCCTTTGATTGCAATTTTTTGAAAATTTTAGGATTCGATTGCACTTTCATGACAAGTTTTAGGATTTAATTGCACTTTTTGAAAGCTTCAGAACCCGATTGTATTTTCATGACAAGTTTTAGGACTTGATTATACCTTTTGAATGTATTAGGACTCAATTGCACTTTCGTAATAAGTTTTAAGATATTCAGTACACTTATTCCGTTATTTTATTTTTCCTTTTTATCTTGGTGATTGGATTTTTTTCTTTTTCACAGTGAATTCATAAGTTACAAAAGACCAAATCTTTGCTTTTGATTCTCAAACTCTAGCCCATCTCCATTGTGCCCTTATTGGGGTGGTTTTCTCGAATAAGGAGGGTCGAAATGTAAAATCAAGAAATCACAATTTGTCATAGTCTCTATTACCTAGTAGCCACCCATGTGACTTCTAGCTCTCTCATGTGGTCCAAAGGCCAACCCAAAAACCAAAAATTCAAAACAAAAAAGGGAGAGGAAAAGAGGAAAAAACACAAGGCCACGTGAATTGGGGGGCAATCTTGCCTTGGGATTTCCACAAGATCACGTGCCGCAAGCTTCTCAAAAATCAAAGCTCTTGGCCACATTCGGCCATTCATTTTGCTTTCGAAAGGACAATGACCCAACAAAAAAGCCAAAGGGACATTGGTGGGGGGGTTGGGGGGCGGGTATGTGACAAAGCGCCATCCCTAAAGCCAAGGAAACCCTTTTGGGTTTAGGCCAAACGAACCTCCTCCAATGATATGTCCGAACCACTCAAACGTACAAAAATATCATGCCCCAAATTCCCATTTCCGCCGCTAAATTCGGCCTTTTCTGTAACCCTTTTGATGGCCAAGCGGCCATGCTGTTCGAGGACGTGTGGCTGGCGGTCATCGTCGATTTCTTTTTTTTAGGGATTGGGATCGATATCGATGTGTAATTTTCTATAATGCAATTTGGCTTCCGGGGGGGGGGGGGGATAGGAATGGATCGATTGATGCGAGAAGCATCCATGGCTTTATATAAGAGGATGGTGCCTTAGCATCTGGAAATGTCGTGCAAGTAGACGCCACATGAATAAAATAGTGGCACGCATGGAACTTGGGGGCTGTGCCGCAAGTCCAAGTGCAGGCCCTCTCCGGTGAGATAGTTTCAGTGCGGTTTTGTTAGAAAGTGATTTGTCCGCGTCAGCTATAGATTCCCTTCCATAAAGTTCCTAGGCCCTACGCATTGTACATACAGATACATATGTATGGATGAATATAGAGATTGATTTGATGCCTCATGCTTAGTCCATTCCTGGGTCCATTTTCGACATATGCAGCCGCCGTCGCATGTTAGGCCTCTCGTCAAACATGTCCAATCCAAGACTTTATACCCATTCCGACGCATATCAATGGATCTATGCAGTTTGTGTTAAGTGTAGATGTGTGTTCCAACCTATGTGATATCTCAAAGTGGGATGACTTTCCAGGAACACCCGCTTGCGGGCGGACAGCAACTTGCGAAAAGTGGGTGCGTAGCTAACTTGGATTGAAGAAGAGTCAGGGTGGAGATGAACCCCGGAGGGAATTCGTGAGACGTACGGACGCCAGCTTTGATTGACTTTCGTGTTATGCTAATCATCACCATTAGGGCTGCAAGTTGCGGGCTGGAGAGGGCGGGCCATTTGAGTGAGAACCGTCACGTGGGTGTGTAAAGTTTAGTGGGGGTTGACAGTGAAAGACCCAATTTGGGATTTCTTCTTTAGGGTTTGATTGATATGCACAATCCATCTGATTGCTCTTTTGTCGTCTACCGCCATTTGGTCCTTTTGGTTTTTATTTTGGTGGGTCTGAGCACGCTAAGGCCCAGCTAAGTCCAGCTGGAAGATTCAACAGTGCGTACTCATTGACCTAAGAGTGACATCAATGGACTGTGTGGTGTGGTTCATCAATGGACATCAGCTAGTCGTACTTGAATTGAACAAATACAAGTACTTCCCCTACTATATATACCGGTCATATAAGCCCACTTCATCTTAGTTATTGGATATTGTGGGCACACAGAGGACCTGCTTTAATGGTATGGGCCGGTAACTTCTAATGGCTGAGATAGAATTGGCCCGCATGTTCTCGGTGCATGCAATATTTGGTCAATAGGTTCAGGCACTTCAAGATTCTTACGGACCGAAAAACAAATTAATCCGGCACTTAGCACCCTAACAACTTTTTCATCATTTTTTTTTTATTTTATTTTTTAATTTATTTAATTTTATTTTTTTCTTTGTCGGGTCGCTGCGGTCAGCCGCGGGGCGGTCCCCGACCGTGCAACTTTCTAGACTCGACCCTGATCAAGAAATCTCAGATTTCTTATGAGGTTCGAGTCAGTCCAACCCAGTTCCGTTCCCGATCCAATCAATACAGGATGCATATAGTAACATAAATCTTTTATAACTAACAAGCAAAAAGCATCTAGGAAATATCTGTGTTGTGCACCGTTGGGACTTGGAAGAGGCTCTTTGACACTCCTCCAACGTACTCAACGTACATGAAAACATGGTGTGCTGGTGCAGAAAGAAAGAACTGAGCCTTTTCGCCATATCCAAAGCTTCTCAAGAACACACGATTGAAAAGGAACAAAATTTTGAATTGCTAGCAAAGATTAGAAAACCGCACCATCAAGCTCGATCGAAACTTTAGGAAAATGGACTTAATTCCCGCCAACGTAATGTACAGATGCTCACTCTGTCCTCAGCGCCTTGATCCATTCGAGTTCGACTCTGAAATCACCGGGCCCAGATTTCGCGCCGGGGACTCCACCTTCCGCATTAACAGACAGTGACATGCCAAGGATTCGAGATGGATTCATTTCCAACTCTGCGTCTATGACATTCCCTCTCCAAGTTGGCAAATATCGGGCAAGAGGAATCTGAAAAGGCCATGAAATCCACGGATTCAAAAAGCTTTCTCACATATGAGCTGATACACATAATGCGTAATTATGCATGTTGTCCTTTTTTACTAGTCGGTTCAAGTTTCAACCAAAGTAATAAAGCCTAAAAAAATCTTCAGCGGCAGAAACGAGCATAAGGACCAACCCATTCGAGAAGAAGGAATCCTCAAATGCTCATCGATGAGATACTCTTGATGGTGAATAGAAAAGAGATCACCATCAGTTTGCTGTGACGATTTGAATTCAGAAACGACCAATATAACAAGAATGACGGAAAACAGGAAGGACCAATATTTCAGGCTTGACGGAAAATAGTATTCCAAAATAAAGGTCTAAATGAGTCGAGCTACTAATAAGATACCGAAGCTCGACTTGCTTAACCCCCGTACTAACAATGACAAGACTTGCCTTTGCAATATACCAATTGTCTTTCGGCACAAAGACAAAAGCCTGCCATGAATTATCTTCATGCTGTCCAGGTGAGTTCACCCAATTCTCCGTGTAGATCTAGATCAGAGGTCAACTATATCAGAAAAGCAAGTTGTACGCCAGCTAAAATGTTCAAAATAAAGGGGAAACCAGAGGACAACCACTCTTATAAAAGCTGAAATGAGGATAGATAGATACTTACAGTGGATATGTAGCATCTACCATCTCCTTTAAGCTTTAGAGCTATGGAATCATATGCATCCAAATCGATGAAGCCATCAAACTGCAGAAGGGAAAAAAAATTGAACAAGGAAACTAGCTAAATACTGATGCTGGGAAGAATTAAAGAAACACTCAGTAAGACATGGAAATTAACTTGTTAGTGCCAGCAATGAACAATATCCTACTAGAACATGCAAAAATCACTAACCTTCTTGGACCGCATTCCACAAAAGCCACCCCTTCTGATATTCCATTTTGAATCCTCCGCAACATCCAGTGAGAGGTGGCCAGAAAAAATTCCTATGCAAGAAACCGGGAAGCTATTGAGTGTTCAGAACTCAAATCATCATGAGTCATTATGCCAATATAGTCACTATAGGAATAATTACTGAGCAATACCCTTTAGTCCATTCCCAACATTATTGATCTCCAAAGAGGCAGACGATAGCCCTGAAAAGTCACAATAGTGGTAAAGATATTATTAATGAGATGAAAAGTCAAATCACCATTTGCCAGTACAACATGATGGGAAAGTGGTCTTTCCATCTAGAGAAACACAAAATTGAATCGATATACTCTAAGTGTGCAAAATACCGGTCGTTTATTTCCTGTTTAACCTCATTTTCTTTTCATTTGTTTGGTAAACTGTCTGATCCACCAACTGAATATTATCTAAAACACATGCATACCCCCATATTCAGAATCTGAGTAGAGATGCCACCTTTTCAACTCTTCCTTTGAGTTGAAATTAAATATGCTTTTCTCGCTTGGAGGTATCAAGTCATCAACATTCCATGTGAGAGCTGCACATGTGAGAATATCAACACAACAATTAACAAAGGTAGAGAGTGTAATTATGAATTACATAAGTGTCGATCTCTTCTATTTTCTAGAAAAGTAGTTTAAACCATTATGGAGCAGAAAATATATGTATAAGACCTCAGCCAACTATGCTGAACATGAGAGTAAATAACAAATGCCAAAAATTAAAAGATCAAATTCTCTTCAAGCAGATAGACAATTAAAACATGCCAAAAAGCCACTGAAGGACGGAAAACCCATTTTATGACCAGGGAAGCAGATTGTTATTCGAAAGGACATTTTCAAGTCATGCAAAGAGAGAAACACATCAAGGATATTCGCATCAACTCCTTTTCCAGTGACCACCATTATGCTGCTGATGCAATAATAAATGCTCCAGTAAATAACAAAGTAAATTTACTATGCAACAACTTTAAACATGGCAATTCATATCACGATTAGATGATGTTTTATTATACAATCAGAGAAGAGAGGGAATCCACTGTCATGCTTGATGAAGGTTACAAAATCCATGTCTGAACAATATCATCCAGCAACGGACTCCGGCTAAGAAATGCTCTTTTATAGCATTCCCCGAATACTTACTCAAAAAGTCTGGCACAAAAAAATAATAAACTGACTCATCACGAAGAGCTAAATACAAAGGAAATGGTAAATACCAGCCAGCCAAAGAATCATACCACTAGAATTGGATGCCTTTGGGGTCACAGCTGATGAAAATTTTTCATTTATATCTCAGCCGAGACTGACGGACTAATAGAAACTGAAACTGAACAAAGAATTCATCGACACGTTCCAACCCATTGCAAAAATGAATTAGCCCAAGTCACCATGATGACCCAGCCTTAGAAATGAGCCCACATCTGTATCCTTATGTCTCTATAGAGGAAGCTAACCCTCAAGCACTATTGCCATGGCCTTTCCCTTACCAAAGAAATCCCCCCCGAATATACTGCTAGTCACCAATCAATCATACCGAAACATTTCTTCATTCCACAACGTAATTAAAATAGCAGCAAACAACACTCATGTCATATCTAAAGCTTCAACATGTAAATCACACCACTGACGATGACACAAGGCCTGAGGACTGCACCAACAAATCTGACCAAGTTTCGATGAATACGAAGAACACCACAAGTACCTCTCTTCGTGGCGTTTAGAGAGGCCTGCCACAGCGCTCGCAACCTAGACATTTTCGCTCTTCCCCAAAATTTTGTCCTAAATCAAGAAAGGGAAGCAAGATCATCATCTGGAACATGAAAGGCCGCTCGCGTGAATTGAAAGCTTTGTCTATCCAGAAAAACCTAGCACAATGACGAACCGTATAGGAAGAAAATGACTTCGAACTGATCGAAGAAGCACGCAGAGAGAGAGAGAGGGAGAGGGAAGCCGGTCGATCGGAGTGATGAGGCGGCTCAGCGCTTCGCAGTCGCGGGTATCGGAGCAGCCGCCGCCGCCGGCCGATCGCTGTGGGAACTGGGTGGAAGCTCGGCGGCGAGGTTATACACTCTCTGCGACTGGGAGCGGCTCGGAGACACACGTGTATGTCAATCAGTTTGCACCCTGAAACGACGACGTAAGCTTACGACTTCACATGGCTCGTCGTCACTAGATATCGGCCGTCATTCCTTCCCACCGGATGCTCCTCACCCAATCCACGATCAAGCGTGCCTCCGCCGCCGGTCGCCTCTCGCCGTCCCGTAGCCGGCGACCCCCTCGGCCGTCGGAGGCGAATCCCCGGCGGCGCTCATCTCTAACCCCTATCTGTTCTTCGGTATCGACTCCGTTTGCGGTCAGCTCGTGCGTTAGCGAGGGAGAGAAGCTGGAGGGGCAAAATGGGGAAAACACAGAAAAAAGAGAAGGGATTTGTGTGCGGTTGACTGTACAGGTGCACAATAAGAGCACCAATGAACGGGCGCCACCTAGCCAGCAGCTATTACTTGGCCTTTGTCATGACATGCTTAGGCTCTAAAAAAGGCCAAAAAATTAAAAATAAAATAGAGAAACAAATTGAAAAATGCCAGACATAAAGAAAATTATTTTATTTCAATTATTTTGATCGATTGCTTAAGGCCATTTCACACATAAATTTGCCAACGTGAGATTTTCTTCTAGCAATAAATCTCATTAGTTTATGATAATCCGCTACCATCAACCCTGGGATTTTATCAATTATTGTCGAGCAAACTTGATCCGAGTACACATTTTTGTACCTGTTTGATCTACCAGTACAGCTTCAGGACTAATCCATGGACAAAGAGAGAGACATTTGAACGTGTCCGGATCTTCCTTGCAGTTGCAGACAAAAAAGGACCCCCTTACATTTCTCCCAGCGTTCCAGAGTCGGACAAACAAGAAGAGAATAAAAGAAATAGGTTGATCATAGCAGAGTGTGCACATCGCGATCACCTGATCGATGAAGAAATGGCGTCGAATGTTCACGTTCGCTACAGCGGTCGGACAAAAAATTCGAGTATCCGGATTAAACAAAGGTCAAATTGAATCGACTTTGTCATCACGGCATACAAACTCGCTCTCGGGACAATGGGCATGGGATTAGACCACGATTAATGTTATTGTAAGATGATAGGGCTCGATGCGATTAACGCATCGCTATCGGGAAAAACGTGGAGAAATATCTTCCAATGGGACATGCAAGGACAGACCAAGTACAACAGTCCTTGTGTTTGCTTATATTGTCTGTCCCGGTGCTCAAATGGGGGGAGCTTAGATCAGGCTTTGTTGAGTTAACAAATCCAATGGGATTAAGAGCCAGCAAGCCGAGCAAGCTTGCCGGGCAGCGACGAGCGAAGTGGCTAGAGGGCGCCCGGATGCCCCCGAGAGGATATGTTCCGGTATGCGTGGGAGTGAATGACGATACGAAGCGGTTCATCGTCCACACCAGAGCTCTCGCGGATGCTGACTTCGGCCAGCTGCTGCGTAAGTCGGCCGAGGAATTCGGGTTCCACAGCGAAGGGGTTTTGAGGATACCGTTTGCAGCCGATGATTTTGAAGACTGGGTCGCGAGAGCTTCAAAGATGAAGAAGATCTTGAGGGCAAAGCCGGCTTAACCAGGTCGAAGATTCGCGTTGTCACTGTTTATCCGTATCATAAACCCATTAGCATGGGCCATGTTCATAGTGATGCATACAAATGGATGTATCATAGCTAATTATACAAGAGGAATGGAGAAGATTATGCTGAACTACTCAAAATTTTTCATGAGGCTAATGGTACAGAACAACGGGTCATAAGCTATATCCAACTACTAGCACGCATCTCTCGGAGAACGGACACGACTCGTGAACATTACAATACGCATTACGCTATTTCGACTCGTCGATTCCAATGAACAGACGATCTTTTCTATGGTCAAGAGCATGGAAGACCAGTGACTTACATGACCATAAGAAAGTAATTCATTCGTGTAGAGTAATCGATGAAACTCCAATCAACAATTTGTTTGTGATTCTTTTCTGTACGAAGATCAGGATTGTGCCACCCGATTGCATCTCGCTACTAGGAGATATAGAAGAAAGGATACTTTTTCTTCATTGGTGTGTACTAAATCAGGGATACAAACTCTGCCAAAAATTATCACAAACATTGAAAAAAATGTGATAATTCATCTTTCCTCAGATTAATCAAAACACGAGAGGAAGGAGGTAGAAACAAACCGAAAAGCGTGATTGCTACCTCAATTGCTCCCCTTATCCTCCCTCCCTCTGATTAATATCCATGCGCAACTGTAAGAGAGTCGCCAGTCGTGCCACCGTTTAACAGATTTTGAAAGTGTGTCAATGTTCATCCCCTGCATCTGCAAATCGGCTTCTAAAAATCACTTGGATGACCTAGCTTTCTTTCGTGATTTTGACTTCTTTTTGGTGAACTTCTGCGAGCCAGGATCCTCGGTATCCTCATTTAATAAATGTTCGTAATCTTCAAGACTGGCAAAGGGGGATGCCGATGTCTTCCCACTAGATTTCCTCTTCCCTTTTCTCTGGTGGGGGCTATCTTCTCCTTCGTCAGTTTCATCATCTGCTTCCCCAATTGCCACGTCGTCGTCGTCGTTGTCGTTGTCATGTTCAACGTCACTTCTGTCATCTTCGATAGGGCCAATATCATCCTCTTCTTCCTCATCCACATCGAACGGAAGATCAATCTCTTCCTCGCTAGCATCACCAGCCAAATCATCATCATCTTCTGCAGCAACTCTCTCCAAGTCATCATAATCATATTCACCATCTCCATCGAAGGAAATGTCAGCAGAGTCCAACATATTTTCAATCTCTTCATTATCGCTCTCATCTCCGCCATCCACCTCTGCATCGTCCACATCAAATAGCTCCTCAGCAGCTTCTTCTTCTGCTCCTTTCTTCTTTTTCTTCTTTTGTGTCTTTGAGGAATTCATTTTATTTATATAAAATTTGTGAAAAACTAGATCTTCAGGGGGAACGTCCGTTTCAGCCAGTGACAAAATTTCTGGCCCAATTAACTGATTGTTCATATCAAGCTGAGAGAAAAAAACAAGAGCAGGCTCAAATTTAGAGCGTTCCACAGTAGGCAGTGACCACTAATAGGAAGGTCGATGGGTCACAGACAGAGGGAAAGCAACTTAGAGAACCTATCATACTAGGGCAAAGAAACAAAATTTGATGACTCACCTTCTTGGCAGGTTCAATTTGGGAACCACCATGCCATGAGCTTTGCTTGGGTTTCTTTTCCATTAATTTGTCTAAGAAGGCCGGAAGTGAGAGGTCGTTTAATGGGTTTCCATTGTACACAATGTTGGCCCCAGACAATAGTGTCCGAGCCATGGTAGCGACTGATGGATGAACATGTGAAGCAAGTACCGTGAGCTCCCACCAACTTCCACGATCTGCATTGCTATAGTTCCCAAATGGGAATGAAATCAAATCATTGGGAGTTTTTGAAACATAAATCAGCAAGGGCTTATGAAAATGACGAGCCTTTCAGAAACTGGCAACAACCACAGGTTAGCCATATTAAAATAAAAAAAGAGCAGGCTACAAGTTAGACGAAGAATTGTAGACACCTAATTAAAGTATAGCCTCTTTAGAGAAAATAATTATTCTATACGTATAGTAAATACTTGCTTCAAGTATAACATACTCCTAAAACAACGATCTAGAGATCATATAACACAATTAGAGTTGGCAACAATACAACAGTCCATTACAGGGAAACTACCGGGGTAAGAAAAAGGGGTGTCAACTTACCAGTAAGACGGCTCTCTGTGCCTGGGATTATACCCTCCAGGAAGCAACGAACCTGTCGAATTTACTCCAGACTGGTCAATTTTATTTTTAGATAATTCAACTCCCCGAGTATTTGAAGATACATTCTTTATAAGCAACTCAGCTGCTTCGTCAGAGAGTTCATCATCATCATCAGAAGAGATGGGCAAGCCATCCTCCTCCTCCTCTGAGGAATCATCATCCTTCACAGAATCATCAACAATCGAGGCAAAATTATTTTCTTCTCTTGAATCATTGATTTCTTTGTTGTCAGCTTCTTCAACAATGTCTTCGAAATGTTCTAGCTCTTCATCAACCGACTCACTCTGGAGTACTACATTCCTGCACAATAGTATGTATTGTTCAAGACATTTCCATCTGAAACCCTCATCCTCCAGTAATTTCATTTAAACATCAAAACAAACCAAAGAACAACCCGTCCTCACCACAAAGGAGGTCTGGCTTTAAGAAGCTCAGAGAGAAGAAAAAGATATCCACAGGCATATTGAGGTGGCTGCTGCAGTGCAACCTGCCAAAAATCAGTGAATTTGCATTAGAAAATAACAAACCGGGAGGGGCATTGCCATTATCCATCTATTGACTCTCATTTCTCAGAAAATTTTTATAAGTTAAAATCTCTAGAAGTAGCATAATAGATATAAAGAATTATAACTAACAGGAGCACAATAAGCCACGTTCTGTAAATAAGAAATATTAGCTTTTTTTTTTGGGTCGAAAAGAAATATTAGCTTAACATTCTACTTTTTCAACCAGGAACTGCCTGAAATAGATGTGCCAAGCATGCACTTATGAGGAAGAGAGGCAAGCAAACACTCATCTAGGAGTATTTAAGGACATTTTTGCAGGATTATCTCTGGATTTAAGCAAAGAGAGATATCTAGCAAGCATGATAAAGAACAAAAGAAGGCTAAAACAATCCTCACCTGCAAAAGACGCTTTGAAAAAGCAGCCACACGCTTTAAATTCACATCACTTTTCATGGCTCTTAGAAGTAGACCAATAAACATTTCTGCCTGAAGAATGCCAAAAAAACCAAAACAGGTGAGAGAGAGAGAACTATAAGAGATGCACAAACCATTCCTTGTTTCTTCTTTCTATTCTTAAGTATTTGTTAGCTTTCTTGTTCTTGAGAGGGGGATTTCAAGTGCCAAAAGCAGGACAAAACGATAGGGATAGGGACATGGCAAGCAATTTATATGATAATCTGACATTATGATCTCATCCTCCCAAGACCCCAAACTCAGCAATATCAAATTCAAGTCATTTAATCTTTTACAGTGAGTACTTTTCTTTTATGTCCATAAGAAATGAAACTTATTAAGATCATCCCCTTCAAACTCAAGCTACACTTGACTTCATTTGCATAGAGAGAACTAAAAGAAGCATGTCAAGCTTCCAGTTGAGAAATTTCCCTGATGAACGGTATCTCAAGTCGGCCGTAAGCATTCTATATAGTATGTCTAATCAGACATCAAAAAATCAGTGTCACTTGCCTTGGAAGAATTCATGGCAGAAGGAAGTAGAAGTTTTGAGTATAAGGCACGGTAAAACCGGTCACTGACTATCTGATTCTTGGATGAGATTTTGTCAAGAAGCATCAGAGCTTGTATTCCTACATTAAAATTATTTGAGTGAACCTGCAAAAAAAGAGTGCAGATATCAGAACACATAGTAAGATTATTTCCCTCTTGCACCAATCATATAGCTCCCTTCGCAAGCAATTCATCTCAAGTGACTCTGTGCCTCTGAGCTTACCAGTTGGAAGAGCAGTGGTGTCTGGACCTCAACAATGTCATCAGCCTCATTGCTTGAAACATAGGGAAATGCTCTGTTCACCCCCTGAAAAAATGAAAAGATACAATAAGGTCAACAGAGAAATTGCAAAACTATCACACATTGTACAAATCAGTGGAAAGAACAAGAGAAACTGACAGTTAACAAGACTGATAGTATCCTTGAGTCTAATTCAACATGAGCCTCTGATGCATCTTTTTCTTTTTCCCCCTCAGAACCAGAGGCCCCCTTTCGCTCCTTTTTGCTGCTTTTAGCTTTTTTCTGACCACTACCAGCCTCAGTAATCAACACCTGACATTGTCCACCAAAATAAACATCCGAGATCTTCAAAATGGAATCTCTAGGTAATCAGATCATAACAAAAATGTTTGCCTCTGCTGGAGATCTAGGAAGGAAAAGAGACCTCTTCCTTTGCAACCAGGAAATCGTACAAAAGGTGCAATTAATATAATGTAATAGTACCTTAAACACAGCAAAGTACACATCTATCAATCTTTTTGCCACCTTTGGTCCATCTCCTTTGTTACTAAGACGAATTTGGCTAAGGAAATTAATCTGCATATGTACAATAGCTAACTGAAGTGAATAAAAATAGAAATCTAACAGAAACACACTTTCACTTTGCACAATCAGGAAACATGCATGGCCAAGAAGCAATCATCCTAGAGTAAAGTCCATCTGCAAGACTGTCGCAATTTAGGGTAATTCAAAGACAAGCTCTCTCAGAAATAATTTCAGATATAATTGCATAAAAAGGAACTAAGAAAGAAATATTGCAGAAGAATACCTAGGCGATCAGCCTACTCCTCTTGGAAAGAAAGATTTTTTAAAAATGATAAACTCGTGTTGCACACAAATGCCTCATCACCATTTGGGGTATGGTGGCACAGCCGATGCATTGATCTATCCACCAATCATTATTATACAATACAATGCAACGCAAGGACTCATCAAAAAACGATGACAGTGGAAGGTGCTAAAACTGACATTAATCAGTTCTTGAAAAAGATCATCAAAGGCCCAGCAAATGATATTACTAAGACAAATGACAATAATAAAAGATTGAGAAGACGTACAGCATGATACTTCGCCCGTATATTCAGGTGTGGGCGAAAGAGAAAGGAGTCCACCTCATCAATGACTACCACCTGAAAAAGGAAGAACTCACTGTAATGACAGTTGCCCCAAACAAATAAAGTTGTGCATCATAAACAGAACTTAATAATTGGTAACAGAATAATAGGTGAAATGGCCAGTTGCACCCAACAGATTCACATCCAACACAGATCATTTAAGCCAGCACCTTAACGACCTGAAATTTTATGGAGGCAATATTATGTATTGCTTTCCAATTTCCTTCATTCGTACTTTCAAGATTATATGACATCGAGAAGATTCTTATTCAATAGGCCTTGAGTTTAAAGCTCAATTGCCGTTCTATTGAACCGCAATCTGTTTCATAGCCTAAACCCCATCAATGTTGATTTACTTCTGAGGAGGACATATGTGGTGCAGAGTGACATTTGAATTTTATTTTTTTTGAACAGAGATTCTTCTTAGTGGCTGTTCTAGCGGTGCTTGCAAAAGCAGACAGGAGCATGAATCTGTCAAGAGACTACTTAGCAGTTCAACCGGACTGAATGATACAACAGATTTAACTAGTAGACTATTAACATCATAGATAATTCTGTTGTCAACATATGTCTCACACAGTAGATTCAGCTCAGTAGATGAGGATATTATGAAAAGAGCCCTATGTTGCAAGTTCTAGACCCATGCTTACATTTTCTTTCATGTATCATTCCATGATAGAGGCATACAATAAACAACATTGTTGTAACCTTCAAACACTAAGGATGATTGTTTGGTTAATGGCAATTGCATTTGGAATATTATATAGCAAAATATGAGGTCCCAGATTTGAGACACAGACTGAAATTTTCATTCACCTTGAAAAAACCGGATTTGACGAATTCTGACAAAGTTCAATCACTCCTTTTCGACCGGCTGGACTGAGTAACGGCTAGTTCAATCCGCTATTTGATGATTGATTATTTTTGGCAGTATCAGATCGGTTACCAATTTCAGGTCCAAACCTTTAGCCAGCGAGGCCCATCCTTTAGACACCGATTTTTCAGTTAAGGTTTTCAGGGTTTACATTAAGCTTCTTTTTCGCAGAGTAGCCATCAATATGTTTACGTTAAAGCTTGTGAAGATGGTTTAATCAGAGATTGGGTTTGAGAGATTTCAGTGCATAATCCCCATTCAACCTAGTGAATTTCACCGATAACCCTACAAAAATAGGTCACATCAACCAAATCATGCACATCTATTTTACAGTTTCTTGTTGATTTTTACAAGTTATTTTTCACTAATGCCAGTTGATACAAGAGCCTGGATGAAAGAAACCTATAATTTCTAATTTCCATCTTGTTAAGATACTAACAAAGCACTTATCCCATAACATCAGGAAATAAATCACATTGACATTCACGAGTCCTTCGTAAAACTCGCGAAAAATTCTAATATTTGCTCCACCGACTGAGGTGATTGCCAAAATATAATGTGTTCAAGGAGCAGATACGCTAAATGGTGTGGTAACGAATCCAAAAGGAGATTTGTAAATTACAGGGCAATCCTCTGAGAAGTAATTATGACCTAATCTTGTAGTGTCCTTTCATTAAACAAATGAACTATATATTAATCGTATAGTTAAATGTCCATCCAACATTCAACTAGCTTCAGCAGATTGTTATTTATGGAAAACTAAACTTTCCTATACATTAAGATGGTCATTCATGAGCTACAGAAATGTGGACATACATGCAACCTCTTCCCTCCATATGGAAGGAACCTTCCACAGATCTGCACTGGTCCTGTTCTGTGTTAAATGTCATGAGAATAGCCCTAACCAATCAACTGAAAACCCAGGAAACCATGATCATGAGATTGCTATGCGCATAGTCATAAAAAAAGCCACTGCTTGAACAATATACCTTCATGTTTGGGTGTTCCGACAAAAGGCTGGATAAGTGATAGTCAGCATTGGATGCACCCTTATTTTGAGGATCCCCGAGCTGCATATAGACAAGGACAACACATATTATCACCATCAGTTGCTATAAAAGTCGACTAGAATCCGGATACATGAACAATTAAGAATCGATTAGAAAAATGGCCAAATTTCAATCTCAACTTACTTTGTTGACAAGAGCTGAGAGCAATCGACGCTCCTGTTCTGATTTATTCTTCAGGAGTGCATACATGGTCTACAAGCACCAAAAGCTAAAACCAATCAGATTATTTATACAAGCATTTCAGAAAAGAATGAGGTAAAAAAAGTATTGCCAATAGATTAACTCAATTGGTGATCAAGCCACAAGTACAGAAGAGGTATATTTGACAAATATAATTGGAAAAGGTAGTGGAGACTACATGAAACTGTCGATCAAGTTTAAAGGCAGAATAACTATTAACTATCACATATGCCAGCAATAATTGCTGTCCAATGAAGAAGAGCAATTTCATGCATATCTAACTCCACACCCAATTGAAACTTTTGAGAGAGTGATTATTTCGAATAAGAAGATGTGCATATTGCATAGCTAACAAATCTCACAACAGAGTGAAAAAACTTACCTTCAAGGCCTTGTCCTTCAGAATGGGTAGCATATCCCTTGATGCTTCCTCAAGTGCAACAATAAAACGCTCATACCTAAAGAAGTCATGCAATCCAAAATTTAATTAGCTGAAGCATTTTGTCAAATCAATTAATCAATGCAATTTTAAGCTTGCATTATGATGTTGAAAACATTTTTCATTCTTGATTTCCTTGAAAGCACGTCCAGCGTGCAAGGAACAATTTTACCTACAGATAGAAACTGAGTAAATATGTTAGATTTTAATAGAAACCAATGAGAAGCCTCATCTTATCACTAGATGAAAAAGATAATTTTTCAGTTTTTCAATTATGTATAGCATATTTCAGTAATATATCATATCAAAGGCATCCTTTTGTAAAAGGTTTTCTTTCGTTCCTTCTCTCTCTTTCCAGTCTACTGTTCTCATTAAGCTAGATAGGTCTTCACACATGACCACCTGCATCTCAGGAACCTGCTTCTTGAATACCTTTGATTTGCCAACAGCATATCTACATGTATCAATGTTCTAATAAAAGATGAAGCATGCAGACTAGTTAGTGCTAGCAGTAGCATCCATTTGCAGACTACTAAGGCTTTAATAAATGCATACCTCTGCTTTAAGCAGTCTTCCCAGTACCAAAAGAGTAGGAGGGAGTAGCCATCCTTTGTCTCTGGGAGATGATTTAGTGGCCTCTGCAAGAGGGTCTTCAGCTTACGTTCAGGTAATAGACTAACAAGAAGTAGGAAAAGTGTTTTAATAATCATTCATGAACGCACTAAATTTTAGCATAAATTTTGTCAAAGCAAGATCACAGTAGTTCATCATCCAGAGTTGCACCATGCCAGGGCATACATGGATTCAAGAGAAATCAGTGACTCAAAGCCACTTGAAATGGGAATGCCAGATTTCTTCTTTTTCCGCCCAAAAAGATGGGAATGGCAGGTTAACAACAAATGCAATGCACAGAAGCTACATCAGGCAGATGGCACCCACACAAGGCTCTTCTCAAAGAATAACAGCAAAGCAGTAGCCAGAATTGGGAGTTCACCATGAGAGAGAGAGAGAGAGAGAGAACCTTGAAATGAACAATTCTTTCAGTACTTCAAAGCCAGTTAAAGCATGACGTTTCCCCACTTTTGAAGTCACCATTCCTAAAAATAGAAAGTGTTTAGATATAAAATATTCAAACTCTAGCACAGATATTTCATCAGCAACCAGTTACATTATGATGACCTGAATGCCTGTCTATTGCAATATAGTGGAATTAACGGACATATGTTCTTGTTTTAGAGGCTTACTTCAGTCAATGGCCCCATGGTCTAACACAGAAAAGCACTTATTCAGAAAAACAACCGGCAGGCATGCAACACACAATCACAACATTTGAAGAAGAGGCAGATGCCAAAACAGGCCAATTTACTCAAATACACCCTTTTGGGTCTAGAACTGGTAAACGAAACACTGAAAGGTAATATAGACAAACATGGCTAACTCTATGAATTGAAAGATAAAGGCATTCAGGTTACAAAACAAACCTAGAGAACTGTGTCAAAAGTTAATTCAGAAATTGAGTATGAGAACTCTTACAAACTGTAGAAGGATGATAACAAAAGGCGACATTTGAGGCAGGAGGACATATTACGAATTCTTGGGGGAGGGGGGGGGGGGGGGGGGGGAGGCAAAACTGACTTTGGTTCAACAACATAACTTGCAGAGAGATGCAATTACATATTGCTTGACAAGCTAAGCCTTGAATGGGCCATAGGCACATCATACCCCACGCATGATGAAGTTGCTGGGGCAAACTCCAGCAAAGTAGAAAAAAGAATTCAAGAGGCTGTATGCATTATCAATAATCTAAACATGGTTTGATTAGTTGCGAGCTCAACATCTCTACTTAAAAATGAGTCTTGCTCCTCACACTAAACAAGAAGCTATTGAGTCCATTACCATCTCAACACAGCATGAGATCGTTCCCAATGACAAATAGGATTCCCGAAAACATTCAACTTGAACAGCTAAAAGTTCATCTAAAGAGAGAAACTCAGAAAGCTTGCCCATTTTGAACTTCACAACTTTAGAAGATTATACAAGAGACAACATCCGAAGCACTTTATAAAGATTAAAAGGGAATCCAACATCAAATTTAAGTACAACAACACAAAATTACAGAACAAGTAAGCATATGTAGAACCCAAGAAACCAAAGTCAATGCATCCATTTGCCGAAGAGAAGAACTCCTTAATAACATACCAATTAGCCCATCGAGCGACCGCAGGTTCGCGATCGGATTATCCCCAACCATGACCGAGAAGGCAGACACCTTATCTGCAGCTGTCCCCGACCTCTGCGTCGTGACAACCATCTTGACGTCCCCGCTCTGCCCCCTGGAGGATTCGTAATCCTGCGCATACTGCGCCATCAGTCTCTCCCCGAGCTTCCTCTTCTCCTCGACAACAGCCTTCCACTCATCCACATTGCTCACCTCCAACTTCTTCCCTTTCTCTCCAACCACCTTCGCCTCCAGCTCCTCCGCCTCCACGTACCAGACACCCAGCGCGCTCGCCTTCACCAGAGGAAGCTTCGGCAAGTTCCTGAACTTATCAAACGACGAGCTCACACCGCGGCGACCGTCATTCCCATCCACCGACAACACCGGAGGCTTATGCTTAGCCTTGGGTGGAGGCTTACGCGTCGGCCCATCGTCCTCCACATCCGCGGCGGCTTTATCGCGGCGGGCGCCGCCGGAGCCGCCCTTGCCCTTGCTCTTCCGGTCGCCGCCGCGACCGGCGGAGCCGGAGTCCGCGTCGCGCGGCTTGAGCGGGCCTTTCCTGCGGAAATCGGCGTCGTTGAAGCCGGAGGAGGGGAGCGAGGAGGAGAGGCCGAGGGAGGAAGCGAAGGAGGCCACGTCCGACTTCAGGAGCTCGACGTCCTGCGAGCCGCCGGCGTTCTGCGGCGGCTTCTTGGGCTTCGACGACATCGCCACCATCTTCGCACGGCGTTTCGGAGGAAGAAGAAGAAGAAGAGGTGGGAGAGGGTTTATGAAAGAGACGGTGGCGAGGGTTTTAGAGATGAGACGAAGCTCTTTGGCTCGCGGCGCGGGCGCGGATTTCGGGCGGGTCGAGTGCAGCCCGGCCCGCCCGTCAACGAGCCGATCCGAAAGGTCAAAGGGCATTTGGGTCATAATCCGGTTCGAGCGGGGGGCAAAATCGACAATGCGGCGGAGCTAGGGTTTCGTCGGGTTCGAGCTCGTTTATATGCAGACCTTCCGTCGCCATGTCCAGAGCCAGACTTGCTTCAGCTTCCACACTTGCAGAGAGAGAGCCCCGCGCGGTGAGCTGCTTCCCGATCCTCCTCGCGAAAGAAGAAGCCCCTCGGAACCTCCCCCCTGATGGCGACGGGAACCGCCGCGACCTCCGCCGCCGCGCCGGCGAAGCAGCTGTCGCAGAAGGAGGCCGACATCCAGCTGATGCTGGCCGCGGAGGTCCACCTCGGCACCAAGAACTGCGACTTCCAGATGGAGCGCTACGTCTTCAAGCGCCGCAACGACGGTGCGTTCCCAGGAGTTTCTCTTTCTCTGGATGTCGCTCCGGGGTGGGGGGATTATGCTCTTTCTTTTGTCTGCTCGCGCTCGATGCGATGTGAAATTTGTCGTATTTCGATTGGCAAATGCGCGCTTGCCTCCATGGGATGCATGTGGTTGCTGGCATTTGAGCTGCTTAGACGGTGTTCTATTTGGGAGTTCTTTCGATATGATTGCATCTGCGTAGTGTTATTAGGAGAAGAAGTTATTGGTTGTGTGCTTATGTCACTTGGGATCCTAGAATGTTTCCATTGGGTTCAATTGGTTGGTGCTCTGGTCATTGAGTCGTGCACATTGAGATGTTAGGAGAAGTTCCTTCCTATCCCATTCCACACCCTCGATCATTTGGTGCAGATTTAGGAAATTACATGTCTGCCGTGTGTTATTCAGTATATTTTGTAGATACTTCTCAACTTGAAAGTTCCAAAAAATGAAGAAAACATTGGAGCTTAGTTGGCTACGCTTGTTGATGTTGAAATTGGAGCTCCAATTCTTTCATAGCAAGACATTCTGTAGCATCGTGCTTTGTTGAAAATCGGCTCGCCTGAGATTTCCCCCCCAGTTATATGCAATGTTATGCTATGCTTTGGACAGATGCTTGTCTTGGGAGTTCGCTGCAATGTGATTAGTAATGGCATTTCAGTATGCTAAAAGAATAGGCATGACTATTTCATTCTCGGGTTCTCAGGTATATACATTATCAATCTTGGTAAAACATGGGAGAAACTTCAGCTGGCTGCTAGAGTCATCGTGGCAATTGAGAACCCACAGGATATCATTGTTCAGTCTGCTCGACCATATGGTCAGCGGGCCATTTTGAAGTTTGCGCAATATACGGGTGCTCAAGCAATTGCTGGAAGGCACACTCCCGGAACATTCACTAACCAGCTCCAGACCTCATTTTGTGAGCCTCGTCTGCTCATTCTCACCGATCCAAGAACTGATCACCAGGTAGAGTTCTCTCTCTACAAGTATCGTGGTTTGGCAAGTTCTTTGTTTTGTGTTAGCTTCTAGCTGTGTACCATGGTGGCAACGCACCTCCATATTCTGTCCTCCGTAAATTTCAATGCCTTTCATTTTTGCAGCCAATCAAGGAATCAGCTCTTGGAAACATTCCAACTATTGCTTTCTGTGATACTGATTCACCGATGCGATATGTGGATATTGGCATCCCTGCTAATAACAAGGGAAAACACAGCATCGGATGTCTCTTTTGGCTGTTGGCGAGGATGGTCTTACAGATGCGTGGCACCATTCCGCTGGGTCATAAGTGGGATGTGATGGTAAATTTCAAATTATCTCTGTTATGGTTCCTTGGTATTTTTTTCTGGAGGCTTTGGAGGAAAATGGTGGCTATAGTACTCTGGAGGGAGAGTAATGAGGCAGTCCGAACATATGTTTGGCATTGCAACATGTGGAACTTAATAGGAATGGCATTACATACATTTTTTACCGTGTCATCCCCATTAGACTAGCATGGATGGAATGTGACCTTAATCTTTATTCAAAACGCTCCAGACATTCATTCTGACTTAGGGATAATTTTTGTCATAGGTGGATTTATTTTTCTATAGAGAGCCAGAGGAGACTAAGCAACAGGAGGAAGAGGACGCTGTCGCCCCAGCTGAATATGGACTACCAGATTACTCTGGTGGTGACCAATGGACTTCTCAAATCCCCGATGCTTCATGGGCCGGTGAAGCTGCTACCCCAGGTGTGGTCGCCATGCCAGCTGCAACCTGGGCACCAGAGCAAGGTACTGATTGTGGGCAAACATCTTAGTTTTTCTAGATTAGCATATGGAAGCTGGGCCAATCTCTATTGATCTAATCCACGGCAGTTCCAACAACCCAGAAGAGACATTGCTTGTTGGATCCAGCATTCTTGTTTACTGTGCTTCTTATCTTCTGATTGTTACTTGACCTCTTCCCAGGCGCCGCAGTGGCAGTTGATGGATGGGATGTTGTGGCTGCACCAGTAGGTGCAACGCCTGCTGTACCGGCACCGGCACCGGCACCAGCACCAGCACCGGCAAATGATGCTGGCTGGGAATAACGTGTGATCTGTCTTTCCTCATTTTTGTAGACGTCACTCATTTGAGAATTTTTCTTTTTTATGGAGGGCACCATTCAACTATACCAGTGCTCTGGATATCAATGGATGTTTTTGAGTCAGAATTTATTTCTGTTCTTTAATGAAGTCAGACAATGTAGTCGTAAGGATATTTGAACGCACAGATGAACTTAATGGAATGATAATTTGTGGAACGACACGATATATGATGGCATACAGTCACTAGTTTTGACAGGGACTCCGGTATGTTGTGTCCGTCTGATGAGGTAAAAGCATCAATCATGATTGCAAAGACTGTTTGTTATTGGCTACCGGGAATGAAGCCAACAAAGTAATTTCTCAGTTAACTGGCATGCTGATTTCTCATCTTATTCTGTATCGCCACTTCTCAGAAACAGTCTTTCATCGATGGCTTCTTTCTTCAGCTCAGAGATAGGGTTCAAACCAGCATGGACATAGAGAATAGTACATTTGGTGGCTCTAAGGGCGTATATACGGTCGGAGGTGAGTTCACGATACGACTTGGTTAAACCTAATAGACCCCCGCACGAGACATCGAAATAGCCTGCGATTTCAGCACCTGTTCGGTGTTACCCATCTTCTCGAGAAAGGCGCAACCATCATTACAAAAAGTTGATGCTTTTCAACGGATGTACGAAATACCAAAATCCTGAAGGAAAGTAAAGTTTTATAACGGGAAAAAACCACCAAAACCGCAAACTTTGCATGCGACGTATTTATCGACTTTTGCTTTTTGTGAGCATTTACCCCAATGTATTTAGTCCATGGGCATTTTCGTCTTTTTTGCTTTTACTGTTTTTTTTTTTTTTTCCTTCCGTGAGGGGCCTCGCCGGATCCGGCGAGGCGCCCTCGCCGGCGTCAGCGAGGTTCGCCCTCGCTGGGCGACGAGGCGGCCCTCGCACAGGCGGCGAGGGCGGCCCTCGCCAGGCTCGAGCGAGGTCGACCCTCGCCGGCGTCGAGCGGTCGTCGCCTCACTGAGCTCGAGCGAGGGCGGCCCTCGCTCGCCCAAGCGAGGGCGACCCTCGCCGGCGTCGGCGAGTCGCCCTCGCACGGGCGAGCGGCGGCCCTCGCCGTCTAGCGAGTCGACCCTCGCCGGCGTCGGGCGAGCGTCGCCCTCGCACGGGCGAGCGAGGCGGCCCTCGCCGGCCGGCGAGGTCCCCCTCGCGGAAAGGAAAAAAAAAAAAAAAAAGAAAAAGCAAAAAAACGAAAATGCCCATGGACTAAATACATTGGGGTAAATGTGTCAAAGCAAAGTCAAAGTTTGGTGTCACAAAAAGTTCGGGTAAATGTGTGCAGATAGCGAAGTTTGGGGTTTTTGGTGGTTTTTTCCCTTTTATAAATGGCAAATTCAAGGTTGAAGATGTTGAAGCTCATGTGGGCTCCCGATGTCCCTCTGTATAGGTGACGTTCCATGCGGACGAGAAAACATGTTCAAAACATAACGCCGACGAGAAAACCCCTTCGATCCATCCGTCTGTCGTGCTTTCTTCTGTGCTATGTGCTATGACTATTTACAGATCACGTCGAAACGAAAGCAATTGGTCTCTCAGTTCTTGCGTGGCCTGCATTTGTGACGAGCTGAAGTCTCAATATCCTGCTACTCGAAAAACAGCGAAAATTTAGGACTTGTGCGAATCTAGAATGGAGATTAATTAATACTGAATCAAAAATGAAACCTGTAACTATATTTTTGAAGCCCAAGGGGCAAGAGACTAAAAATTATTTACAAAAATTGGACAGGAGAGTTGGGAAAATTGGGTTACAAGTGGGAGCTCTACAGTCTACGGAGATTTTTGTTTCCTGCTAAGCAGCTCTAAAGAGATTTTAGCGACTTAAATTTATCCTTCCTAGTGAATTTAATCAACGAATATAACTGACTTTGCACGGCCGAATGAATGCTGCACATTTACACGATCCCAACGCGATTTCCGCTCTAAGGGAGGGAATTATCGTCTTCTACTTCTCATGGAATCATTTCGGCTTTTTTTTTCCACACTTCGTCAAGGACGTGCCGTTTATTCCTATTTACAAGAAACCCGAATCCTTGGGACGGGTTGGATCGAAGATTTTGTGAGTTTTGTCATGTTTGGTTCTTGTATAATTTGTCAGCAGTCATCAATGGAACAACACTCCGCCATCAGTCACCCAGCGCTTGAAGTCATCAGTGTACTCGACAGTGCCGCCATCATCGAGGTCACTCCCAGCCTGTTTCTTTCTCTAAAATGAAAAAAGAGACAAATGTACTTATCAGAGGCAAGAAAGAAAGAGGCTATTTTCAAAAGCGAGGGATGATGACGATTTTGCCGTCAAAACTCAACTTCATGCACCCTTTCTCTATAACAACTTATTGTGGTTCTTTAAAAATGAAAATCTAGTCTAACCAAAGGAAAGAAAATCCGGTTCCATCATGTTTATCTAAGTTCATTTAGATGCACATCAAGAAATGCAGTAAGCGCTTCATTTAAAGTTATTTGAGCAGCAGATCTTGAATCACACAACTACCGCATGATGTGCAACACGTAACTCACAATGATAACAAAACAAGTGACCATATCCTAGTAATATACATTTAACTAGATCTATGGTTTATCTTTGTTCTACTGTGGTATAGAGTGTTAACAGGTACGAAAGGAATAAAGGTATTTTTTGGGTATACAGAAGAGAATGGAATTGAACAAAACACTGAAACAGCATCACTATCCTTCTTTTTCAATGTAACCAAAACAAATCTATGCTTATAATGGAAAAGCAAATTGCTATATAGTGTCTGATTCAATGGATTGTAGCATCAGAAAGTCCCTGAACTCGAAGCATGTGAAAGAGAAGCTGAGACTATGATAGTGATTTTTATTATTGTTGTCTATGGAAATGAGTAGCTGGTCATCCTTCCCTCATGGATGGAATAACCATGAAAGTTCCACCAGGCATGTGCTACAAAAATTTGCCACCGAAGAGGGTAACGGGAATGGGAACCGCAATCTAGCTTACAGTCCAACCAGATTTCAACATATCAAACGCAGCCTAAGGTGTCTTACATCACATTAATAATTCCTCGTTTCAAGCATTAAGGCTATGGAACAAGAATTCTGCTTGAAATTCAAATTCTTTTATGTGCTTGTGCTCAAAACATCTCTTAAAATGACTAAAGCAAAAGTAGAATATCTAAAATTTACTAGTAACAAAGTAAACAAACCTCCAACTTGATCCCAGATGCACTTGCATGCCCGGTCATATCAGTTTTCGGTCCACTGATAAAATTTCCCAGAGATACACTCGCAATAGATGACCTGCAAGCATTAAACCCAATAATGAGTTTGAATATCAGATAACGTTAACATATATTCCATTTCATCGATTATTTAAGAAGTGTATACCACTTGAGAGGATCTTATTGTATTTTACAAAAGAAGATAAAAAGACAAAAACCAAAATCAGAGTGCTTCCCTTTTCATCTCATGCATCAATGTTGCTTTACAGTTAACTTCAGGATGCAGTTGCCATAATTAAGAAAGCGTAAAGTGGGTGTTTAAAATAAACAAGAAGAGAAAATAAGTCTCCTACAAGAAGTAATACTGCAAAGTACTGCAAGGTAAAAAGCTGTCAACCATTTCACACCTCTCATAAACTTCTTCATCGCAAGAGTTTGCCGAGGAAGATAGCCCATCTACATCCAGAAAGTGCGTAAAATTACATTCATCATCATAACCATCATAACAGATGTCATCACTTTCTTGCCATCCATCCTCTTGGATACTATTGGGGAGCTGCCTGTAAGCAACTGTCGGGGTATATCTGCAACAGAGACTGATATCCATTAGCAAATTAGCAGATAATCTGCAAGGACAGCCCTCCTCAGAAGAGAGATAAATTGTAAACATCATATTTTTATCCCTGGAAAGAATTACAATTCTCAGAATTCAAGCATGAGCATAAGTTCTTATTGCACCAAAAGAAGGATCTTAAATCTATGAAACTGCATATAGGGGATTGAACATAAAAATCATCATCTGGGAGAGAGACCTGTAATTAGAGTCATCACTTTCACTGGCTGAGATCTCTGGAGAAGACTCTGAAAAACCTTTATTACCTCCTTGTGCTTGTCCATTGAGAGGCTGATTGTAAATTAGATTTTTGGTTGCTACACGCATATCGCTTTCGCAGGGAATGTTTCCAGCAGATAGTGATCTTTTCATAAATGATCTACACATAACAAAAGTTACAATTACCTTCTAGCATATGTATTTCAGATCTCAAAAAAAAAAAAAAGATCTGTCATTGTATGGAAGAAGAAGATATTTCATTTTCCTTCTTATTCAGTTCAAACAAACACATCCACGTTCAAATTGCACTAATTCATCACTTGTGCTTAATCACCAGAAACATTGAGTGAATATCAGACATAGTTAAGACATGAGGGAGATGCCCAGCGCTTCTTACCGCATTACTCAATCAACTATTCACAAACTTTTGTCCCTTTAGACTTTATGTTAGATTAATTACACAAAAACCATAAATATCTCGGACATTGAACATTTATCATTAAAGGAATGTATCCCAGAAAAATCTAAAACTAAGCTGACAATAGCTCCATCACGGGTACAGTACATATTTCAAAAGATTAGAAAAATATGCAACTTGAAAGGAATGTGAACCAATATGATCCCTTCGTATATAGTTTAGTGATCCAGTCAATGGATAGTCGATGACATGGACCTAACAGAATTTGAGAATAAAAAAAGATAACTCTACGTACCGAGCGTTCTCGTCAGCATAGTTAAGATGGCGCCTTCCTTCCCATAATGAAGGTTCACCCGGTTGGGGCTGAAAATATCCCAAAAACCTGCTCAACAAATCAGCCAAATATTACACCAGCCGTATAACATTTATGTACACCCATCACATTCAAAATACAGTTTGAAAAGTACCTGAGGCTCGTATGTGAAAGTAAGAGTTCATGAAAGAAAAAATGACACTCACACATTAATGGCAGCTTGTTTCTCGGCGTCCACATAGGCATTGCTGTAATACCGCTGTACAGTTCTGAAAAACTCCTGGGACTGCGTTGCGGCTTTCCACTGACCTCTTCGCTCAGAAAATATCTGTCAATAATCACCAACATGATTGAGAAGTTGGAAAATAAGGTGGTGCATGTGGAAATTTAATAAAATCAACAAATATCCATGGACCATTTCATGGTTAATTTGCTGACCAATTTGGTTATGTCAAAGCTAAAGGATCTGCTCTTTGCTGTTTAGTGATCCATTTCAAGTTCTTTTTTTACTGCGTAAGTTCAGCAAGTAAGCGAATTGGAAACCCTGGTCTCCGTCGCCACCCTCATTCCCCTCGGCACTGGATCAGATATGCTAGATCATTGGATGAAATGGGGAGAAATAAAATGAGAGAATCAAATTTAAAGATCGAGATTCTCGTTCTTTATATTCGGTGTTTTCATCAAAGAAGTCAGTCAATGGTGTCTATGCTTACATAAACAATTGTTCAGAAGAAATCCCAAGTCAAAGGTTATAAAGCCAAATTTCACGAGGTCCACGTATTGGACACCCTTTGATATAACGAATAAAGGAGAAATTCACAGAACTAACCTCACAGGTAGAAGAAGCATATGCAAATAAAAATTCATGGTTATGATGCTCATAGCTGAATAAATATAGGATCTAAACCCGGTTATGAAAAGCATGGATACATCCAATTCCCAAATCTCAATGTATGAAACACTAAGATCCTGTATGTCAATAAAATGCAGCATTGTTTGTGATTAAGCTTCCCTGCATCCAAGGTATAACCATCACAACCCTCTTTCAGAAGTAATAAAACCTGGAGAAACAATTATATCTGCAGCAGAAAACCAAAATCTACAAACACGTTCGGTTGCTTTATTCACACTTGATGCAGATGTATACTCTCTTGTTTGGCCAATTTTGTTTGGAATTGTGAAACTTCTGCTTTGACAATGTAACATGTGCTCTTCTATCTTAACACATCTAATTGGTCGATGTAATTCAGATATTGCTTGTTCCTGGACTGTTTTGTTTCTTTCCTTTTCGCTTAATCCAACACCATGACAACTACTAAGAAAGGTACCAAATTATACTCCAATAAAATTGTTCCTAGAGATCAAATAGATTATGTAGATTAAGTTACCTTGTTGTGTGCTGCAGAACCACCATACTGCAATGCAAGGGTGTCGCCCATTGATTCATAGAGATCCATTAGATTTTCTGCCAAAGGGTTATCAAGATCAATTTTGGGAGAGTCTAGAATTCCCAATGCATGCAGCTGCCTTCCAAAGGAAACCAGTCCATATGCATATTGGGCAACATTTGTGCGATCCAGGCAGTCAATGCAGTTGGTCCTCAGCACCCCTTTCTGTAATATTGGAGGTTTCAGACTGGAATTTCCTCCAGAGCTGCCACTGCCACCAGCGATTTGAGTTTGCTTGCTCTGAGACTGAGAATCCTCAATTCGGTTGGAAAGTTCTGGTAAAGTGCAATCATCCTTTTCAGTTTTCCTGCACCAAAAATAGTATTTTTAAAAGCATATATATACATAGGTATCATATTCAGAAAAAGAAGCGGTTTTCCATTCTCATATTAGCTGCCAGAACAGGTTTTAACGAACGAAACTACATAAATTTGGGAAAAGTAACACCCAATATTCTAGCAACCTTCGCAAAATAAGTAAAAAAGACTTGCCCTAGGTTTGATGCGATTATTGTTCCCTCCTGCTCTGAATTTGCTGCTACTTGCCAATAAAATATGCCAGTTAGGTTAAGAGCATACTTGGCCACCTTGCCAAGAAGTGCCAACGCATTGGTACCTTTGCTGTTATGGAAAAAATGGGTAAAAAGGATCATGCCAATTGCACTATTAGAAGAAAATCAAAGTCCTTACAATAAGAAAGTGAATATCTAATTACTTTTTTGAGTGCTTATGTAGATCCAACTGTAGAAACTTCAGGCGATTCTCTTCAGTCAAACCTTTGTTGATGAATCTGATGGCATTCAAGAACTCGGTACGAAGAACGGTTTCTCGAGGCTTTTTTTCATACGTCTGTTGGACATTAATGTTTTAGAAAAAGGAGAATAAAAAGTAAGTAATGGAAAATTATGAGAGCTCCGTAATGCTTATTAAAGGAAGTTCAAGCACTTAATAGTGACAACAAAAATGAATCATAATACTGCAAGATTCTCGAAGTATGGCTACCTTGATCAAGTTTAATATTACAATCGGATTCCCATATCTCATGGCAAGGTTTTCAAAATGAAGTCTTGTTGCTTCATACTTGTGATCCTTCTTTGATACTGCATACAACCGGTCGAGTCAAAAAGATACAGGTTAAAAACAGTGGCAGGGGCAGAATAAAACAGCTATGTCCTTGTCATACAAATAATGTCAGGCTTGAGATTTAATCTTGAAGTTTCCTGGGACCAGAAAAGGGGGATAGAGCCCCGGTTTTGAATGACAGAGCTTATTTGAATTGGGCACCCTCCAGGAAGATCTTCAACAATTTGTTCCGTCTCCACATCGTTGGCTACTTTACCCCTCTCATTAACACCCCTTTTTAGATATCTAGGGAGAAAAACAAAAGGCAAATGATAAGCTTCTGTTTTCAGTAAGAGAAGAATGAAGATGGTTTCAATTCGTGCCAATAAAGTAAGAGCTAAAGGCCTGCTCTACGACTTATAGTAAAAAGGGAAAGAAAAAGGATGTGAAAGAATCAAACGTCATTGACTAATTGAGGAGTCAAGTTTAACATCAGGAAAGTTGTAATGCTCCATATTTATTTCATTGCTTCACATGTAGAAGAAAAAACGAAATACAGGAACAAGTTATATTTAAGACGCGCTTTAAGGAAAGAAGGCCTCCAAAAGTTGACAAAACCATTGCGTTTTTTGGCCTCCTGTTTTTATGATAAGCGATGCCCATACCTGGTGCCTGCATAATGGCGTGAGCGTCTGGCAATTAGAGTCAACAAAAACCCCCTGCCCAACACTGAAAGTTTAACCTGCACGTTCAAGCAGAGAAAGACCATATTGTCAGTTTCAAGCACCAAACTTCTCATCTTAGCAGCTTTATAGTCTGCATAAGACAGTAGTTATACTATCATTAACACCCTTAATCTATCTACGTAAATTTAGCCATGATGTATGTTGAGCGCAGAAATCATATAGGTTGCCATTTCTAAACCTCCTGAGGAGGGGTTCGATGTGGTAACAAGTGCTTGATGACAAGAGATGCCAAATAAATTCACGATGGCTCAACAATAGATTTGGAATCGAAGTTATGCAAAATAAAAATAAAAATAAAGGCCGCTATGTCCAGTCATCCCAGTGTGAGGAGTCTATTCCAGTCTCCTAAAAACAAAATGGTATAAGCCCATTATGCATGAAGGAGCCCATACAAAAATGCGGACCTTAAGTTGTTCTGCTAACATGAATTACCATTTTCTCTCACCTGCTTAAAGAAACCATATACCAATGCGACTGTCCATAAAGTGTTCTTGAGGTTATTCCGAATATCACGCGTTAGATACTCATTCCACACAAACATGGTCTCATACAAGTTCCGCTGACTCTCGAGGTCACCAAAGTTCTTCTGAAGGCTACACATAACATGATATGAGTAGCTGAAAAAGAAGTCCTTCCTGAGATCCATCGTGCAGAGGAGCTTCTTGTATCTACGACAAAAGGCAAAACACAAAATCTAAAACGTGTTAAAGCATATCCAGAAGAGAGCATAGAGGAGAACAACTCTCAGAAGCAACTATTAAACTTTCAGAATAAAAATAGAACAACGAGAGGAATAAGGAAAGAGTGGTTCCCCTCAAAGACCATGATGATACCTTGTCTCACTCAACATGTTACAATAACATCAAAACAGCAATGAGGTTTGCCCCTGTGCATTTGCGGAAAATGAACTGGCAATGGCCTTAGACAACTGGAATACTGGATTAACTATGTAGAACATAATCACGCCATTAAGTTGCTCTACTGAGATCGTTAAAGATCTGCGTCTAGCAATCTAGCCTATTAACACATAAATGAGTATTGAGTATCGGGCGGAAATAGACTGTTGGATATATACATACCACCACCGAACTGACAAATTAAATGCCATAAAGTTGCATATATAGTTTACCTCATGAAGTATAGCTTCTCTAGGATGGAAACAAATGCCAAACTCCGAACAGAGAACAGCAAAGTAAATTAAATTGAAGGCCAAGCAATTAACCAGAAAGCACCATCAAGAATTTAAATTACAGAGAGAACAAGTGTATCTGAATGCAAAATCTCTTAGTCCTTTCACAGCACTGTTAATACGTTTGTTACATTTACATGCAGAATGGACAAAAGACCTGTTCTCATCCTTAGAAACAGCCATACTGGACTGAATAGTAGAATTTGGAATTGGAAGCATTTCACTCTTGGCAATAGCATATATCGTGTGGCCATAGACGGCGCCAATCTTCTTCCTCTTCGTTATGAGCAGCATGTAGTAGGGTCCCAAGAACTTGATGAAACCTGCAAAGAGAAAGTAAAGCCTGAGAGTTTGCGAATGGCACCGCCGAAGTCGATGAAATGCGAAAGCCCCCCTCCCCGACATACCAATGATTCCATAACAAGTGGTGACGAATTTAAGGCCGCCCGTTTTCAGGTTCCCGTCGTGTATCCGTTTCCGCAGCTCCCAACACTCCTTCTCCGTATAGGTCGCGGAATCCTCGACGACGTTAAGGTCGGAGGCGCCTTCTCTGTCGATCTTCAAAACTCGCCAGAAACTCCTGCTTTTGTCTCTCCCGATCATGTAAAATCTCTGCAACAAGCCAAGATCAGATGAACAAGCACCGAATTGTCTCGAACACTCTTCGTCACGCGAACTTAACAGAAACAGAAAACCGAACGCGCAAAATTTGAGTTTGAAGTCATTTCTAGAGAGGGAAAAAACGGCGTAACCGAGCCTTAACAGGAAAACAGATCACGCCGCATCAACCGAAAGCTTCCGCTCACGAAATCATGAACAACCTTTCAACACAGCACCTCCGTCGAAATGCGAAACTCAAAAAAAAAAAAAACGAACAAGCATCGTTATCATGGCGAGAAAGAAACGCGATGCGTATTCAAACTGCGGGAAAAACCAGATCGAACCGCATCGCGGCGCTTCGGAAACAAGGGGGATTCGGAAAAGGCAATCGAGACGCGCGGCGAGGAAGCGACACGCGAAGGAGCAAAATGCGACGCACCGAGCGAGTCTCGTAGAGCCTGAACTTCTGCATATAGTAACTCCTCGGCTCCGATTCGCCGATCCGGCACCGATTCCCGGCCTCCATGGCGGCCTCCGGTTCCCCCGAGCTACCCCGCGCGGCTCGGGCGGGCGGGCGGGGGGTTGACTTAGCTAAGCATACAACGAGGAGCTGGCCGCGCGGCTCGAATCTTCACGCACGCAATGCCGTGTCCACGACGCGGAGGCCGAGCTCGGAACCGCGCGCATTACAGGCGCACTTACCGCAAGCCAGAAGGGAAGGAAAAAGCTTAGGAAAACAGAGCCTCTAATCGCCGGCGAAATCCAGAGAAACACTACGTAACGCGGCGAATCCGACGCATACGCGCCGTCCTTCGCTGGAGCGGAGCGCGCGAGATGGAGCGTGACCGGAGCGCGGGAAACAGGCGAGCCGCCGCTTGAGGTGGCGGCGACGACGGCGGCGGCGGCAGCGGCAGCGGAGGAGGAGGGAGGTGGAGGAGAGAGAGAGAGAGAGAGAGAAGTGGGAGAGAGGAACAGCTTCGGCGACTGTGTCCACACGAATAAACGCAAAAGAAAATGTAGAGAGAGAGAGAGAGGGAGAGCGAGAATTAGAATTTTCCATTTGGTTCGATTTTTCTCTTTTAAATCGGTTGGAAATTTCGTGATTTGTTTGTTTTTTTTTAAAAAGATAAGAAAAAAATTTGAATTAATTCGTAAATTTAATTTACGGCAGATAACATTGCGTAGCCGGTAATTTCCAGAGTCAATGGCTCGCCCAAGTCGAAATTGCTAACTCTTTCGCGCGATGCCGATTGGACCGGGATCGTTTCAATTATCTACCTACCGGTTTATACTTGATAATATGATGAAAGGACGACATGGAATTTCAATCGCTCGAAAAAGAGTGATAAATTAGTGGATTTAAATAGTGCTTTGATGTTTCGATCGTGATCGATTCATTTGCCATGCTCGACGGCATCTGCAGGATTAGGAATCGAGACGGTTCACCGAGAGCCCAGAAGATGCGGAAAGAAGAGTGAGTTATCGATCTCCCGATATGCTCCTATTTGAAAGAGTTTCAAAGGGTAATCGGTAAACCCTTGTCCAAAAGACATCTTTTGCTGCAAAAATAAACATGAGATTTGAATTATCGGGAAACAAAAAACTATCATAAAACGATAGCAATTTCGATTTTAAATTCACAATACGTAATGAATTTATCCTAGTGATAATATGATAACAATCGTCACGGCAACAAGCACGGACTCGCGAAAAATTTCGCGATCCGACTCCCGTGAACAATCAAACATACAGCGATCGATATTGATCACAAACCATATCGGGCGAAACTTACTTTTTCTTTTTATCGACGAAATCCCGATCCAATCTGGAATTGATTCGACGAACTGGATCGACCGACTCGATCCCAGAGCGAAATCGCGAACAGAGACACATCATGACATTTTCCGTACGAAATTAAATTTGCTAGAAGTTTGATAAATAAAAACAAAAAAAATCACATAGATTTCATAATAAATATGGCTAATTAAAGAAAGAAAAGGAAGAAAGAAGTTTGGTCTTTCCCCCCTCCTTTTAGGGGGGCCTTCCCGTCGTTGTAGCTTATATTATATGGTGACTTGTAATTATATCATATCATATTATATTATATTATATTATATTTTCTACTATCACGACGGCTAAAAGTCCCGTCGTCGCGCAAGGTCCCATTTGCTTCGTGGGTCATTAAATTAGGCCTAATTATTGACGCGATATCTTGCTAAAAATGCGAATATGCTCGACAACACTTTCCATGTATAAGCCAAGTGGGCGAAATGACGTGCCGAGTTATTTTTTCATATTCCGTGGTTGATATTTATTTTTGGAATTTTTTTGTGGGAAATTTGCACAGCGGAATCTTCGTTTCCCACCTAAAAAAAATTAATAATAATAATAAAAATAATATTATCGGTATGGTGTCATTTCAATAAGGCCATTTTAAAGAGCGATGCTTGCACGCTAATTACAATACAATACGTGGAAATTTCCAAGCTGACTCGTTCGTGCCGATGGACAACTGGGATTTGACAGGCAAGCAAGCAGCAATTTCTTCTTCGTTTCCTTGTTTGTTGTTAGATTCTCGTGTCCGGCTTGTGAAATGTTTGTCTAGAGCGATTTTTTTGACCCTTTGCAAAATTGGATGAAATCCATTTTTTTTCTTTTTTCTTTTTGCTCTTTGTCAATTTGAATATAAGAAGTGTTTCGGAATATTTATAAATATTCGACGTATGAAATGTCGTGCGATTTTTCGACGTTATTTGGGATTTTTTTTTAATTATTTTCTTTCGAGTTGATATAGCTTTCTACGGACGATCTCGTGATTTTTCATCCCGAAGGCTAGATTCATCCATTGCTTCTCTGGCGCCATTTGAAATAGTAACAAACTTATTCCAACGTAAGGGTATATATTAGAATCTTCGATCCGATCAGAACTCGGTTATTCACACTGGGACTAGAAAGTCTACGAGAAATCACTTTCCGACGACCTAATTTGTAAATCTTTGCGCTGAATACCAATTAAACATAGGACCTCACGCTCCTCAAAACGCAAGATCATGGTGGTTTTTGTCGCTTAATTGATCCTTTGCTTTTCATTTCCGAGAAAATTACCAAAAAAATACAAATCCCGTTGCACTTTGTGCCAATTCAATCGTAAACCTTCTAATTTTGTCAATTTAATCCTAAACTTCTAACAATTTTTTCAATTGAGTCTTTTCCGTCGCTTTTGACCGGAAATCGCCGACATAAACGATGGTCGTCCTACGTGACCGCACCGGTGCTGACATAGACAAGTCTTGCAATTTTCTGGCCAGCGCCAAAATTGTCAAAAGATTTACAACTATATTTGCAAAGAATCGAAAAGCTTATTACTGAAATTAGCACACGTGCAATAAATTTACAAGTTTTCCGCTAATTTTCCCCTTCATTTCCCCCTTTTGCCAAAATCTCTCGTGGGTTCGATAAGTCAATCAAATGCCGCGCGCAATTTCGTCGAAGGAAAGAATTCCTCCGAGATCTACTTGCTCTAAGAATTAGGATTTTATTCGAACGGCGTTGTTTTGCTTATTACGCTACGCCACTGGAAAGATTCCGCCCTTTTGGAGGTCCAATGTGAAAAGGGCGTGGTGGGCACAATGAATGACGTAGGACAACTTGGGGGACTCGCAATTAATGAGCGAGCGACGATGATTCTGCTTTCCGAACATCGATCGATTCGGTCGCACTGAGATTTGGGATTCGGACGCTTTTTGCATGCCCAAATTGCCCACCCGCCCACCCACCCATCAACCAACCAGAACGCACGGAATTGAGGTGGCCTATCGCGGCATGAAATCGAGACCCCCCAACACTTTCTAGATGTATCTACCTTTAACTACTTTCGATTGCAGATTTATTTCCCACGGATAGAGCCAAATTACAAACGGATGGATCTTGTCTTTTTTTGGGAGATTTATCGATCTCTGGGGAAGATCCTTCGAGTCAACGGGACATATCGAAAATCTTGGATTTCGCTAAGATGCGCGAGATTCGAAATTATCTTTCCTTTTTTATGTAAGCCAAAGTGAGTTGGGTCATCCGGCAAGAGTCGGATACTCCGCACACCGTGCCCATGTTCGGTTCCTGTTGCCAACAATCCCCATTGGTAGGTGATGTGTAAATATGCTATGGGTGACCTCCCCTCTTATTAAACTCCTTGTTAATCAAAAAAAAAAAATTTGATGATTTATTTTGCGATTATAGCAAACAAAATAAAACAATCCTTCTCACGTGATCAAATCCTTAAGGAGTCTTATTAGCGTCGTCTCGTATCGTCTAGCGATACTTCCCCAATTTGATTCGTGATTCGGCCATAATTCCAACCTCTTTCCTCATATTTAAAAGGATGTTCGAAGTCACATTTTGTCCAAACCCTCTCATTAGATCGGTTCCTACTCTCTTCAAATCTAAGAAGCCTAGTTTTATGATCAAACCGCACATCTATTGAAGGGAGTTATGCTCTGACACTTTCATTGAGTAAATACATTAACAAGCACAAAGGAAGACAAACACACTTATCAATCGAGCAACCTTGGGACGAGCAAGCGGCAAAAGGAATGTGTTAATATCACAAAAAATACTAAATCGGTACACTTATGACAAATTTACTCGAAATTAATTTTCGGATCACAAAAAATCCTAAAGTAGTACACATGTGACAAATTTTCAAAAAATTAAATTTTTTATCACAAAAAACTACAAGTGACACATTTACTCTCATTTAATTTCCATTAAATTTTACCATGAAATTATTGAGTTGATGACACATGACAATAACAAGGTGGCAAGTCCACGTGGAATCTATAACTCTTTCTCTTTGTTTCTTCAATTAGCCCTAATTTGAAAACAAGGGCTCATTCTCTATCTCCCTCATAGCACAAAAAACCATAGATCGTCTTCCGACGAACTTCGTTGATAGAGCTGCAAGATGACGCGTTTCTCTTTGAACCAATTCTAATTAAAACCACTGACTATTCTAATATGGTGATTTGGATGAGTTAGCCAAACAAGCCCAGAAAAAAAAAATTGAAGGCGAGAAGATTATTAGAGATAAAAGCGTGCTCAAATGAGTTCCGACGTCTAATCACAAAGACAAAGACAACGGTGAACGAGTGTGCTCGATGAAGAGGAAGACGAAGAAGAATAAAAGGGCTTTGAGGGAGGGAGACGGAGAGAGTTGTGTTCCACGGGAACTTGTGTCAGTAATTTCCTCATAAAATTTAACAAAAACTTACGGATGGTAAATGTGTCATGCACGTACTAGTTTGGAACTTTTGGTAACTCAAAAATTAATTTTGGATAAATTTATCACCGATATACCGATTTTAGTTTTTCGTAGCATTAATCCTAGAAGAATTAAATTTTTCTCGATTATTGTATTTTAATCTCTTAACCTTATAAATCTAAATAGAGCATACTACGGAGAGTTTAAATAAAATTGAATGTACGTAATTTCCCATATGTCCACAATTACAAAATGTTTAGCTTAGGAATTTAATCGTATTTACAGAATAAAAGTGGAAAACGGTTACTTGGAAAAATTGTTTCTAGCCGACGCGTCGTGCAATAATGCTTTTGTAATATCAAAACCATTCTTTTATTCATTTCAATTAAAATTACGGTGAGATGCTCGACCCAAGACACCTCTCGAGCATAACGTGGTGCACGACACGTCCAACATCGAGACGTATCATGTCACGTCAAGAAAATTGTGTTCTAACTCGTGTAAACTTTCGACCCCCCCAAAAAAAAACAAAGAAGAAAACTCGTGTAAACAGTTTAGCCGAAGTAAAAAATACTCTGGTAAATGAAATCGGTCACCAAAGTCTATGTTGGTATCTCTAAGAAAGTGGTATAGGCCCCACGTTGAAATTTTGTTTCCCGCGTGGATTTCGGACGACATTAATCATATGTTTTGTATGGCAATTCGATATCTTTATTTATTATATATATATATTTTTCCTTGCTTTGCCAGATATAAAGAAAAGAAAAAGAAGAAAAGATTTTTGAAAAATCCGGCTTCTCGACGTTCTGGATGGCCTCTGACGTGGCCAGACGCGAGGCACAGCTGGAGACAGCTGGACGGGACGACGTGGCGCGCCCAAGACGTCCCGATCGCTGACGACCACGTGAAAGGTGCGGGGGCACTCTCATTCCCTTGCGCCGACGGCGACTCCACGTGTCCCCTCCTCATTCGGTCAAACCAATAATTGCCCCGCGAGCGTCCCCCCAATATCCCCCACGCGCTCGTCTCCCACGCGCTCCCGTACTCTCTCGTCCGTCAACCTTTCCGCGTTCTTTTTTTCCTGTTTTTTTCTTTTCGGCTCGGCGGGCGCAAAAAAGCACCTCTTTTTGATCAATTTGAGCGATTAATAATTCAGGTTTAATCCAAATTGAACCTTCTACTTTCGGAGCGCGGAAAATAGGGAGGGCAAAATAAAAGATGCAAATTTGATAAACAACGTTTATACACATAGAATAATAATTACGGTGGTAAGCCAAAATAATCTTAACATGCGACGAACATATCGATAAATTATTTTTCGTCGAGATGTGATCATTTTCGCAGGAAAAATCGCATCGACAATGGAATTTCTCGAGTTAAGAGCCGGTTCGAGTGGTTTTCGGGATTTCGGCGAATGAAATTTGATTTTTATTCAAAAAGGTCGCCATCTCACGTGGAGGATGTAAATTCCATATCTTTTCTCCAAAAACTAAAGCGAGCGGCACAAGGGCCATGGAGAATTGCGTGTGGAACCGGAGCACGTTGACCACAAAATGATAGTCAATGCGAATATATGCTTCAAATTACTTTAGGTATGGTATGAGGAAAGAGAGATGAGTAATCATGTATGCAACTTGCCATTGCCGCGTCGTTCACATCACGCTACCGAATCGGACAGTATCCCGTTATCGACGCAAGTGAGAGTTTCGATTGCAGACTCCATCGCATCGAATAAGTTTTTGATCGATTGATTAGAATTATTTGGGTATCGAAATATTATCCAACATCGCTTGATAACGGGTCATCTACGCTATTCATATTCATACAATCTCGTTCCAACTATGAGGGTAATCTTCTAAAGCGACCGGCCGGCAATGGTCCCTCCGCCCTATCTCTTTCGCACGTGTGCGTCCGGATTCCTCGCTCGATAATTGAGTGAATAATTGGAAACTTTGTTCAATCAAGAAACGTGCTATCTCGATCCGATGAAATCTCTCGTTCGATTCGAAAGACACGTTTGCTTGGATAGGCTTTAAGCCCAATTGAAAAGGCAAAGGAATAATACTAATAATGAATGGAAACGCAGATCGCGCCAAGGGGGAGGTTGGAAATTGTCAAAAGAAGAGGTTCCCTTTTCTTTCTCTCCCCCCTTGTTCTTTCCCACCACAAAAGCTGTCCAAAACGACGTCGTCCTCAAGTTTTCGCGAGCGGTAGTTGGGAAGAAACGACAAGCCATGTCCGATTAAGGAACAATCAACGATGTTTATCGGAAAAATGAAATAATAAAAAAAATTCGAGAAATAAAAAAAAGAGTGTAGGAACGATCAGTCACACCCACGGCTTCTTTTTCGGTTACACCTATTTCCTAGAAACTATCTTTTTTTTGAGTATCACAAGCGATTTTTTTCTATAAAATTAAGTGCATTTTTCGGAATTTTTTTTTTATGAAAGATATCGTCGGCTGATGATATGATCCTTTGAGAGGACCTGAAGGGCGAAGACTTACATATCCAAATCGATCTTCCGTCGTCGGCGAAGTTGATAGCATAAGAAAGAAAGGGAAAACAAGAAACTTCGATTGTAAGATAATGATCTGAATAGAATGGTAGCCAATCACCGTGGTTGCCCCCTCAACAATCGGCTAGAATTTCACGCCTTTGAAATTACGGGATCTCGAATCCGTACACCAATCGTCTCGCGGATGACCCCGCCGATGACGCGGCATGCGATAACCATGTGGGAAATACTTTTCGAATCCAGATTTGGTTATGTGCGGTGGGCGTTGGGTCCAAAATTTGGCAGGGAAGTCGTCTCAATTATTGAAGCCGAGAAAGGTCGTTTTTATTTGCTAGCGAGTTGCGTGCAATTATGTCCCCGAGGACTGCACTCATTACTGATTTGCCCGCCTTGGCTTTTGCTAACGTCAGTTCTCGAATTGCTGGCTTCCCGCTCCGTCATTTTCAACATGTCTCGATCGCCTCTCCCCATTATCAGGTGATCGAAAGACGTGTGTCCCCATTGTAGCTCAGCTTCATTAACTCTTCTCTATTATTCGACGTCCCTATCGGAACGTAATTACGATTGTCTTGTGGCTAAATTGGACTCGCGCGACTCCATGCTATTAGACTTTTGTTCGTGACGCGGAAGGGAATGTAAAGAAAAAGCATAGTAAAGAAGTACGAAACTTTGAGGACTAATTAGTACTAGATAAATTAATTAATCATATGTTAGCAAAAATAGAACAAAAGAGAGAGGGAGTGCTATACGGAGCAAAAAAGGAATCTGGGTCATTTAGGAAAGGATAGAAAAGAGAGATGCAAGTTACTCTCGGTTTGATTCTAAAGTGAACAAAGGTTCTTTTCCCGTGTAAGACTAGATTCTCTTTTTGTACAATTATTAATAGAATCTTCATGGAGTCCAATTGAAATAGCGTCGTCTATGAAATTATATTCGTGCTTCGTCACTGTCCATTGCTCAGGTCCGTGTTATTCTCTTCTGCTTCCTATATCTCGCATTAAATCAAAGGAAAAAAATACCAAAGGCATATCTGACCTTTTCACCCAATGGCGATGTAGTCGAGCCGACTAGCGATGTCTATGGGTCGACCCAAATCCCTTTCTTGTCAAACACCCGGCGGCTCTCTAGCCCCGTGAAACCCTAAGCGGGCGAAGCCCATCATGGGTTTCTTAACCTTGCTTGGATTCCTCTTTTACGAGAAAATTCTCTTGCGAAGCTTCCCTCTTTTTATCTCCTGATATCTCTCGTTCACCGATTTAAGCATCGGAGGGTCCTCCTGAAATCAAGTTTAGCCAGACTTCCTTCGCTTTGCGGTGTGCAGCCGGGCCCAGTCCTCGAGCGGCTCATGACAGCCCGGTGGGATTTTTGTCTTGGGGTGTTTCTCGATACAAATATAGAAAAAAAAAGTAGATGATGATGAATTTAGGATGAGAGGAGTTAAGAGACGATTTATGTCATTTTTCGTTCTTCTTTTTCATCTAACCTTCCTTCGGTTATGCTCTGCCCAAAAAAAGAAACCCCTCCTCCATTCAAGGCCCAAGAAAGCTTGCATCCTGCAAATGTGGCCCAATACAAGGCAGTTGATAAGACTCCTTAATGGGCTGGGCTCAATGGGCCCAGAAAGCATTTTGTTAGTAAGAGAGAACCTTAAACTTATAATGTAAAAAAAAAAAAATTGTCTAGATTCATTTTTTTATACGTCCAAAAAAAAAAGATTCAATTTTTATCTTTACATTCATTCAAATTGGGACAGTCTCGTGTAATTTCGTCGTTATCGAATGCGTGAAGTACCTAAACTATTTCCAAATATATAAATACGATTACACATTGCTTCTTTAATTTTCATTAATCAAAAACATTTTTTTTCCATTTTCAAATTTGTTTCGAGTACAAACCAGAGGTGAATGCTAATCATTTCTTTAATCAATCCTAACTCGTGCGATCTAACTTCTAAGCACCTTAATTTAGTGTAAAATACTTAACAATCGCAGTATATCGACACATAAACTTACATATTTTTTTTAATTTTTTTTTGAAATTTAAATTAAGCAAAAGTTTTCTTTACTTTGTCTTGCTTTTTTTTGTTTGCAGAGAAATAAAATATAGCACGTCGGACTATTTTTTTTTTGGAGTTGTAGATTTTATTTTATTTTTTCTGTTCGGAAATTAAGAGGAATTCTTTCCGTTAGATCGCTGAATAAAATTTCTCGATCCTCTTCCCTCGTCAAAGCAAAGTTCAACCTAGCTCTGCTCTCTCTCAATGGCCACCCCGCCACTGGGAGCAATGCAGATGAACGCAAGCTTCGACGGAAATCCGATGGCCGCGGCGGCGCCGCCGGCGACGGACATGACGGGCATATGCTTCCGGGACCAGCTGTGGCTGAACAGTTACCCGCTGGACCGCAACCTCGTCTTCGACTACTTCGCCCTCTCTCCCTTCTACGACTACACCTGCAACAACGAGCAGCTGCGGTTGCGATCCATTCACCCGCTCGACATGTCCCATCTTTCGTAAGACGATCGATGCCTTACCGACTCTTTTGTCTTGCTTTTCCTCGTAAGCAGTTCGTGTCGGTAACGCCAATTGTTTGGATGGCACCGCCGTTTTGATGTGTCGATGTTTTGCAAACTGAAAGGGGTCGATTTGATGTTATGTGATTGGTTGATTGCGATTGTGCGTAAAAAGAAGAGCTTGGTGTTGCCAGCTTTTTTGATAAGTTATAGATATCCTATTAATTCTCGATGTATGGCGGTGTCTGGGGCGTAATTCCTCGTGTATAGAGAACTTGTTTCGGTCTTGTGACAGGCGGGAGGCTCCTCCTGGTGCTTGGCCATTTCCTGGTTGAGATGGCAAAGTAGCTTGAGATGCTTCGAATTGCCTTAGCTTTTTGATCCAATAAGTTGCACTGAATTAAGTATCTTTAGCCGGAAAAGTGCTTTTTTTTTTTTGCAACTTCATTGGGTTGCGCTGCGCTTTGTCGTGAAACGGCGAGAGTGCTCGTCAACTGTTAATTTGGCATCTGCCGATTTTCTGAACCAGTAAGGTAAACTTCGTTGCGACCTGTGTAAGAATGTTTCATGAGGTGGCGGAGCGGAAGGCCCGGGTCAGAGGCCTAGAGGGTTGTTCTCCATCCTCTTTGAGGGTTTAGATATAAATACCATCCTTTTCACATTTCTGAGGAGGGAGAAATTAGGGTGAATTAGGGGCTAGGGTCCGAGAGCTTCTCTTCTGTGTGCTCCAAATTTGGTTCAAGCAATTCTCTGCTTCTCCCTTGCCTGTGAATGGAGGCCCAGCGATCAGACCATGTAAATTATTGTTCTAATTTCCTGCTTTTTCGATTTTAATTTTAGTTCATCATCGTTCTGCTTGACATCGACGCTGCTGTGTGAGTACGATTCCTCTCTTTTATTGTCCGAAAATGATTGCGAACTTTTTAAGATGATGATTTCTGCTAACGCATCCGGGTTATTATGATCTCATTTGTCTGAATGCCAAGTGCCGGCATTTGTGTGAATAGGTTTGCCTTTACAGATAATATAACAGCTGAATGAGCTACTGCGCCATATTATCTCACAAAGGGATATCATACCTTTTCCTCATTATTTTCCAAATAATTATGACCGCCATTGCATCGGTGGACATATTTTTTGCTTCTAGGGTCCTTAGAACAACTGTCAGCTATAAATCAATGCATTCATTTGCCTCAATTTGTTGACATTGACATCGGGATGATTGAGATCTTGCTCTTTAAATACGAAATACATCTGGTTGGCAAGTTGCTGGAACCAATTATGATACAAGATGCTCTCATGATTGGAAAATGAGATTAGCGTTTGACTTTTTTCTTTCAGGAAAATGACGGGCATTGAATACGCACTGAGTGAAGTATTGGAACCTAACCTTTTCGTTATGCGTAAGCAAAGGAGGGATAGTCCTGATAAAGTGACACATATGCTAACTTACTATGTCTTGGATGGTTCAATATACCAAGCGCCACAGTTATCCAGTGTCTTTGCCGCCCGGATAGTAAGTAGTTACAACTTTTCTTCTCCTACTATTGCAACTCCTTAGGTTAGTGTACCATTCACGCGTCGGTAACTAATTTTCATATTACCATTTCAATGCAATGTGTAGAAAAGCAAGCCTCCATTGATCCTGGGTTGTTTCATTGTTTCTACTGGTTTATAGTCTTCTGATGGTGCCATCATACTACTGTACTTGCTATGTCTTCTTGATGTTAATTCGATAGGTGATGCCAATATCACTTAATTTGTTTGCACCCATTACAGGGGAGGGCTCTTTACTATATATCAAAGGCTTTTACCACAGCTGCCTCCAAGTTGGAGAAGATTGGTTATGGTACTTGAAATCCGTTCCCTTCTTTTTGTTACTCGTATGGTGATGGAAAAATAGTACTTAGTTTTGTTACTTATAAAATATGTTTCTGTTCATTGGAATCTGGAGTTATTTCAAGACTAGAAAGTGTGATTAGCATCAATCTGTGCAGCTTCATCTCTCTAGCACGAGTTATGACGAAATAATTCTGCTGTCATACCTGATGCAGTTGATGGTGAAGATGAGAGTTCAGCATCAGATTCAAAGGTCACCAAGGAGACCATAGACATCAAGGAAGTTAAGCGGATAGATCACATTCTTGCAGCACTACAGCGCAGGGTAATATTATATATACTTGATATCTGCTGAGGATCTGTGAGGTGAACAATGAATGTACTAGTGAGAATGTGGTAATTAAAAGACAACCACTAGATATCTTTGATTGGATCATGCTCTTGTTGTGGTTCTGTTGTAGAGCGAGAATATGGTAAAGATGGTCAAGAGACCATGACCATCTTTAGGATTGTAATTGGAGCTTGTTCTCTAGGATGCTGGCAATTGGCTTTCTTCGGACAATGTTCTGAAAAGAAATCTACTATGAATACCCCGATTCTTGTATTGCAGTATGTTAGGTCTTCCTACGATCTGGCACTGTTGTCATAAGAAGAAAAATAGATAAGTACCATCTTCGAATCTCCGTCCAAACAGTCAATTCTAGAGAGAACCAAAGGTTTTGTTGTTTTGGTTCACTCCTATTTCAGAATTATAATCTAACTGCTAACAGAGTCTCTTTAATTTGGTTTCTGATTGTTTCCTCTCTAAATGTTACATGCAGCTACCACCAGCCCCTCCGCCGCCACCATTCCCCGAGGGCTATACTCCACCAACTACAGAAGCGGAGAAAGGTGCAGAGACTCAGCAAGCAGCAGAATCAGTACCTCCCATTGATCCCATAATTGATCAAGGCCCTGCTAAACGGATGAAGTTTTGAAAAATGAAGAGCTGTGCTCCCAGATTGACATCACATAGAAACCTCGGAAGAAAAGCCATTCTTGTGACCATCAACTGAACCACACAATGACTTGGGAAGAGGTCTGTTAGAGTGAGCCGCTCAGCTCTTGCATTAGACAAAAGAATGCACAAGTCTTGTTGGTTTCATTCTTTGTTTTATCTTGTGTATTCGTTGTATGGTGGATCAACTCGACACAAGCTCAAGTTTTAATTTGATCCATGGAGAAGGATGATGAATGGTAGTCGCTCACCAGTTCACATGCCAAGGGTTTAGAGTTTAGACTGCAATTCAACAGTAATAATGAAAAGTTAGCTCTTTCCTTGATATTTACCAAATTTCCTGGATCTATAATTAGTGTTTTTTCGCCATCTGAGTCTTTGAATTGTTGTCGAATGACCAATTATATCATCATTCCAGGCTGAAGAAGAAAGAGATGTCTCAAGATCGAGCCGGGCTTCACATGATGGGCCCATCTAAAGCCCAAATAACTTATTGGGCCTATATCGAGACTTCCGTCAGAGGCCCATAAAAATTATAATTGGGGCCAATTGGCGAATTAATCATGGGCCTAATAAGAGAAATTATGCAAAGAGAAAATTATTCAGTAGTATCAAAGCGTGATATAAGCAATTGACGTATAAGCAATTGACGTAACACGCATATATCTAGTCAGATCCACTCACGGATTGACATGTGACGACCGTACTATAATTAAATAAAATTATATGAAAATATGACCATGCAAGCCATAAATGCAGGGGGTTTTTTGGGAAAAAAAAATCGAATGCCCTCCCTTCATTATGAGGAGAGAGACAACCTTTGTGCTTTCAGATGGACTCCATTAGAGAAAAGCAAGCCTCTCTTCCATTTTTGCTTCGAAACCTCTATTGAGTACGGTCTGAAGGTGCGCTCGAAACTAACGAAGAGCATAATTTGATCGCCACTCAACCGATGCTTCACGTTGTTTTATTTAATTATAATGTGTTTATCCAGGAGCTGATCATACTGAATATATGCATGGCATGTTTGGCGCGGTGCTCTGATACCACTAAATATTTCTCTCATTTGCGACGGACATTCAACGACAACAAACGGGCTCGGATTGAGTTGGGCTTTTGAATAACTGGATCCATCATGAGATATCACTTTGTCTAATATGAAGCCCAAATGATGGGCTCACATGGCCCATGATTCGGATTAGGCCCATTAAGAGAACGATGGGACTAAGTTCGGAATGGGCTGGGCTTTTGCATAACTGGATCCATCACAAGCGTTTACTATTTCCGACATTCGGATTATATCCAAATATCATAAAGTTTAATAAAGTTTTGGTTCATATTCCTGGAAAAAAAATAGACTTAACCTTGGCAGGCGATTTTCTGGAATTTTTTTTTAAAAAATTGGTATTGTTTTAGATGTAAAAATGTTCGGTTATCTCGCTTATTCGAAATCCTCAAGGGGTGATTAGTATTCCTTATTTTGAGCACGTACCCTTGAGACCAACTAAGAGATGTCGATAATGAGATCAATCCTGATGTACTCGACAGGGTGCAATAATGATCGTAACTCGCGCAGTGACATATTTTGGATGCTCTCGATTCATTTTTCGTCGGCTTAATTAGTTATGACAAAAGAAATTCTTGGGTTCAAACCGGGTGGACTTTATAGAGTGAAATGCATGTCATTTCCATGGAAAATCGGCAACAAGAATACATAAACCTTTCCTTATCAAATGTCAAATTTCCTATTTTAATTGGTTTGGGCCAATAGCTTTCGTGTCAAATAGGAGAGGAAAATGAACCTGTAAATGTAAAAAAAGGCAATGGTCAAGCATAAGATTCAAGAGAGACCATCAAACGTAGGAGCCCGCAACAAGGACACATGCCTAATTCCTTATATCACCGAGACCCCAACACAGTTCACTTCAAGAGGCATCACAAACTGGCATGACTGATAAGAAAACTACATTCCCCGGCTTATTCTCATCAGTTGATACATCCCTTGATAGGCAGTAAAATGATAAGGACGATTTTGAAAATTCCCGATGCAACTTTAGAAAAGACGTTCATCAGTTGCAGTTACATGAGAGTTCAATGGTGGGGTTAATGAAACTGGGTGACCCACATCACCCTAACTAATCAAAGAGCTGGGAGGATAAAGACACATCTCTTTTAAAATACTCCTTAAAGGTTTGATCGCCATCGTAGAAAGCAGAAACCACTTGATATGACCCTAGCAGAAGTCTGGGAAATCGTTTGCTGAAATATCTCTCAAAACCCACAGGAGTTGGATCGAACAAGGCCTGCCAGAGGAAATACTGACTTAATACTTGGTATCACAAAATTCATACCAGTCATAATCTTCATATACCACCATACCATTATGTTTTCTGAAAGCTAATTCCTATGAGTCCAGTAGTTCCTAGTTAATCTCAATAGGCCTGCAACAGTCTCATAGTTACACGTTGCCTTTGCCTCATCCAAAAGCATTCCATCTACGTAGCTTTTCCAGTTCTTAGAAAAGACAAGAAGTTTCATTCAATGCCTGAACAAAACAGGAATTGGCATTGTTCGACATTGACGTTTGTGCTGTATCGGACACGTGACTAAGAAACTCCATCCTTGCCTTTGGAGACCAAAAAAATGGATGCATAACCACCTGGGATGCCATCATCCTGCCAGCAATCAAAACCATCACAAATCTCTATAAGCATCACAAATTCATAAGCATCAAATTGAGCATTAGCTCAATGAGAGGGGATAATACTCTCACCTATCCCCAGCAAACCGGGATAGCAATGTGTCAATCAAATCATACGCTTCCTTGTTCCACTTCACTGAACTCAGGTTTCTATTGTTCAACTTCATATTATTGTCGCGCTCAAAAAGGGAACCGTACGCGTGATGACCTCCAGGCAAGTAAACAACAAACATCCTAAGTAAATATATCAGTCTCTTTGGTAGGGTGTCGATCGGTCAAATACAATTTAGGTGCTTGCCACCCGAAACTTACACGACTTGCAAGACGAAAGATTACTTTTTTCAAATACAGATTAAGGTCTAGACGCTAGCTGTCGAGCACTTACTGGGAGTCATGTTTCCTAGGCATTTGTCATGGTCGAGAGGTTTTCTGACACCGAAAACCGTACACCATCAAAGAATGCTCGTCCAAACCCTAATGGAGTTTCCGGAACATTCCCAGGGATGGGCAAAACGGTAATTATGTTGGGTTCTAGAGAGTTCTCGGCATAAATGCCAGGAGATGGTAGACGGGTACGATGCGATCTCGGCCACTCGTCTAGAAATCGATCAATGGTTGTAATCCGAGATCCTTTACTATATAAATGGGTGTGCTCCTTCTGATTTGAAGCATCCAAACAATAAGAAGCATTTACATTCTTTCTCAGAGCTTCTCTCTTTATATCTTCTCTCTACGATCCAAGTGAGTGAGTAAAGGCTTGGCCTAGGCGTTCTAAGGCGTTCCAACGCCAACAATCCAAGGGGTTGTTCCCAAACTATCAGCCCATGACACGTGCCTTGTGTCCATGCATTTCGTCATCTCTACATCTGAAGGTTTTGCAACTAGACCCTTAGATTCAGCGATCATGTTGTTTTCTCGTCTAATATCCCCGTGAATTACATTGAGCTCGTGCAAATGTTCAATTCCCAGAACAATATCTCTGTATCATTAAACAAGTAACATATTAATTTGCTGGATTAGGACAATAAAGCCATATAGACATATGTAAGCTTACCTCATCAACTTTATCAACGTCCACGACAGTTGTTCGCCATGCATCCATAGCATATCCCTTGCCCTGTTCTTGATACTAAAAATTTTCCTCTTGTGTGCCAAAATAGATGGCATATCAGTATGTAAGATTCTATAATCTGACGAAGCCGAAAGGGCTTCAATCAGATCTTGTAGGCGACATAAACACAGTTCTTGAACCATGTATTCATATCCCTGTAATGGGAGAAAGCAAAATTGTGAACAACATTTGAATGTTGTCTCCCAGATAAAATATTCAAAACCCTTTTATCAATGATAATCAATGCCACAGGTTGCCTACGATAGGAGACTCTAAAAACAGTTGTGCCGTTTCTTCCTCTTCCAATTTCATCAAGGACCTTGACGCACAGCAAATTCAATATGAGAGCATCGCCGGTACCGAGACCCCGCATACTACTAACCTGTCGCCCAAAATCTCTTATCATCCCCCAACAACACTAAATGCTTCCTCTTCCGTCATTTTCTTTGTGTCTGGCGAATTTTCAGCCATGGTGTCTTGTTGGGCAGAGCAATCTTGGATCAATGTTTCAAGCGAATTTTCAGTCATGTATCAACCCAACAGCATTGAATGCTTCCTAAGGATCCCCTTTCCGGCGAATGATAAGCATTATGTTTCTATTTTTCTATTTTAGAAATAAGTTTGGAACAAAAATCCGTTTGATAATGTAATTTCATTTTTCAAATTTTGGAACAAATTTTGATTTCAGAAATAGGTTTGGAAGTAAAAATTTTATACCTTTTTATTTCTGGAACAAAAATAAGAAATTCTTCTCATCGTTCGCCTCTGCTACTAGTCGGTCGCCTATCTATCACCATCGCTGCCCACTTGCCTCTGCTGTTCGTCGTCCGCCGGCCACCGTCTCTCGTCGCCGCTCGCCAGCCGACCGCCTCCTGTCGCCCTCCTCTTGCCGCCTCCCCCCTCCCGCCGTCGGTCATCGCCCACCTCCTGTCGCTGCCCGATGCCGGCCGCCTCCAGCCGCCGTCCTCCGCATTGGCCGCGTTGCCGTCCACCGCCGCCTCCCCCAACCGTCCGCCGCTCACCTCCCACCATCACCGTTCGCCCTCCTCCTGCCGCCAGCCGTTGCCCGCCTCCCGCTCCCGCCGCTACCTGACGCCGGCCGCCTCCAGCCGTTGTCCTCCGCACTGGCCGCAGTGCCGTCTGCTGCCGCCTCCCCCCGCCGCCCACTGCCACCGTCCGCCACGGCTATCCGCTCACCGTCCACTCGCCGGGGGAGAAATTTTGTGCTGTTATCAAACAAATTTTTGTTTAGGGAACAAAAATTTTGTGTGATTATCAAACGTATTTTTTTCTCAGAAACTCGTCCAAGAACATAAATAGAAAATGCCAGAAATTGATTTCTGAAACAGAATGGTTGTCATTCACAGCCTTAATGTCCGAATATGATTGCGAACTTTTTAAGATGATGATTTCTACTAACGTATCCGGGTTATTATGATCCCATTCGTCTGAATGCCGAGTGCCTGCATTTGTGTGAATAGGTTTGCTTTTACGGATAATATAACAGCTGAATGAGCTACTATGCCATGTTATCTCACGAAGTTATATCATACCTTTTCCTCATTATTTTCCAAATAATTAAGACCGCCATTGCATCGGAGCACATATTTTTTGCTTCTAGGGTCCTCAGAACAACTGTCAGCTATAAATCAATGCATTCATTTGCCTCAATATGTTGACATTGACGTCGGGATGATTGAGATCTTGCGCTTTAAATACGAAATACATCTGATTGGCAAGTTGCTGGAACCAATTATGATACAAGATACTCTCGTGATTGGAAAATGAGACTAGCGTTTGATTTTTTTCTTTCAGGAAAATGACAGGCATTGAATACGCGCTGAGTGAAGTATTGGAACCTAACCTTTTCGTTATGCGTAAGCAAAGGAGGGATGGTCCTGATAAAGTGACACATATGCTAACTTACTATGTCTTGGATGGTTCAACATACCAAGCACCACAGTTATCCAGTGTCTTTGCTGCCCGGATAGTAAGCGGTTACAACTTTTCTTCTCCTACTATTGCAACTCCTTAGGTTAGTGTACCATTCACGCGTTCGTAACTAATTTTCATATTACCATTTCAGTGCAATGTGTAGAAAAGCAAGCCTCCTTTGATCCTGGGTTGTTTCATAGGTTCTACTGGTTTATAGTCTGCTGATGGTGCCATCATACTACTGTACTTGCTATGGATGCCAATATCACTTAATTTGTTTGCACTCATTACAGGGGAGGGCTCTTTACTACATATCAAAGGCTTTTACTACAGCTGCCTCCAAGTTGGAGAAGATTGGTTATGGTACTTGAAATCCGTTCCCTTCTTTTTGTTACTCGTATGGTGATGGAAAAATAGTACTTAGTTTTGTTACTTATAAAATATGTTTCTGTTCATTGGAATCTGGAGTTGTTTTAAGACTAAAAAGTGTGATCAGCATCAATCTATGCAGCTTTATCTCTCTAGCACGAGTTATGACGAAATAATTCTGCTGTCATACCTGATGCATTAGATGGTGAAGATGAGAGTTCAGCATCAGATTCAAAGGTCACCAAGGAGACCATAGACATCAAGGAAGTTAAGCGGATAGATCACATTCTTGCAGCACTACAGCCCAGGGTAATATTTATATATACTTGATATCTGCTGAGGATCTGTGAGGTGAACAATGAATGTACTCGTGAGAATGTGGTAATTAAAAGACAACCACTAGATATCTTTGATTGGATCATGCTCTTGTTGTGGTTCTGTTGTAGTGCGAGAATACGGTAAAGATGGTCAAGAGACCATGACCATCTTTAGGATTGTAATTGGAGCTTGTTCTCTAGGATGCTGGCAATTGGCTTTCTTCGGACAATGTTCTGAAAAGAAATCTACTATGAATACCCCGATTCTTGTATTGCAGTATGTTACGTCTTCCTACGATCTGGCACTGTTGTCATAAGAAGAAAAATAGATAAGTACCATCTTGGAATCTCCGTCCAAACAGTCAATTCTGGAGAGAACCAAAGGTTTTGTTGTTTTGGTTCGCTTCTCTTTCAGAAGTATAATCTAACTGCTAACAGAGTCTCTTTAATTTGGTTTCTGATTGTTTCCTCTCTAAATGTTACATGCAGCTACCACCAGCCCCTCCGCCGCCACCATTCCCCAAGGGCTATACTCCACCAACTACAGAAGCGGAGAAAGGTGCAGAGACTCAGCAACAGCAGAATCAGTAACTCCCATTGATCCCATAATTGATCAAGGCCCTGCTAAACGGATGAAGTTTTGAAAAATGAAGAGCTGTGCTCCCAGATTGACATCACATAGAAACCTCGGAAGAAAAGCCATTCTTGTGACCATCAACTGAACCACACAATGACTTGGGAAGAAGTCTGTTAGAGTGAACCGCTCAGCTCTTGCATTAGACAAAAGAATGCACAAGTCTTTTTGGTTTCATTCTTTGTTTTATCTTGTATATTCGTTGTATGGTGGATCAACTCGACACAAGCTCAAGTTTTAATTTGATCCATGGAAAAGGATGATTATTGGTAGTCGCTCACCAGTTCACATGCCAAGGGTTTAGAGTTCAGACTGCAATTCCACAGTAATAATGAAAAGTTAGTTCTTTCCTTGATATTTACCAAATTTCCTGGATCTATAATTAGTGTTTTTTCGCCACCTGAGTCTTTGAAGTGTTGTCGAATGACCAATTATATTATCATTCCAGGCTGAAGAAGCAAGAGATGTCTGAAGACTTGATTCTATACTAATGCTTCTGTACTCTGTCTGTTTGAATCAGATTTTTGGACGGCTGTCTTTTGGTAGCGATGCATTATTAGGAAATAAACAGATAATTATGTCTTGCTTGATAAGAATATGATTATGTGGTCCTCATGAAAACACACTAAACTGGGGGAACAGCCCGAAGAAAGTGTGGTTTTCTTTTTGCTCACTGAACCAACTTCTCTTCTTTTTTCGGCATTAAAGAAGCAGAACAGGGTGCACTTAACTGCAGTATGCATGCTGTTGTTCGCAAACAAAGTGTTCTAAAACAAATTGCGGAAGCAGATTGATGCAAGATTTCGCGACTGAGCTATCCCTCACAGTTCATTTATAACAGTTGCGAGAAATAATTGGCCTATTTCAACACATCAAGAATAAGTATCTAATTGGTTCTACAAGTTAATTTCCTTATCTGTAATTTCCCCCTCTCTCTATTATGCCCTCCACATTTTCCCCCCATTGATCTGACAGAGACACTGAACCTTTGCCATTGGAAGGCAGCTAGATTGAGGCGTCAATGATCTAAGATGGAATAAAGGGTCACCTTCTAAGGTCAAAGACCTTCAATCAAAGGCCCTCAAAGAGATTTTTCAGACTATAAGGGCTCGAACTAGAATGAGTGCCATCTCCACTCCATATCTGATGTGCTACTTGTTCATAAGCCCTCTCACTTAGATGGAAAGAGTCCCAAAACACATGCTCACTGGGACTCTTGCACAGCTCAAACTCCTTCACTATCCGCTTCCCTCCACAGCTGAAGACTCCTCTGTATCTTCCTGTTCCACAGCATGCCACTTTCCCTGCCTTGAAACCTTCATCAAGATGGAGAAATTCCACCATAAGGAAATATTTGCAGCCAATTTGTTTTTAAAAGAAAAAGAAAGAAACTGTCTGATTAGTACTCCATTCTAAAGAAAAAGAAAGTTCTTTGAACTACAACTATCCTTCAGTTAATTCTTTGAAACATTCCGGTATGCACAAACTTTAGTTGCATGTAAGCAGTCCATGAGCAAATCAGGATTGGAACACTGGGTACAATGATTCTCACCGTATCTGTGGGGGTGATTCATTCTCTTTCTGAGATTGCTGTTGAAGTCATAGAGGGAATATTTGAAACCTACGAGCTGATGCTCAAGTTTCACTAGGTGTTTAGAGAGAGCATGATTGTGCAACTTTGCTAGTGATGAAGCTTTTTCCAAGCACCTCCCTCTCTTCTCTGCTTTGATTATCCTCATTCCTGGAAGACACCCCAATGGAGGTAGGTTGATGAACCCAAATTTTCTTCCCCCTATTCCATATATCTCCTGACAAATTTCACCACAAACCGCTCTCTCAGTCCCACCACACACACACCCAAAAAAGAGAAAAAAACCATTTCCTGCATTGCTACATTAATACCTACTATAAGTCAACAATTTAAATCTCCCCAGAACCTCTTCTTCTGTGAAACTCTTTATGTTACAGGAAAAAAGAATTGTTTGGTCTAAAATCAGCTATTTTATGCTAAATTGCTTTTCAATTTCCTAAGATCAAATCGACCATTCGGTCGTTCATCGATAGACAGTTGATTTCGGATATGGTGGTCACGGTAGCTCCTCCGGACAATGAGGAGGCAACTCAACGTACCCCCGTAATAAGGAGTTGTTATGATACTCTCCACCAAAGTGAAACCGATGCCAAGCACAGTGTCCCTCGTCAAATTCCAATCAGTGCTACCTCACCAACCAAGCTATCAACTACCAAAAGGGTGCCTAAAGGAGATCTAGAATTGCCAAGCTCTAGCAATCAGAGAAAGCAAAATTATTGCACCTCTTACTTTGATAACTGTTGTCAAATTGCCAATCACCATTCCCACATACTCCGATTTGGAGTAAGAGCTCAGGATGGTGGAGTTAGTCAAGAAAGGGCTCATGTAATCATTACTTCCTATGCTGAACATGTAAACTCCTCTTGATATTGTCCACTCTGCTTTGCCTTTGCCCAACTCTTGTCTCAATTGGGTCTCTGCCTTCTTGAAGTAACTCAATTGCGTTTTGAGATCAATCACCTGAAAAAGAAGAGAAAGTGAGTTAGGACATGTAATTTAGGCATTGAAAAGGTGAGTGGTTGTAGATCTTTCCTTGAAGGAAGTGGCTGCACTGTATTTTCATGGACCCACGTGCTAGTAATTTATCAAAAGCTATTGCCAAACCGAGTCTTAACCACCGGGGGTGAAATGTAAAATTAAAAAGATTCGTATGAACATGTGCCTCATACTTAATGAAAAGAGATTCGATTTTTAAAATACCAAGTTACACATGCATCACCAAAAAAATGTCGTGTGAAAATCTTAAACTTTTTCAATTAATTTTCCTAACGAGTGCCTCGAAAAACTTCTTTTGCCAAATACTTATTATATCCTAAATGTGCGTAAAATAAGTCCCTCGACCTTGGAACGATTGACAAATCAAAGTAATCAAACCTGTGGACCCACCCTTCATCGAACCAATAAAAAGAAAAATAAACAGCAAAAAAAAATGGCAGGCTAAAAGTCAAAACAACAGATTCCACAAATCGCAAATGGCGCCAGAAATCGCCCTTTTGTTTTATTGACAGTCGCCAAGCGCAGCGCGGGTTCACATTCAGGACAAGGAAAAACCCCAGCAATGAAGCCAAAAACTTTCAAAAAAACCAAAAAAAGTTAAACGAATCGACAACATGTGTGTCACGACCATTACCTCCACATTGGTCTAGTGAAAAAAGTGCCGAGGATGAGGCGAATTTAACAGTAATCTTGATCTCATCTCTTGTGGTTGAGACCAAAACCCTAGTGGGAATAATCAAGAATTTGACCATTTACGTACCGACCCTTGGAATGTTTCCACTAGAGCACCAGCGCCTGCAGATGCAAAGTTCACTCCATACCTCCATTGTTGGACCCCAGGTTGAAGATACGGTGGAATTAATGGCAGCTCTGCATACTCTGCTGCAACATGATGCAGACGAAAAGAACCCAATTTCCTTTTTTTAATGTAAAGAAGTAAAACCAGGTGAAGCATTCATAGTACATGATTAGACAGGAAGGTTAAGCCAAAAGGCAGACAGAATATTTGTTGGTTAACCAGAAATTGCATTTGGACAAAAGAGAAGGACATGGAAACACCCACCAGGGAAAAAGAAGAAAGAAAGGACAAGAAAAGGGTATATTCATCGTGTAGAAATAATTCATAAGTAATGCGACTCTCGTTACCAATGAAATCTGACACCAAGCGGCCGTCCGAGAACCGCCCGGTCGGGGACTCGAAGTAGGTCTCTCCATAAGGCCAGAAATCCGCCCGGTCGAGAGTGGTGGTGTTGATGTAGTTGTTGTTGCCGGCGTCGAGGAACGAGTCGCCAAAGATGAAGAGAGCTCCGCGGTCGGGCTCGGCGCGGCAATCCGAGGTCGCGGTCGCGAGGAGGAGGAGGAGGAGGAGATGGAGGGAGAGGTTGAAGAAGGAGGAAGTGGTGAGGCCAGCCATGGCTGACTTCGGTTGCAGGTAGTGCCTTTGTTTATGTTGCATGTGTTTTGGTTTTGCTTGTAGGGGCCTATCAAAATGTACATGCTTTCAGACTTCTCTGCAACAGGGGTTCTTTTAAATTATTTTGTCTTTCTGCATCGTGTACTCTGTTTCACTTGCTACCTGAAAAAAATATTTAGATTAAAATCGCTTTTGAATCCTTAATTTTTTCCAATAAATGCAGATCTGAGGTTTGATTTCACTGGCGCCAGAAGTGTCTGCATGAATTTAGTAAGTCAATTATATTCTGACTGTGCTTGGTCAGAAACTTTTCGTATTTATAAATGGAGCGAAATAAAAAGCAAGCGAAAGAAGAGAGGATCGTATAATTTCTACGTGTATCGCAAAGAACAGTACATGGAGTATGTGTAAACTTCACAAGATGACTATCTAACACAATTATGTATTATAATGTCAGATACAATCAATTGGGCACGTGCAATTAAGGAAGATATATGCATAATCTTGCAAGATGTGAGGAATTGAAGAATTAAGGGAGTATATTGATAGTAACACGTAATATTTTTTATTTTTTATTTATTTTGGTGTAGACAACGATATCATTGACTTAGCTTAGTTGAAAATAATTAAGGATTAATATCACGAAAAATCCCAAACTGGTACGCCTGTGACAAATTTACCAAAAACTAATTTTTTGACCACGAAAAACCCCAAACTGGCACGCTTGCGATAATTTTACCCCAAACTAATTTTTTTATCACTAAAAACCCCAAACTGGTACATCCGTGACAATTTTACCTCGAACTAATTTTTTGATCACGAAAAACCCCTAACTGGTACACTTGTGACAATTTTACCCTAAACTAATTTTTTACCACAAAAAACCCAAAACTGGTACATTTGTAACAAATTTACTCTCCGTTAAATTGAATTAATATCATGAAAAATCACAAATTCGTAAACTTGTGACAAAGAGAGGAATAAAATCCTAAACTGGTACACCCATCAACTACCACGTGTCATCAAACTCAGCAATTTGACAGGAAAATTTAACGGAAACTAATAGAGGGTAAATTTGTCACAAATGTACCAGTTTGAGGTTTTTGGTGGTCAAAAAATTAGCTTGGGGTAAAATTATCACATGTGTACCGGTTTAGGGTTTTTCGTAATCAAAAAATTAGTTCGTGGTAAAATTGTCACGGAAGTATCAATTTTGGGTTTTTTGTGATAAAAAAATTAGTTTAAGGTAAATTTGTCATAGATTTATCAGTTTGAGATTTTTGGTGGCATTAATTCAATAATTAATTATTTTCTTTCCAATTGAATTTGTTTTTTTTTTGGCGTTAGAGAATGAGACAAGGGAGCATGGGAATCTAGAGAGCTATTGGCAAAAAATATAAAATTCCTTTTGCTCTGGTTTGCTAGATCGAGAGAATTATTTTTAGGGTACGGATTTCTATGGTTTTTTGATGATTGAAATGCAAGGTCTTGGGGGTTCACCACTTGATTTTGGATCTGACCATTAGGGTTCGAAAAACCAGACAATTTGTTAATTGTCCACCTTTGGGGGTCTCAAAAAACGTGCCCTTGTTTTGGAGTCTATTAAGTTTCGAGAGACAAGTGGATGAATCTAATAACTTTTTGAATTTTTATAATGTTCACTATCGATACAAAAAACTTTTTGAATAGTTGCAGTCGGATGAGTTACATGTAGATGAATGCGATTCACGCGATACTGATCCTTTTTTTACGAGAATTTTGGGGCCTAGATCTGGAGCGCCGGATTGATTTGAGGGTTGTTGATATTCGAATTGGGTTGCATTCATGAGAAATCATAAGCAACATGTATCGATCCGTTCTCTCCAATTGAGACCGACTAAGATTCGTGTTGCATCCGTAATTGAATTGATTTTCACAACGTTCTTACACGTGAATAACATCCCTCGAGGTATAATTTGGCATTGAGTCTTAACCAACTTGGCTAATTTCTCGAGTTGCATAAGATAAATCAAAAAGGTCGAGAAGAATACATTTAGCAAACATAACTTATCAATTCATGGGAAATCTTTAGTCGATAAGTAAAAATTGTCCACATCAGCACCGGCACTGGCCGTGTCACATGGAACAGCTGGCGTCCATATAAAAAATTTCCCGGGTCAAATTCGGCCTGAAGAAATACATTTGCAAATCGTAAAAATGTCTAAGACTAAATTGGCCAGACCGAACAGTTTAGAATTGAATTGGTATCCGTACATACATTCGCATTAAGCGGTGGTAGCAATGGATTTGGTTGACGAGCATGGGAAGGCCGTGACCGTGGAAAAAAGCCCTCGAATCACATTGAACCGGTAAAGATCACTACCGTCAGATCATGGAGCAAACTTACATGGAGACGTACGCCAGACGTTTCGCCCAATATCTCATCTGCATAGACGGCCACTAACTAAAGTTCTAAAGCCTCATCTAGTCATCCTCAGCAAATTACATTCCAAGTTCATGCCAAGCTTTCAAATCTCCATGATCTTCGGTCGCGAACGTGCTCTCTCGCGCGTGTGCAAGAAAGAGAGAGAACTTTACTCGTCGTGAATAACATGGGAAGCCAAAATCAACTCGCTCGGTGGGTAAGAACCGAACTTGCGTGCGTGTAAAAGAGACGTTCTGTATTCGGGTTACTTAATCGGATTTTGGCTCGCGTCTTATACAATCCATGAAGTTCGCGATGCATTAATGCGCTCGAAATTTGTTCATCTAATGTAGATTTTGCTTGTCATAAATTTTAAAAAAAAATTGCGAATGCCAAAAAAAAAAAACCCTTTTTCGAAAAATAAATTTGTGAGTAGTAGGTGAGATAGTTTCGTCAGAGCTGGGCTTGCGTTACAAAGCATGACCTGAAAAAGGAATGAGCATAGGATAAGAGTTGGTGGTGATCTGTAAGACTAAGGGCCACGATAGGTTCTTTGGAAATTGGTGGACCTTTGTCATTTGATCAACACGATCATGAGCGTCGCAGCAGAATTTTCCAGTTGGTGGAAGAAGCAGATGAAGCTCTCACCATCATCTCCATTTCTGCCATTTCGTCAATCACGATCTGCCTGTCCCTGCATACCACGCTGCAAAAGCCTTGATCGCCCCTGCATGTATATGTTCTTTGTGCATTTGAAATCGAACAATGGGAACAAAAGTGAAGCATGAGGATTGAGGACCCGAGTTGCATGAATAGCTCACTCACCTGTACATGTAGATATCCTTGTGGGGGCTTAATTTCTTCCGGCACAGATGACATGATTTGAGGAAGCAATCCGCGTCGCAGATACAACAACAGGTCGTGTTTGATGTTAACGATGACGGCGGCGGCAGTGGCGATGAAGATTTACCGGTTTGAGTCGAGATGAGCGTGGACTTCACAAGGATGTGGTTGGACTGATTGGTCTTGGAAATTATCTGAGTGAGGATTATTCTGAGACCTACTTCAGCCATTGAAGCCATGCCTTTGTTTGAAGATGTCCTGATGAGTTGGTTTCCTCCCCTTAAAAGAGACAGAGAGAGATGGATATCAGGAACACTAAGAGAAATGCTGACTTCGACCAGAACTATCAACCCATCTCATCTCAATAGATTCACATCGCGGTCATTCGGAAGTAAGTTTCAAGTCGACCACGAGAAAACGACATCAATCATGTGCATTTCCTCGTACAAAGACTACAGGACATACATGTCCACCTACGACATATCACATCTGCATGTCCCGTTCATCCAATGATCCTCTTACCTCTGCTTGGCACTATTTCCCTCTGGGTGTTTGCTGGTTTGCCTTTTCTGCGTGTTGGTTGTGGATAACACGGAAGAAGTACCTTGGTCGACCTTTATTGTTGCTTTGGCCCACGGGATGGAAGGACCTTTATGTCGGGCCAATCCAACATGAGAAACGTGAAAACATTGTACTAACGAATCCTCAAGGATGAGGATTCACTGCATATAATATTTCGATACTCTTATCTTCTCATCTCCTCTTGCCGCTTGAGACTCATCCAAATTGGATTGAAGTTTTTGTAAGAGCTTCCCTTAAGAAAAAGAAATAGACATATCTTCTTTATGTAAGTAAAGTTAGCAAACATGAAGTTGCCGGCTCTCATATTCAATTTCTACTTGTCCTATGAGCATATCCGAATAGATTTTCGCTTTTTCCTTGATTTAAATTCTGCTATGAACACAATTTGACTTTTAAAGGATAAGTGCACTATAAGTCCTAAAACTTGTCACAAAAATACATTTAAGTCCTAAAACTTGTAAAAAGTGCATTTGAGTCCTAAAACTCGTCAAAATGAGTCCTAAAGTTAACACCGTCAAATTTACTAACGAAAAATACTGATGTGACGCTGACGTGGCTTATTTTAATATTTTCTCTCTCTTACATAGCTAAAACGACGTCGTTTTGGCTCAAATTTGATTTTTAATATTAATTTTATTTAAATTAAATATAAAAAATAAGCAAAATTAAAAATTAAAAAAAAGGAGAGAAGGACACGTGGGGAGTGGGGGGGCTTGCCCTCCCCGCCGCCGCCGCCACCGCCCCAGCATTGCCGGGAGGGGCCGGCGAGGCCTCGCCTGGGGTCGCCCACCCTAGGTGAGGTCTCGCCGGCCATCGCCAGCCCCAGGCAAGGGCCGGCGACCCTCTCTCAGATCTGAGGCGAGGGTCACGCCCTTCCCCAGATCGGGGGCTGTAGGCCCTCACCGGGGACTCGCCCGGGGCCGGCGAGGGTCGCCGGGCTTCGGGAAGGCCCAAGCGACCTCTGCCGGTCCTTCCCGGCGACTATGGCGGCGGTCACTAGCTAAGGCTTGGCCACCGTTGCAGCTGTTTTGGGTTTTTTTTTCCTTTTTTTTTATTTTTTTTATAGCTTTTTCTAATTTAATTTACATTTTTTTCAACTTTTTCTGACGTGGCGCTTGTTGGACGCCACGTGTCTCAAGAAAATTAATAAAATAAAACACGTAAGCGCCACGTTAGCATTTTCCATTAGTAAATTTGACGGTGTTAACTTTAAGACTCATTTGAACCATTTTGACAAGTTTTAGGACTCAAATACACTTTTTGCAAATTTTAGGACTCAAATACACTTTTATGACAAGTTTTAAGACTTGTAGTGCACTTGTCCCACTTTTAAATCTAAACAAACAAGATAGAGTTTCGACGTCAACGACCTGCGAGGGATGTACTTTGTCCGAATAGACTTGGTTCAATACACTAAAACTTATATACTCAGGAAACCGCCCGATCACAAACACCATGAAAGTATCTAGAAGAAGCTTCTAAGGTAAATGTCCTCGATCGGACTAAGCATTAGGGGTGTCAACGGTTCGGTTCGGATTTTTAGGAAAATCGAACCGAACCGAACCGTTTGGAGGTGTGCTTTGATCCGAACCGAAAGGCACACGAACCGGGTATGATCCGAACCAAAAATGCGGTTCGGATCGGTTCGGATTAGTTCGGTTTTCGATTTTCCTCTTTTTTTCCTTTTTTGCGCTTCTTCCCTTCGCACCCTCCCCTCCTTGACCCAGACCGGCGACATGGCCACGACGAGCTCGCTGTCGTCGCTCGCTGAAGCCGCGAGCTTCCCCGAGTACAAGGACAAAGACGATTCTTCACCAGACGATTCTGGAGGCCTTCGAGATCTCGGCCATGCTGGACGACTTCAAACTCCGCCGTGGCGTGGAGCTCAAGGCCCAAGATCAGGAGGGCTCCAGCTTCGTCGCGGTATCCTTCTCGTTCAGTGACGATCCACCAAAATGAGATCGAAGAAGGAAAGGGGAAGGATGAGACATTGGCCTTTGAGCCAGACGATTGAATCTGGGAGAGATGGAAATGGAGTTTTGCGAAGATAGAGGGGGAGAGAGAATAGAGCAGAAAAAGGAAAGAGAGAGAAAGAAAAGAGAGTGAAAGCAGAGCAATAATGAACGGTCAAAGACTCAGAGTCGGCAGAGAGAGAAAGTACTCAGAGAAGAAAAAACAAAATGGAACCGAAATTCGATCCGATCCGAACCGAACCGAATTGAACCGAATCATCAACTAACCAAATTTTTTTACTTATTATCCGAACCGAAACCGAAACCGAACCGAAAATGCATGAATTTTTGGTTTGGTTCGGTTCGGTTTCGGTTTCGGTTTCGGTTTCTGACACCCCTACTAAGCATGCTACCAGGCAGATTAGTCTAATGAGTTGCAGGAAGAAAAGGGATACAGATTTCATATGTTAGATTAGAAACCACTCAATATAGAGAGATAAATTAACTCTATTCGAACTACGGTACATGACCAACACATTTCATTTTCAACCAAATCTTACACATGATCTCAAGAGGTTAAATTGAGTTCCTGACTAATCCTGTTAGCAAAACACTTTGTTAGTGCTGTGATCCAAGACAGAATAATTCACAACAACTTCTTAAATGAACCAGATCAAGTATATTGTCCCCTAAAAACTCATCAACTGGTTTATTCTCCAACCAAGAAAAGCACTCATGCACTAGTTATTGATTGATTCCAGGTAAATCATGCACTGCCAAAAGGCAATAATATAGCTCATTGTTACCACCTTCTGCAATAGGAAATATATCATACATAAACAAAATTTGCTCCAAGTATGGCTACAAGTATAGCTGAATGAGCTCATCGCTGACCACAGATGGTGTCAAAACTCCCAGATCAGTGAAAAGCAATGTCAGGTATTGGGGCGGCGTATAATCCCTGGCTGAAGTTTCAACGTCAACTTTAGATGGGATTGGCACCCCAAAATCAATGGGTCGTAAGGCCGGGGCCATATCTTTCTGGTCCAAAGGATAAAGGCGAGCGAACTGCGTCGCACGAGATCGATTAGTCATGATGTGTATAAACCAAGATATGAAGATAGGTGAGGCGGAGATAATTTTGGAAACATGTTTTTGGGAACAAAAAAATTCAAAGTTCCTTACAAAAGGCAGAACAATTTTCAGTTGCTTTTAGTGCAGAATGTATTTGGCAGGTTGCAACTTAAGACTAGTTTTCACTGGAGAAGATAATTCTCACTTTGTTCCCATTTTGTAAGTTCAAAATAAGCAGGATAGTTAAGCACGATGCAGTTACACAAGCATAAAATCAAGAGTACCTTATAACTTTCAGCAGCCACATATACAGGTTTATTCATGCTGTGTGCCACCAATGCAATTTGGTATGTCCCCATCAAGTTGATGATGCCACCACTTTCGACTACACCGTCAGCACCCACAAGGACCATGTCAACTTCATCCATGGTATACGCCACTGCTGAATCAATCAGGAGCTTCACAGGAACATCGAGCTTGGCAAGCTCATTCGATAACCGTATCCCTGACCTGTCAGGTCTTCCCTCTGCATGCAGAGAACATGATACTTAAAATCTGGAGACATTTTGGGAAAAAAGGAAAATTCTGGTTAATTGGTAGCAAACACCAAATTACTGTTCGCCCGTATGTTCTCTACAATACTCAAATGAAGATACTAGTTATACTACTTGATGAAAAAGCTCATTCACATGTTTTAAACCAATATTCAAAATTACGGTTAGAAAAGACAGTGATTTCAAATTTGGATGTACAGAATGTCAAGGTTATAGTAGACTCTGCATGCCAAAGGTCAGAGAAGATGCAGTAAAGAGTTCGAAAATGACCTGTGCAGAATACTCGGAAGAGTTTCTTGTTTTGTACAGCTGTCTTCAGAACTTCTAGAACCACTCTGGAGAAACCATGAACCAAAATAGTACAACCATCAAAAATAAAATCTTGACTAAGCATTGCGATGATCCTCCGTGCCTGCAATACGAAGTAATATCTCCTGCTTATACATGGGTAAATAGTATATGGTTTAAGAATTAACTCATTAGATAAACAGCAGCATTCTTTTCTCATATCAGTTCAACAACCTTATGAGATATTTCCCCAAATTTTTCAGCACGCTCAATCAATCGTGACTTGGCTGAGTTGAATTCCTCGTATTCCAAGGCTGAAGTTCTGGTCACATAACGGATGAAGAGATCACAGCCCGCTGTCAAAGAGATAGAGGTTGTATCCCATTTCTGGCAAGAGTACAGTGTTAATAATCCGAAAGCAGAACAAAAATAGGTATAGAATGCAGAGTATATACTTGTGATAATCTTATTTGACGAAAATCGACCTCATATGATTAAAATACATTATAAATGCCTGGGACACCACAACGATGCCCATTTAGATCGAATATTTCTTGAACAGTACAGGTAGTAGTTACTTGCTATATCATTTTTTGGTATTAAGGGTACTGCATCAGCCAACACACTACATTCTTTGGACTTACAAACGTAGCTGAAGTTCAGCAAGGGTGCTCGAGAATCAATAAGCCATCACACATTGATTTCATGTTTCTGCTAAGAAAAGTCTGCCAATACATTGGCCTCTTTATACACAAGCTTTAAGGCGAAATACAAATTGTTAAGACATCATCAAGCCAGAAAGAAAAGGATCCAGCTAAGCTAAGCACTTAGGCCACCTGCCTTGATAGAGAACTACAATATGTAGCTGTCTATTGTTTCACGTGGTTGTATTCATAAACTCATCATATGGATCCTCATACTTTGTCTTCTCTTTAATTGGAACCAACCCCCCTCCTCTTTTTTTTCTCTCCAATAAACAACACCCCCACCCCCACCCCCACCCCCACCCCATCCCACACCACACCCCCGGGTTCTTTCAAGGTTGTCCGGGTTCTTTCAAGGTTGTGGACAAAGACTATGACAAACTGTGAAGTTAATTATTCACACTATCCCATCATAAACATTGGCTGAGAACAGCCATCAGTGTGCATCTTTGGCCCATTCAGTGCATAAAAGGCCTACAAAACATTATAAGAGCACAAAGCATTTAACTTAAGAAATAGCTTCCCGGTGGATTTATGAGGAAAGTAAAAGGTAAATTGAAAGAAGAGTATACTCCAATACAGGAGAAGTTCTAACAGATACTGCGTGCTGCATTTGCCCAAGAACCCAAACTATCCAAATTGTGAATTGAAACAGAGTATCTAAGAGGAAAACAAATCCTGGCGTAATCAACCGCTTAGATCAAAATGCTGCAGAGTGTGAATGGTCATTAGCATTTCAAAGCAGAAACTGATCCAAATGCCTTCCACGAGTTCTGAGAGGACACCAAAGCAAGTATCGTCTGAAAAGAACCCTCCATATAGCCCAAAAAAACAAACTACAGAGTCACGGGGAACCATCATTCTACTAGGTGAGAATCACACGACATGAAGCACACAAGTGGAAAATTTTCCAAATGGAACCGATGCTTAATCCCACATTTGACATTTCTTGCAGAAAGAGGGCAAAAGACATCTCAACCCGCATAAATTGAACCGAAGAAAACCAAAAAGCTAAAAAAAAAAACGATGCTTTAGCGAATGAAAGCACGCACCTTTAGCGAATCAGAGGCCTTCTTGAGCTCAATCTCGAGCTCCATCATGGTCGTCGCCTCGCTGGCCCTTATCACCGCCGCGAGCGCCCGGATCGCCGCCACGGCCTCGGCCAAATCGGGCTGCTGCCTCCAGTTGTTGAACTCGTCGATCACGCTGAACGGCCCCCCGCCGCCCCCGCCGCCGCCGCCCGAGCCCGCGGCGGAGCTCGACCTGTCGCCGCCCTCCGGCGAGTGGGGCCCCATCGCCGCCTGGGCCTGGGCGAGCCAGTCGCTGGTGACGACGCCGTGGTGGGCGGCGCGGGTCTGGTAGTAGGCGGAGACCTTAGGGTTAGGATTCTGTAGGGTGTCCGCCATGGAGGAGGACGGGTTGGTCGGGGGCGGGGAAAGGGCGAGGGACTCGGGCTTCGGGGGCGCCGCGACGTCGTTCCCCTTGTCGAGGATGAAGGACGCCGATCTCCGCCACATTTAACGATGGCGAGGGCGAGAGGAAAATTTTCCCGTCGCACTTTCCCGAGAAAAAAATCTCTCGTTTCCGAGAGAAAGCGGAAGGGAAAGTGGCGGTTCTTCCCGTGGGGAAGAGAATGCGGTGGAAACGGGGGTGCGTGAATGCGGAACGGATTACGGGATTGGGGTTAACGGAGGAGTTTAATAGCTCTTGCAAGAGCCTTAGGCCATGACTAGGTTCAATGATCCTGCTTCACTGTCCCCTTGCTGATCCTGTTCCATTCGTTCCGAACGTTTTAGTTGGAGAACGAAAAGGCATGGACCGTCCGACGAACCGGATCGTATGCTTGTCTGGCTAATGTTAGCCGCGGCTCGCAATCAGGACCGATTTGACCAAGGAGGGGATGGGAACTGGTCCGATCGATTTAGTTTCGGACTAGCTCAAGATAGTATCGACGATTAGTTCTCCATTTTTCTAGATTAGATTATTGATGCGAGTTGCGATTCAGAACTCCGTCGTGTGGGCTCTCGGACTAGACGACCACTTGATCAAGAGTAACTTTTGCTTTTAGAGGATGCAATTAATGTAAATTCTATCTTTGATATATGAAAGAAGGGATAAGTGTTGTCGGAAGTCCTAAAACTTGACGCTAAAATGCCATTGAGTCATTTTCAGAAAATGCAATCAAGTCATAAAATTATCAAATTGATGCGATCAAATTGCTTTGTTAATTTTTGTCCACACCGAGGTAATTCTTTTATTATTTTTGGGTGGTATGTGGGCCCACCAAGTGCCACGTCAACAAAAAAGAGCTCAAAAACTTAAAAGAAAAGGAAAAAAAACTGAAAGAGAAAAAAGAGTATGAAGCTCACGGGTTGACGTGAACCTGGAGGCCAGCCGCTAAAGCCTCGCACAAAAGCAAGACGACGATGCCAAGAAGCCCATGGCCTCTTACCTATCTCGAGCCACCGCAGCTGCCACTTAAAGAGGCTGCTTCGGCCGACGCGGCTAGGAGGTGACGCAGGCGAAGGAATCCGAACGGGATAGTGGAGGCGGAGGTGGCAATTTTGGGTTACAAACCTATTTATTAACTCAGATTTAGTGGGTTCAAATTGAATATGGGTCAACATGAGTTTGAAATATTAAAGTCTAAGTATATATGAGTTTGCAATTTAACTCATTTAACAAACCCATATAGACTCGTTTAACTTATTAGCTTTTTTTGGACAAATATAATTTATTAACTTGAACCGCCGTCGCCTGTCACTGCTACCTTCAGTTGCCCGTCTCCGCCTTTGCTGGTTGCTAGTCATCCGGGTCGCCGCTGTCTCTGGTCACTGGCAATCGGTCTCCATCACTAGTTGTCGTCACTAGTCTCCAGCCGCCATTGCTGATCTCTGGGGCCCTTGCCGAATTTAGAAGAAAAAAAAGAAAAAGAAAGAAATATAATAATATAAAAAAACAAAAAACTCAAAAACTCAAAAAAACTATAAAACTGTTTTAGTAATACAACTTTTTGAAAAATCATAAGAAATAAGTTTTTATATATTTGATTAATATAAAAGTGTTTTAGTAATATGGATAAAGTCGATATGAGTTCGGTTGAGCGGGGTATGGGTCGAGAAATTTGCGTTGCATTAAATGAGTCAATTTGGATCGAACCATTTGTGACCTGACCTGACCTGATCAATTGATAAATCCAAGTGAAGGGCATAGCAGTCATGGCCGCGAGCTCGGAGAACCTCAGCTACTTGAAAAACTATCCTCCTATCAGCGGCAAGAGTGATCTCTCTACAACTTCAACAACTTTGTTGCAGCAACCACTCCCACCTTCCTAAAAAGCTCTAGCAAGACACAAACTAACATTTGACTACACAAATATGAACACAGGAAAAGAAACAATTTCGAACATTCGATCGTGTCTCGGTCAATCGGTATTTTCTGTTAGTTAGAATTCAACAGAATTGATAAAGGGACTTGATTGCATCGATTTGACAAACTTTAAAATTCGATTGCATTTTTGAAACTATTAGAATTTCTGGTATACTTGTCCCCAAAAACAAATTTGATGGATTCTCGGTAGAAACCGGAAAGCATCAGTTCGAGAATCAGCACGTTCTTAAACCAGTTGATTCAATTCTTGATTTCTTTTTCTTTTTCAAAATCAAAGACCGTTGATTCCTTTCTCTAGTCTAGTCCGGAGCCAATCAACCCAAAAATGCTGAGGCCTCTAAGAACCGCACGCAAAATTGGACACAATGTGACAAACTCAAATGAGTATTTGAATGGGCGAATTGTATTCAAACATCAAACAAGAACTCGATAATAACCCAATACATTATTTCTAAATATCGGTCTTACTAGATAATTATTCTATTCATAACTGTTGCCTAGGGCTATTAAAATGGGCCACAAACCCATATTTGGACCCACAATTATATAAATGGGTCGTATATAAGTCAGTTTAAACTTAAAATATAGGTCATATTGGGTTTTACAGAACAAAGCCCAAGAAAGATGGGCTTAAATTCAACCCAAGTCTTAAAAAAAATAGTATGATATTTGAAACTTGTTAAGAAAGTGTAATTGAATCATAAAACTTTTGAAAAGTGCAATCAAATCATAAAATTTATTAAATTTATAAAACCAAGTCATTCCTTTAATTTTATCCAATTGGCTAACAGAAAATGCTGACGTCGCTTCTTTTTTTTTTTTTCCTCACACGTGGTGCCAACGTGGCTAAAAATGAATGATAAGGCTAAAATGATCTTTAGCACGATACTCACCGCTTCCAAAAGTGCTTCCAAAACTGCAGTTTTGGAAGCGGTGAGTATCGTGCTAAAGATCGATCTCTGTACACAAGCATCATTATTTTGTACTATGTAGATACCTGTCCGCTCTTTGCATGTTTCTGTTAGGCTTTGGACTGAATGTGTGTGCTTAATATTCTTTATTGTTTGTTTTTGCTTTGGCATCAGGAGTGATGACGATGAAAATTGGCATGATTTATACCAATCTGACTATGAGGCAAGGCACTTGCCGCTGGAGAATGACACTGACAGTCAAGTTAATCTCCACGGTTTAGGCAATACTGTGGATTCATATGAGGTGGATCTTCATCGAGAACAAGTTGAAACAGAAGGTTCAAGTGTCTCCCCTCTGCATGAAAGTTTTGATTCACAGGGATCAAATGAAGTCCCACAGCTCAATAAGAAGGATGACGAGCATTTAATTAGTGATGAATGTGAGGTAGAGTCCTCCTTATATCCTGCGGAAGATGTCGCTTCTGAGCCTGTGGATTTTGAGAACAATGGCCTTCTTTGGCTTCCTCCTGAACCAGAAGATGAAGAAGATGAGAAGGAAGGTCTTCTGTTCGATGATGATGATGATGAGGGGGATGCTGCGGGAGAGTGGGGATATCGACATACCTCCGGCAGTTTTGGAAGCAGCAAGTATCGTGCTAAAGATCGATCAGGTGAGGAGCACAAGAAAGTCATGAAGGACGTGGTTTATGGGCATTCTAGAGCTTTGATAGCTCAGCTACTGCAAGTAGAGAACCTTCATACAGACGAGGAAAACAGTGAAGATGGTTGGTTGGAGATAATTTCATCTCCGTCATGGGAGGCTGCAACACTGTTAAAGCCTGATATGAGCAAAACGGAAGGAATGGACCCTGGGGGATATGTGAAAGTAAAATGCATAGCATCTGGACATCGCCGTGAGAGGTAATACTGCAGTTTTTCGTTTATCTCTTTTATATTTCGTATTTCCCTCTAATATTCTACCATATTCTAGTGAGAAACTAAAGAGCATCTAATGCTGTAAATTGGTATTGGGGAATTTACAATATTGCGCCATTTTTAGATGATCCCTTGACATGCGTAAACCATGTGCTAACTGGAAACTGCAGGAGTTTAAATGTGAATCTGTTGAACCTGTTTTATTATGCAATGGTTTCTCCAGATAGATCATGCATTTTTTTTTGTTCATAAGGTTAACAAAGAGAGGACAGACGTCAAGCTGGGCTTATCGGAGGGGGTTATCATGGACTTAATTTTTTGTTTTAACAACAAAAATGGAATTGCGAGAAATAGCAAGGAGATTAGCTGGGTGCTTCTAAAAATCTTCCATCAAAGGATCCGATCCTTTTTGCACGTGAGCCAAGTCCCTGAAAGGAGTATTCACGGCCCGTTTTGTTCAACTTTGGAAATGCTATTTGGGGGAATGCAAATACCTTTAGGTTAAAGTCCCTTGGAGAAATGTAAGTGGCGTTTGGTAACAAATCATTTGTAAAGCTATTTTGGCCCAATTAATGTTTGGTAAATTTTTTTTGCAAAAGGGCTTTATGAATTTCTTTTTTATTAAAAAAAAACTTACCCTACCCTTCACCGTAGCCGGTGAAGGCCTACAACCGTTGGTGAGCTAGATCTGCCGCCGGCGGCCGTCGCCCTAAGTTGGAAGACCCTTGGCAAGGGTCGCGCGACCCAGGCAGCTGTCGCTTGGAGTCGCGTGACGTAGGCAGCCGTCACTTGGGTCGTGCGACCTCGCCGGCCCGATCAGGTGTCGGCCGCCCTCACGAAGAAGAAGATGAACAGTAATAAGAGGGGCATAAAAGGAATAAGCCAAAATAAGTGAAAGTAGTTTGGGAGCAAAAAATTTAAATTCAGTATTTTGGGAATGTCAAAAGGCCAAAGCTGATCCGGCATCCTAAATGCTGTCATTTGGCTTTTCAAATTCGAAAAGTTGAATCAAATGGTTCAACATTTTGAGATCGAAAGTCCTTCTCCAAAGCTAAACCAAACGGTGCGGTTTTGTACTTATGAACCATTTCGCAAGCTTTGTCCTATTCGATATGGGAGTCGAGGTGTTACAAGCTCCGTACTAAAAGCACCGAGGTGGTCCGCAACGCTGAAACGACCAGGTAAGTAGGACATCTAAGGTGGCCCTCGAAAGTTGAGGAGGTGGCTCCAACCCTAACCAGTTAAAGCCTAAACGTTAATATCTTGGAAACATCTTAGGGTCAAGTGTAGGATTACTGTCCAATCCCGAGCTTAGTACGCAATGTCTTGGACAATCCTGACGCAAGTCTTGATCCTGGAAAATATTTCGCCATATCATAGTTCTATCCGACAGACACCA